AATATTGAGGTTTTAGCCTGGCCAGCACGTTCTCCAGATTTGAATCCGATTGAGCATTTATAGGATAACCTCGGAAGAGGAATAAGAGCGCGTGCAACACTTTCTGATACACTGCAGGACCTTGAAAGGGCTCTTCGGGAGGAATGGGCTATCCTCCAGCAAAGGAACATTTCCCGACTGGTGGAATGTATGCCGAGGCGTCTTCAAGAAGTAGTGAAGGCAAGAGGAGGAAACACGCGCTACTAATCGATGTTGTAATTAATTTGTTTTAGAATAATAATGGCTCGTTTTTCAATTTTTTTTTCTTTAATCTTTCTTATCCAATCATATTTTGATTATTAAAGGTAAAAAAGATTATAAAATTCCATAAATACTAAGTATTATCTACAAATACCATGTAGTATATACAAATACAACTTTACAGAAATATTTTTAGATGAAAACATGGAAAAATCAAGTGGGTGGAATTGTTTGCCTGTCAGTGTATTTAGAGTAGACAAGAATAGATCGTCAAATTTATACTTTAAGTTCTGTTATCAACACAATTTAAATAAATAATATAACGTCTGAATTAGTTGTTCTTACTATTCCAGAAGGTTATTAGAAATCAGGCGGGCGTTCGGAATAAATCAAGATATTGTATTTACTAACGCTAATGGCCTTCTTTAGGACTATAATACGGATATTAATATACAAAAAAAAAACCTAAGGTGTGCGCTTTATACCACACGATAGAAGTGAAATCAACAAGGCGAGATTAATAATATGAAATATATATAATAGCTCATTATAAATAGGATGAAATTCTGATTTTTTTGTTTCAGATATGTTAATTCATATTTTCCATAAAACTCGTTATCATTTGTTTGTCAGAAAAATGGTCCATTATAGAGAGGATGAAATGTTGAATAATTCCCTCGCTTTTAATATGTAAGTCCGATTTTTAATTTCTCAGATATTTGTATTCATATATCCAATAAAACTTGTTATAATTTTGTTATCTACAATATTTTTTTCCTTTTCACCTCTCTAACACGACATCTAATTGAATCTGTCTAAATATATATATATTAGACCTCCAAAAACTAGATATACTATTTATTGATACCTGGTGTGGTGTTGTTCATGGAGTTACCGAAAATATTTTCAGTTGGCACAATATATCTGTTTCACTGTTTTTATTGAATAGTTCAATTAAAAAAAAAAAATTGTTTTAGGCAGGTAACGTATCGGAGGCAGTGAAGACTTTCTAAGTAATACTTTTATTCATAATGTTCGATTGGCATCTTAAAATACTGAAATATACTATGAACATATGCATTGACTACAGGAGTTCACTCCTGGTCTCCTACAAGAGTATGACATGATTCACCAATTAGCGTATTCAACATACTCAATTATTACAATAAAAGTTTAATTAATATTATTATTTGTTACGGATTAAGTCCATTCCGTATCTAGCCGATGTCGCGAGTTTTCTCTTATTCATTCCACTGTGCGGCGTAGCATTAAAATACAATTCTGAATAATAGCTCATTACAGAGAAGATGAAATGCTGAACTATCCCCTCGCTTACAATATGCAGATCCGATTTTTAGTTTTTGAGATATTTTAATTAATTTGCAAAACTTCAATTACCCGTCTTTACACATCTAGTGATATAAATCAAAGATCTGAAGGCTCAGTATAATTTACTCTCCCCCAAAAAGAGCAAAACGCACCTAAACAAGATTTCACTTCAAAAATAATTTTAAAAAAAAGAGAAAGATAGATTTAAACTTCTATTTAGTCTATGTCTATGAGATTTCAAAAAGTCCTGAAACAGGCTGGCATACCTTCGTTTTATACTATATCTTAGTTTGGTTCTGAACTGCGTTTCTTAGTTTTCTTTTTTTCAGAGATGCCCATCCTCCCCACCCGCTAAGGTCGATGGCGGTTGAACCTTTTCCCTCTCAGGATATTTTATTGCTCTCATCTCCTTAAAAACAGTGCTAGCGAATGTACTATTTAAAATCGCATCGTGCGGTCTGTTCCATGCTTTCACCTTGTCTTTTGGTTTGAAACTTGTCATTTCAAAACTTCATGACCCAACGAAATGTGGCCCTCTCAAAAATTCAAAACTCGTCCGCAATGTATCCTGTCCCCAAAAAATAAATTTGATGGCGCAAGTTGCACCATGAAACCTCCTTATAGGCACCCCCCTATTTTTCTATAAATAACTGGATTATATTATAATTTAATTTTTTCAAATATTACAGTTGTGGAAAATATCTTCAAGTCAATTTATTACGATTATCGAAAATATGAGTATATAATGATGTACTATTTGATAACAAGAACCGAAGACTCCAGGAGAGATGGCCGATGTGAACCAGCCGGCGGACGAAGAATACCTTTGCATTCCTCTCCTCTAATAGCACTCATTCACCAGCCGTTGTCCTGGGATGAGTGATGATGTGGCTGCACGGATCGGCATTCAGATCGCGCCGCCGCTTAACGATTGTTTCTATCGACCGTATTCTTCTCGTCCACCAATTATATTCATGAGTGAGCTCTTCAGGTCCGTTTAAATTAGAGCTCATTACATTACAGCCTCAATACAGCGTATAATGCGATGTGCATATAATTCTAAATGTATTGTAGTTAAACCATCTTGAGTGCTATTCTTGCCGCTAATACCACTCTGGAAGCTATGCATGCTGTGGTTTGGATGCCTATGTAAATTCGCCAACGGTGTCCGATCGAACCGGCTACAGCTCTGCTCCAGTAACTCATTATTCCCAATAAGAGGGAATTCAAGTGCTATTTCGTATCTCTTAGTTCACATTACAATATAAATACTTCGGAATCACATGATGTTTTTGTCAATAGCGGATCTGAAATTTTCTTTGAGGGAATGGGACTTTATCTCAAGGTATAGACTATTTTCACACTGGGTATTTTAAAGTACAATATTGGAGTTGTCGTTTCTGTCTACGTTCAAGCTTTCTTATGAAATCTATTTATAAGTATATATTATATATACTATAATGTCCCATCAAAACAACTAAGGTTCTCTTTATGGAATAACAATTTATAGGTCCTGTCGGTTATGGGTTGATATTTACTTAAAATAAGCCGGTAGTTGCTTTAAAATATAGTTGCTAATCTATACAAATATAGATTAAATGGAAAACATATTTTTGGCTATTAATAAATAAAGTTGTTATTTTCTTTAAACAATGGCAAGAAACCAAAGTTGTCGTTCAACTGTAAATCGTACCTGGCCCACAATTAATTATCAGTTTAGGGCCAACGTTATGTGATAATTGAAAAATTATTAAAGAATAAAAGTGGTGTATTAGCAAATAGATATCGCGTTAGCTACAAATAATTTCCTTTCTTTCTAATTCCTACACCGTGTTTGATTTGTAATACTGAACGCATAACAGATTTTTTTTTTATTTTAAATAAAGTTTTAAATTAAAATTTAAAAGATGATTTTTATTATTTATCTGAAAAGAACTCTGAAGATAGCAAAACCAACTAGTGTAGTTGAAAAATAATAGTTCTAGCAAGCTCCTATAGAGGCTAACAGTATTTTGACAAGTATCTCTTTCAGGTTAAAGTGTTCTAGAAATTTTTAATATATATTAGGCACAGGAGGTCACCTAGTAGGACAACGATCTAGGTTCGATAGTGCTGGATGGTTACCTAATAATACATCAGAAAAATTATAGTCTAATTGTGACATGGAAAATGCCTTTTTCCTGAAACGAACGAAATAGTTTCATCTTGTGATGAACTCTTCAGGGGCTAGATGAAACTATCATTTTTCACCTTCCTGCATTGGTGCTGCTCTCTTCAGAAAATGTTTCTAATTAACCGGCATTCACTGAATTTTTTATGTTCCATATTTTATGTGTTTTATATACATATATACACTAGCGGATCAAGGATTTAATTTTTTGGGGGGAGAGGGGTCAGCCAGAAAGCTTTTTTTATATATATCTATCGATAATTAATTTGAAAAAAAAGAAAGAAACTAACTACCTATATGACATGGAGTTTAAGTGATTCTTGTAGTTCTATTAAATGTAATTACACGAACAATAATACTTTAAGAGATAGTTTTTAATATTTTTTTTTTTATAAAACATGGTTACATTTTACCATTTTGGGGAAGAGGGAGGTTTCAGCCCTAAAACTCCCTCCCCCCTCCGTAAATCCGCCTGTGCATATATATATAAAGTTTATATTTGTTTTTCACACCCTGAAAAAACTGTGAGTAAGAATTTGCATTGCAATCGAAAAAAAAAATTTTTATCCAATATTTCGCTTTTTGTTCTTAATTATTATTAGATTCATAAGTGTTCAAAACTTTATTGTAGGAATTATAGTCGTTGAAAATAGCGAAATAATTTTTATTTTACGATAAAAATTTACTAGAAACTTATTTTGTAATTTATTATGCATTTGATTTCGTTTAATACTATCAGCAATTTATTTTACAAAAAAGGGACATATTGATTGATATATTAAACACAAGAAATCCATACAGAGCAAAGGCAGAAAAAATATTATTAAAATTTTACTTCTTTTTTTTGGCTCCAGCTGCGCATTGGCCAGAACCCTCGGACATGGGTCTTAAGTTTAGACCCATAATATCGATAATGAAATGTCATAAACTATGGGAAATACAAATATCTAAATTGTTATTTCTCTATGCTACTGTTTTTGTTCCTTGGCTTTGATGTTTTTCATCTGTTGTCATTAACAAGAGAAATTACAACAAAAAAAAGTACTTTTAGCGCTTAGCGGTAATGTCGTTGTTAGTTTCGTTAGATGATTTTGTTTCTCATAGTTTGTGAAGGATCTAAGTGCACCTTAATATTTTCAGACCTAATCTCACAAAAAACAATTCATTGAAATCGGCAAAGATTTCAGGTATTGTTTTGGTATCATCCAATAACATAATTATTGTTTTTGTCCTTTAATAATTCACAAATTTAATGTTTCAGAAAATGGTGAGGTGATAACTACAAGATGGAGTGCGAGGAGCGGCCCCACGGTGACGAAATCCTGCGGTCAGGGGTGAGGAGGAAGGCCGAAGGCCCCCCGCCCCAGCTGCCCCCCAGGCCATTGCAGTGCCCCCAGTCCCATATGGAGGCACATCTCACCAAGAAGAGTGAGTTTCAGTTATCACCATTAGTGAAGATTAATAAATGTTCTACTGTGGCTCAAACAAAATATCAGTTATTTTTATGAGCTTACACGTTTTGTAATCATTTGGAAGAAGTCGGTTACCTTACAATTGCGAATTATGGATTAAATTAAATTTTTCTTAAGATGGTTGTAAAATTTATAAAATGTCTAAAGAATACTGCTAAACCCTCGTAAGTCGATGAAACATTACTCACATATAATGGCTGACATAATTACTATTTTTGGATTATTGATATTCATTGGTACGTTTACAGTAATATTAAAATATTTATCAACAAAGTTGTGTTGATATTGTAAATTAAACATAGGTATTTATTTACTAGTCGATAAGAAATCTTCCTTTAACTATCGTAATAGAACTGGACTCATTTTTGTTCTCAAATTAAAAACTTATTCTCTGTCATTTCATTTTTATAATACAATAAATAGTAACGATATTTATTAAAAATTTATCTAGCAAGATCAGAAATGTAGTCTTGTTTTTTTCCTGAATTAGGTTTTTAAAAATGTTGATGGATCTTCATGTAACAAAGTAACCAGCGTTTTTATATTAATCTGAATAATTCGAATTCAATTGTGTATTAATTAGTGGTTATTCATTCCCTCTCACATATAGCTCGAGAATCGAATTTAATATTGAACTCGATATGCTGCTCAGATATCGATGGACGTCATCTATACGTTTGCGCGGACTGATATCGACCAGTGAATGCGTGGGCGAGGAGCACCACAAGGCTCGGGTTTCCACGGTTTCCTTAGCTCCATCCAGTTTACAATGCTGTTGGCGGCCCATTTCTTCGGCTTCCTACTTTCGACGAAGAGGGAAGGGCTCCGGAAGGTTCCCGAAGAGGCCCGATGAACCGATCTCGTCAAGATGTGATGCTCTCTAACTTGTGAAATATTTAGTTAATCCGTTAAGGAAATTTCCCTCCCAGCCTCTTGAGGACCGCTGGCACCCCACGAAGGATCACTGTTATCAGCTGATGATTAGGTATCATGGATGTAGGCATCCCAGCGATGGACGGTAACCCTGTTATGCAATTCGTCGGCTACTCAGCACCCCCTTACAGGTCACCCTCTTACTCTGGTGAGCTATCTGTGAAAGGATACCCTTCTAAATTTTCGTAATTTGTACATTTATTTAGGCCTATATAACCATGAGCCTTTTTTGTTTTTAATATGATTTTGCGGTACTAGTCGGTGATCTCCCGAATGGGAGTTGATTTAGATTGTGTAATTTATATCTAAATCAATCTGCAATATTTTCTTTAAATTTATTGTTATTGGAAAAATTATATATAAGTATTTATTAGAAAACTTAAATTTGCCCTGTATTTTTGCTTCCTAATAAATGAATTATTGTTATATACTGGGGTTTATTTGAGGAACATTAATTGCATTTGAATTTTTGAGCGAGCAGAGCGAGTGAAAGGCAACAGCCGTAATCTATTTAAAATCGTGATATAAACAGGAATAATAAAGAAGCGTCTTATTGACTTTATTAAATATTATTGCTGTTAATATGTTTTTCTTTTGTTTTATGTTTAAATTATCATCTATATCAGAAGAACACAGACAGTTGCCGATTTCGCTTTATTTAATTCAGCCATTCATAATGATTCTCACCACAAAAAAAAAAAAAAAATCATAGTAGAAAAAAATAGATTTCAATATGGTTCCAGTTGCTTGGAAATATATTGATAAACTGATTGGATACTTGTTAAATTCATTTTTATAAAATATTTTTTGGATTAATATTCCATTGTGTGTAATATTCCATTTTATTTAAACTTCTTCCTAAATTATGTTTTACTATTTTATGTTTAGGATTAAGGAAATATGTGTTCCTCTGCTCTGTATGTGGTGGACTTGCTTCACTACTTGGGGGACTCTTCCTAGGTGTTTATGTTATCCTTAGATCATACACCTCTTCATTAGGCTATTTTGAAACCATACCTACATACATACCTGCAGCGATGGTAAGTTGATCTGATTGTTTCATATTTACATGTTTTAATCTAATTATTGAACTGAATACCAATTAATTAATTATATTATTGTTATAGTTACTACTGACAGGGCTTGGGATTATGTGTTTAGCAAGAAGAAAAAATAGATATGCGTTATTGGTAAGTACTGCTAAAAAGTTTACACTTCAAACTTTATAATTAATGGTTATTATTCCATCTCCACCATAATATGTCAAGTTCTTATAAAAATGTTTGTACTGAAATTCCCTATTTTAAATTTGTAAAATGATTGTTTTTCATTGGTCACAAACCACCTCCAATTAAATTAATTTTTGTTCTTAGATTAAAGTATGTGGAGTGTGCTGTTTAATGTGTGCTGGCACATGTATTATGGTAACAGTGACAACAACCGTCATTCACATGAGTCGATTGCAGTCACTTCGAGAGTGCGTCTACACAACCAAAACCCTAACTTGTACCTGCTATTCAATACTGCTCTCAAAAGAAGGACAGAGACCAGACGATGGTATGTTTAATTACTTTTACAATTTTATGATATACATGGTTTATTGTTATTATATTGTCAGACCAAATCTAAAACAAGAAATTTGAAAAAAAAATTTCAAAAAAGGTCAAATTCCACTTTAGTGTAAAGTTAAAATTATGTTTGGGGTAAATTTCCTAAAGTAATACCATGAATGTGAAAAATGAATCTCTTTAGTTCATTTTTGTAAGCAAAATATGTGAATGTGATTTCTTAATATTCGAAAGCCAAACTCTTTTTCTCAAAATTAGGAATTTGTACATTGTTTTGCCTTTGCACAAACAATATTTAGTGTAAGAGAATTTTTTTATTTTTATTTTATAAATTAAATAATCCTCCATCCTCCATCCTCCATTTCTCTTGCCATCTGATTTCCCATAGAGCACCCTTTTTGGCTTTCTTCGGGTTGTTATTTCATTTAATTAATTGCATGTTCAGTTTATTAATATTTGTTTTTCTTCAACATACATATACCACTATTTAGAATAATTTGTCTATAATCTATTTCTTATAATCAAGTTTCTTATTATTTCTTCTATTTTAATGTTTTTCAACTTGCCCCATGAATCTCCTAAAGCAGTTTCCACCCGGAGGCCCGAACAGGGACTAGTTTACCTCCGGATAATGAGCGTTTTACCTTAGGGAGATCCCTGACTATTTGTGGTGTATGGTGAACTAATGATATGTGAGTAGGGCATTCAATCCTATGTCACACCCTCCAGCAAGCCTGGTAGGCCCCTGCCTCCAGCAAGTCTGGAGGTCCCCTCCCTTCAGCAAGTCTGGAGGACCCATCTCATTGTTGGTCAACGAGTCCATCAGACTTAGCCGGGAGGAACTTCCAAGGATTTTCCACCGACCATCCCCACATCCACCACCCGTGAGACGCTCCCCATACCCGGTAATGAGCCCGCACGAGGATTCGCTAAACCTTTTACTATTATTATTTTATTGTTTAATTGACTTAAATTGTAATTTTTTATTATTCAGTTAATTTGTAATTTTGGCCAGTAATTCTAAATCTGACTGATTTAATGGGGGCAAAATGATTTTGAGAAATGACACCTAAGTTAGTCCAAGAAATTATTACTTTGTCTTCAATGTTTTTTATTTTTTCTATTCTATAAAATAGAAATGCCCATTGACCTAATTCTTTTATGAAGACATGTGTTTCTATAACCTACTTAACTCTTGAAAAATCAATAGTGAGGTTTTTTAACTTAATTTTTCAGGTGCCCATTATGTGTTCAATTCAACACCAAATTGTGAAGTGATCCATGGAGCTCTTTATTCCTGCCTAAGAGCAATGTTTGGATTGTCAGTCATTGGGATCCTTGTCTGCATTTTCTGCTGTATGCTTGTTTATCAACTCCTCAGGTTTGTAACTCTTATATTATATTTAAATGAACAATGAGTCTATACTATAATTTTTCACAATTATTTATTAATTACTTTAAAACATATACTGTTGGTGTTCTATAAAAAAAAAAAGAGCTGAAAAGTAGTGGTCTAAGCAATCGAGTCGGGACTGCACTTATTTATTATTAATTATTTTTATTTATTTTTTATCTTTTTTTTTGCTTTTAAATCCCAAGAAGGAGATTTAAACTCATAGCTTAACTCACTTGATCTCCGTGGCTCCTATAGATAGATACAATTTAGGGACAGAGGATTAATAGGTTTTCCATTGGTTATTTGGGGGCTGATATAAAGGACTACCATGCTGGACTTGATCATCCCATCATTATCGATAATAATACCCGTGAATTTGTCTATTTTTCTATACAGAACACCGATGTTATGTTGACATTTTTGGTAATATGACTATACCATTTTAAACAATGTTAAATGTCTCTGATTACTTTTCCATAAATCTGTAATATAATTCATTTCATTTTGTTAAAACTAAGACTTGCTTTTATTGCAGCCATGAGAGGAAGAAGATGTATTGGGAACAGCTGGAATTGCGCTGCAGGTACCTCTACGGCCAGCCGAGAAACCAACCTGTGATCTCTCCACCACAACGATGCAGCCATTGTGCTTGTTCCCAACAGTTTTCTTACCCTCAAGCCACTGACCCAACCTTTGAAAACAGGTAAATTATTTATTATTATTTGTTGTTTTTGTTGAAATATAGCTTGTTTGTGTTTTTCAATATTTTTTTAAATTTATAAATCATTAGTCATTGACTAATGAGCTCCAAACTTTTATTTGCATATAATTGTTACAGAGACAGAGTGATGTTGATAGAAGTTCTAAATATTTATACTATGTTCTAAAATTTATTTACTTTTTTATTTTTTAGTAAAATAACAACAAAAATAATAATTACTTGAGAAAACAGGATAAATATATTTCAATCTTGTCATTATATAGCAAACGGATAATAGAAAAACCTAAAAAATATATGTTTTTGTGGACGTGAGTTATGGCTTTAGAAGTTAAATAATTAATTACATAATTCATAGGAGTAGATATTATTTTATAGATAAAATAGCAAGGTTAAATATACTTTATTGTAATATTTATTAAGGCAAATAAATAATAAAATAATTTAAAATATTAATTAAATTTTTTTTAAATTAGTTTTTCAGTTATAAACTATATAATTCCTGATCATAACCTCATCTGTTTATAATTTTAATCCCTGGTGTTATTATTTTTGCAAATAGATTCATATTTCTGTTTTGTAAATAATACATTTTTGTTTCATATTGACTCTGGAACTATCTTCGTACAATTTTACATTAATTAAATATTAAATGTTTATTTTGGAAACTATTTTATCTAAACGAATCTATTTTCTTTGATTCTATCAGACAGTGGACGGGTGGAAGAATAGGAAACCTTTACTCTCCAAATCCTGAGCCAGTTTCTACTGGTTGGGGCTGGAGGTTACCTTGGTCTCGTGACCAACGCCAGCATCAAGAACCAAGGTTTGTTAGTTATTTTCATAACAATATACTTTTCCTTCCCTTAAAATTTCAAATTTCTGAACTACTAACTCACTGACTGCTTATGGGTTAGTTTGTTGTTCACTTCTCTGACTGTTTTGCATGAAAAAGGGATATTTTAGGTATAGAAAACTAATTTTACCAAAAAATTTAAATATAATATTCAATGACTAATGATTTATTTTAGTGCAATACTTATGTTTCTTTCTATGTATGAAATAACTGCATATCATTTTTATTATTTTAAGTATCATAATAGAAATATGTACAGTTTTAAAGTGAGTTTAATAAATTAAGTTGAATTTCTATGGCTCAAAAAAGTTAATAGCTTATTTTTTTATTTGTTTAATTTATTTACAACAATTTTTCAACCATAGCTATTTTTTAATAAATATTTATCCAATATTTCTTTTATTTAGTTAATTAATTTATCTAAAATTTACAGCAGGGGTAGTAGTAGAGACGGGAGAGCTTCACGTGAAGGACAGAGCAGTGGAGCTGACTCTCAGTACGGGTTCTCCGAAGGTGGGACAGTTGGCAGGACTGCTGGGCTCGCCACAGTGTCAGGGCTTAGTCCTTGGGGACCTCCGCCTCCATATTCTGATCCCAACTCTCCTCGTCGCCAGCATTCTTCTGTCAACACCACTGAAGATAATCAGGTACTGATATCATTAAGTACGGCATGTTTTCATCTTTTGTGTGTGTTAATAGCTATTCCTGATAGTTTTTTTATAGCTTGAAATATCAGTTTTGTTATGTCAGTTATATGCTTCTTGTAATGTGACTTATTAAGAGAGTCATCTACTTACTAGATTGGTGTAAAGGTGCAGTACGGTAGTGTGCACCAATAGTATTACTTTATTGGAAAAGTGTGCCTCCACTCTAATCTAGTGGACGAAGCCTTTAGCCTTATTATCTTTATTTCCTGAATAAATGAATGTTTTAATTTTTCTATTTAAAAATAAAATTAACTGATTACTGTCAAATGTTCACTCTTTGTCATGACCTATTTATCTGTTGAACCCTCCTCCCTCTGTATTAGAAAGATGGACTTTGGTATGGTAACTGATTTATATTTGACCATTTCTAATAAGTTAGTGATAAATGACTTTTTTATATATTGCTTTTTTTTATATATTGCTATATATATTTGGCAAACAACAGTTTGCCAAATATATATAACAAAATAAATATCTAAATAATTTTAGGCTAAAATAAATTTATATTTTTAGGTGTTTTCTCCAAGAGTGAAATATCTTCGAGAAAAACGTCCTGAATTATCAGAATCTGAAGTATATTTTGCGGATGTAAGCAGTTGTTGCAATGGTTCAATAAGAAATGATTCATTAGTTTATGATGAACCACAGGAGAGAACAAAAACAAACCATCGTTTTCCAAACATCCCAGAAGAGAGGGCATCCCCTGACTCAGAAGTAGCTGAGGATGGTTCTGAGGAAGACGACCCGGAGCTAGTTAGTTTCAGCCGCCGTAACAATCTTACTAGGTAAAGTTAATAACAATTTGTTTTGTGTTGTTCTTTTACTTGATACTTTTCTTTATATTTATAATGAAGTTAATAATTTTTGGCCTCATCAGTTCAGTTTATTCTTGTTCCTGAAAGTAAATAAAAAGAAAATTAATTAGTTTTAGAATAGTAATTATATTTTAAAATATAATTTTCTCATCAGGTCTCATCGGAACAGGTTGGATCTCTCACAGGCAACTGAAGATTTTTCACAGATGTCTGTCGACTCTGTGGGCCAGGCTGATTCACCATGGGGTTCTCCAGATTTCTTGGCACCCGATGCTCAATATGAAACTATCCCTGAACCAATAGGATTCAACGAACGAAGACCACCAACCAGAGACAACTTTACAGAATTGAATGGTAATAAGCAGCCAGTTGACAGGTGCAATAATCCTCACTACTATGGAGGTGAGTATCAGTCACGTTACACTAATCCAGATGGTCTTCTTCGCCACCATTACGAAGAGATTCAAGAACCTCCAACACAAAGGATATCAGAAACAAGCATGGGAAATTCTCCTGTGTTTGGAAGTCGCTTATTTCCAAATCCTCCAAGAAGACATTCACCAGAATGCATTGCCCTGGTTGATGAGTCACTTTGTTCGCATAATGATTCATCATGTCGTTGCTCAATGAGTATCAATAGTAGAGTTGAAGATAATGTTCCAAATTAGCATCACATCGATCTGTAAACATTAAAAAAACGAATAAATAATACCTCCATAGTTCCTTAATGAGATATTTATTATGTAATGGATTTGAAATATTTACACAAAAGTGGTTTATTTTTACTATAAGTCCCTACTTATTCAAAGATTATTAATTTAGGGGATGTTTTTAAATTTTTCATAATAAATAATTTATTTATTGTGGTAGATTGTGGAATTGAATTAATTTAATTTATTTCAAATCTTATTAAAGTTTGTTTTTCAGATTGATACTTGATAATATTTAAAGGTTCTGGGTAAGAAAGCAGAATTATATGTTGCTTTTCAAAAAAATGTGTTTCGTCTTTAAAGGGTATCTAAAGTACGGTCATTTAGGGGTAATACCTTCAAGTATATTTTTTTTTTAAATCTTATTTAAAAATATACTGCACCCCCAGTTTTTTAGAAGACTGACTAATTTAACATGATTTTGAAAAATATTGATGTATATACCCATCACGGTGTTCTCCACATTGCTGGAATGATGTATGTTATTATTGAACTCAATTCTAATGATTGTAGTTATGGAACAATTTTTGAAACAAAAGAAAACTTTGTTTCCACCTTTTATAAATTATCAAGTTGTATAATAGAAAGAAATTATTTTATCAGTTGCTAATACAATGTTAATTATTCTTCCTCAATTACAATCATTACTTTAGAATAAAAAAACACTTAGATTTAACAAAACTACACCCTTATAGAAACCAAAGTACAGTAGTTACATAATTGCAGTGTTATAGCTGCTATATTTTCATAAATTTATAAAATGTAACATAGACTAAAACATGTTCACTTAAAACGAATACAATAGTTTGATATCTATATTTATTTTCAATGATTAGAAATTATTTTTTAATCATTAATTTGCTCTTTTGTAATAGATATATATATTGAATAAAAAAAATAACCTAAATGTATAAAAGGATCATTTATTAGTACAATTATAAATTATAAATGCCTCTGTTGATTGTTGGCCTAATAATTAATGTTTTATTTTATTGTCTCTAATATGGCATAGAAATCTAAAACTTAGTTAATTTATTGTGATTAATCAAATATAAGAGAACTGCTATTGTATTTTTTTAAATATGATTTGAATGAAAACCTGTTGAATAATAATTTCATTTTCACTTTTAAATTTTTTTAGTATACATACCAGTATGTGTAAAAAATAATAATAGCGAGATTTTTTTTTTTTTTTCCTGAAAATTCTAGAAACAACTATCTATTTCATAGAGAAATAACATCGTGTTTCATAAAAAAGCCATTCCCGATTTAGTTACTCGATTATTTTATGCTTACATAATCAAAGAAATTCTTAAAAATATCATTTAGACTTTTAAAAAAGTTTTCAGGATGACTATAAAAAAAATTTGACCCGATTGCATTACTTTCCTTACCTAGTATACGTAGGAAAGTAAAAATGTATAAACTTTGGAATTACTTTATTTTATATATCTTTATTGCATTATTTCATGACTTTTTTGTTTCTTTTCACTTCAGTTTGTTTCTTGCCAAATAATGAATAAGTCCGAAAGATTATTTAAAGAAATTTTTTTTAAAATCTTAAAAAAAATTATGTATATGCAAAGAATATGTTTATTGTGATAAATATAGTTTCAACAACCATTTAATTTATACTGTTTAACTTCTTTGAATAGACTATGAAATTATTACTTTTCTTGTTTTTTTAATGAATATTTTAGGAAATTATTATGAAATAACAATTTCATTTGAAGACTTATTTTGCAGTAGTGTAATAAGATGGTGCTTGTAAAAATCACAATAATTTTAAAGTTTCCTGAATGTTAGATATTGATACAAGAATATACTGATAAAGTAAAAAGACTTAAAAACAGTATTTTATGTTGTACAGTATTTGTATGTTGATAAATTAGACATTATTGTAGACTTATTTGTTTTCTGTTATTTGTTATTAAGAAGTGTTTGTATAAGATTGTATCATATGTGCCTTAGGCTTTCTAGATAATTATTGCTTTTAATTGTATGTTTAATTTATGTAATGTTATATTTATATGCAATATACTGTATACATATTTGAGCTAGATTATAAAAGTACTTGTATATATATGGTATATATTTATTACTGTAATTTAGATATGAATGACAATATCTTGTTATAATAATAATAATAAATTTTTTCTAACAAAAGAGAAAAATACTGAAGTATTTTAATAACATACTGTTTCAGAAGCCTTTTTATTTGTTATCCAACCATTTTACCTTTTTACTGTAAAACATTAACTAAATTATTCAATCAATGTTAGTTTAGTCAATATCTCTTCTGAAAAAAAGAGGAATAATTGTATATAGTCGGTTTATTTCAAAAAGTCATTAAGTGGCATTTTATAAAATGAAATCACTTTGATAAATTTTCTGATTTTCTGTGAAATCAGAACATTGTGCGCTTATTGTCACTATATTTGATTTATATAAATGGGTTTGTATCATATTGAAGGACTAATTGAGTTTTTGAATTTATAAATAATGTTTAAATATACAAAATCGCAGTTAGAATTAGAGCTTCATCAAAAATGTACTTTTTGACTCTTTTCATTAACCAACAGTATACAAATGTTAAATTGAAAATGAAAAAATACGATTTCTGTTTGGTTTTCCACTGTGACTCAACATAACAATAGTGCTTTTATTTATCTACAAAACTTGCTTCAAACCATCAAAAAAAATTATCCACAATAAATGGGAAAAAGCAATACATGAAAACATTTTGAACAAAATATTAACATTTATTAAGAATAAAAATAGTACAGCGTAAGCTTATGTAAAATATAATGTAAACAAATTGCTAGTAAATAAATATAGAAAATAACAATATAAAGAGATTGAAAGAGTATTATATGACAAATTAAACATAACATATGAAATCAAATATTTGTTTAAGAAATTTTTAAAAATAAAATAGACAATTTAAAATAGCAGCTATTTAAATATATATATATATATATAAATTTAGGAAGCTAAACAATCACCATCTTTAGGCTTCTTTCCAGATTTAATAATCTGGTGCGGTGCATGTATTCCACAATTTTCACTTACCATCCTACTTTGAGCAGGAATAGGAGAAAATAAAAATTTTCCTTGATTTTTTGTCAATTTATATGTCATATTTCCCATTCCATATATTCATTAATGTATAGTTTAACTACCTACATACATAGGCGGTGACTGTTCATTCTAATTAGGGGGGAAGGCGATGTGAGTTTATTCTATCCTATAAAGTAACTTTGATTTTGCTTATTTAAAATAATTAACTATCTCTCATTGTTAGCAGTCTTTTTATCAAATTATTAATATCCACCTGAAACTTCATGAATAGCTTCATTTCATCATAATCTACAACTATTTTATTTATGAAAAGTCTTGGAATAGAGGCGTTTTCCATCTGGAGGTCGGTAAACATTGTCTATTTAATTAGGTATTAAAAACTCATAAATACTCATTTACTTTCCACTCAGATCATAAGATAATTTGATCAAAAATCAAGAAAAAATGTGGCCTTCAAAAATATAGGGACGTTTGGCCTAAATGGCTTCGTTATTTTGACATGTTTGGGATATAGGTTACGCGAGGTTAAGAACTGGTATAGGAACCAAAATATAATGGTTAAGGGTGATAAGGAAGATGTACTGGTCATGGCAGACGAAGAGCGGGAAGAATGGAAACATTTTCCAGTTCTGGAAACATTTTCAGAACCTCTTGAATCATGAACAGGCTGAAGACATAGGATGGGTGAATGCAGCAATGGAGAATATAGCTAGTGATAAATATATACTGCCTGACAAAGAGGATATTAAGGAGATAGAAGTAGAATCGAAAATCCTCAAGGCACCTATGATAAATGGTCTTCCTGTGGTCCATTTCAAAGGAACAAACTAAGAGATTACTGCAGTATTCCAAGAAATTATATAAACAAATTGAGAAGAACAGTAATCTGTAGTGATTGGTCAAAGAGCCAAAAAGTGACAATTTATAAAAGAAAAGGGGACACAATGCTATGTGAGATCCATAGAATAATCACGTTACGAAACATTGTTTAGGTCTTCTATGTTGTTTTATGTAGGAGATTTGTCCCTTATGTTGAAACAAAGCTTGGAGATTACCAAGAAGAATTTTCGATGCAACAGATCCGCGATAGGCCGATTTTTTTTTATTAGGCTGATCTCTGAAAAGATGAGTTTGGGAGATCGATATGGATGACATTCGTCCATTTTGAAGCAGAAAACAATACTGTCAATAGAAACGCCTTGTTTATTGCTACGGGAGAATTGAGAATAACAGATAAGCTCATAAGGTTGACTAAATGCACCATTGAACGGAATGAATCCCTGGAAAAACTTCGAGTAGACCTTCCTTTCTATTTGAAGTAAAAAGTTGACTGAGGTAAGGAGGCTCATCAGTTCCTCTTTTACTCAATATTGTTCTACAGATTTTTGTAAAGAGAGCTTAATTAGACTCAGGAGGAATTGTCTACACCAATATGACCCAGATATTGGCATAAGCATTGGTCATTGGAAGATTCCTGGCTAGCTTAAAAGGCGAGTTTATTAGCTTGATGCAGAAGCTCGGCATTTGGGTCTAGGAGTCAACGAGGAAAAACAAAGTAATGACTTTTTTTTTTTTTACTTTAAGATTTTAGAGACAAAATCATATTATATTTGTATAAGTATTAAAGCACTAATTTTATTTTTGTAATGAACTTTTTAAGTTGATAGTGTCTTTCACGATCTTGTTCCTTTATAAGTAATGAAAATAAAGAGAAAGAAACCCTTCCACTCTCATCCTACATGTGTCATAAGCGACTACATATTAGAAGTGCATAGACGTACTATAACATAGAAGTGAACCAACTCAGCGACCTCGAGTATCTTATCAATGAAGATGAAGAGATGAGAGCAAGATTAACTGCAGGAAATAAAACATACGTTCATCTGATTGAATCTACTCAGAAGTAGATTGCTGAGTAGAACCACTAAGATTAGGTTGTACAAGAGGCTTATTAGACCTGTAATAACGTATGGATTTATTGCTGCTGAAAAAATTGATAGATTTGAAAGAAAAGTTCTCAGATGGATCTTCGGACCAGTACAGGAGTCGGCAAGATGGAGAATAACGACTGACAAAGAATACATCAGCTCTGTCAGTAACTGGCGACATCCGTGTTTGTAAAAGTTCAGCGTCTTAGATGGCTGGACCATATCCACAGGGTGTACGATACAAGAATGGCCAAAATACTGTATATCTTTGATCGAGATAGGGTGTGCTCCAGCAGGCGTTTTGAATTTGTTACATATGTTCCATTGGAAATCCAATCCCTTTTTTTTTTTTTTTTCAAATTTTAAAACTATAAATCAACTGGATGATTCCTGATGTTCGTCTGAAAATCAATCGAATTGTATAGATCGTTAAATAAAATTTTTCTCCGATGTGATGAAGAAATTCCTATGAGAAAACAAGCCACACATATTTAATTTATGAATAATTGAAAATGATACACCATTGTGTATTAATTTGCAAAGATTTAATATTCTAGCCAATATCCTCAGGTAAGCAATAATGAATCAATTAAATACCTTTCATCTGTTTTTCAAACAAAATTAAGAAAAATATCTGACCATATTGACCACAGGCGGATCTATACGGGGATAGGGAAAGAGGGGCAGCTTTCGGACTGAAGCCCTCCCCCCTCGTAAAATATAACCATGTTTTATGAAAAAAGTTATCTCTAAAAGTATTATTGTTCGTCTAATTACATTTAATAAGAGGTAAAGAATCAGTTAAACACCATTTCATATAGGTAGTTAGTTTCTTTCTTTCTTCTGAATTATCCTAATATATACATACAAAAAATAAAAACTTTCAGGCTGAAGACCCTAAAATTAAGTCCTGGATCCGATAGTGATATTGACGTAACTCGACTGTTTATACTTTTTTATTAAGGATTAAAAATTGACAGATGATGGGAAAATAGATTTCTCGCCACTCTTAAAGTGTTAACAAGAAAAACAAGGGTAATGTTTTAATTGTTTATTTTAACACGTTTCGGAAAAACCTATTCCCGTCATTTAAAATAAACTACATGCCATATATTTTTATCTCTTGAGTAGTAGAAACTGCTAAAGGACAAAAAAACTATAGATACATATGTTACTCATTCACTTCATTGAGATTATAATTTTATATTTACAAATGAAATGAATATTCCAATTAACAAAAGGCAAATAAATCTGCTTAAGTTAAAAATTTATTTAACCTCTTATTTCACATGTTCACTCCCTACCATAATTCACAGCCATTTTAATCTTTAACAATAATTTAAATTGTTAAATTGAATTTGATAGAATTGATGAAGACCATTTTATTAAACTTTACTTCGACTTCGGGGCAAAAAAAGTGAGCCATTTTTTTATTAATATACGCTTATAAAGGAGGAAACGTTGCTTATCTGTAAATGAAATCGATGAGATGCAATTCGGTAAAATTAATACTGAATCATTTTTCAGTAATCTCTAAATTTTCTTCCAACTTCAAGGCAAATCGAATCTTGTTGAAATTTAAGCGAGTCTAAGAAAAAACTTTTGAGCATGTGTTAGCGAAAGTGGTGGATGAAATTGTAATGGGACCAGCATATTCTCTGAAATTTAATCAAAATACGATTAACGGCAATAGGTGACAGGCTTGTCGCATGGATTTTAGTAGACAGACACGGGACTTAAGTTATTATTGGATGTCTTATAACGTAAATCGAGAGTGAAAATTTCCAATTTAGAGGACCAAAATTTATTTGATGCCTTAACACTCTTGGCCATCACTGCCTCGGTTACAGACATCTGAGTTATTTCTATTTTCTTAATGATAATATTTAAGAGATCCACAGGAGTGAGTTGTCATTAGTACTCAGGTTTGCCCATCTTCCTGAAAGGTATTGGCGCAGACCCTCTTCCAAGACATTGTATCGCTCTCATCTCATTGAAAACGGTGTAAGTGAAAGTAGAGTGATACAAATTTTACTTTAATTTTTTTTTTGTCCTCTAGTTTGAAAGTTCTCCCAAAATCAAATCGCTCAGAAACATGGTCCATTTCAAAACTAAGTAATCCTATAACGAATAAAAACATGTCTCCCTAAAAAATGTTATGGTACCATGCAATTCTGTTAGTACTGATACTGTTTATTGCTCTAGTCAAATATTTTCTTCCTAGTGACGTCACGTTCGCTTCTTGATTTAGAGTTTGTAGCAAACTGTTACAACTTAAGTCATTGGACCTCTTTGTATTGAGCGCTATTTTCCCGGCTTGATTTGATCTATGATTGGTTTTATTTAGAAACAATTAATTTTGATCCTCTGATTTGTGTTAATGTAATTGATGATAATTGTTGATTATGTGTTCCGAGGCTGTGTTAAAGTATTTGCAGTCCACTAATCGTCCATATTCAGTAAATGATATATTTCAAAATCTACATAATGCTTTCAGTAAAAATGTCATCCAAAAATCATTGGATGAACTTGCTGAGAAAGGTTCAATTAAAGAGAAAGTATATGGTAAACAAAAGGTAAGAAATAATATACATCTGATTGTTTCTTTTTTATCTTAATATATGAATGAATATACAAAGCACTTGATTGAGAATGAAATTTAAAGCCTAAAAAATGAATGATTTACAAAATATGAAACCTATATCAGTAAGGTCACCCTGTTACTTGATTGACATCAACAAAAAAAAATTATTTATTTTTTCATTTCAATAACACTTTTGGCCATTGACTTTAAAGCTAATTTTATGTTGACAGATTTATTGTGTGATTCAAACAACTGAGGATGTAGGTAATGAAGATGAGCTTTTTGAATTAAATGAATTAGTAAGTATTAGCAGATATAATTTATCACATCTTGCCAACTTCGGTTAAATATAAATAAGTAGAATTGATTGATTATATCATTACTTAGGAACACAAAAGGACCTTTGTTAAAAACTGAAATTTAAATGAAAAAAAAAAAAAAGGACCGAGTAGGATATACATTTAAGGCTCCTACAAACAGAATGCGATATGTCTTGGCGATACAATATCCCTGTAAGTGGCAATATGGCTATATAATAGTTAGTTATATTCCACTATCTCAGTCATACAGATTACCGACAAAGGGAAATTGTATCGCCAGAACATATCACGTTCTGGGTCTCGGAGCCTTAATTGTTAAAAGGGCCAATGTTCTCAATGTTAGTAGGAGACTGAGACCAACTATTAATATGAGAATATATTCATGTACACTTAACCCTAATTTCCTTGAAACTGTTCTTTTAAGTTTAATTAATGGAAAATGAAAGGTCATAATGAATATGATGTTTTGCAATTCTGGAATTTAACTATAAAGTAAATATTGACTACTTATGAGATAAGTCTTTTATAAGATAATAACTTTTTTTTTTTTCTTACCACAGTAAGGGTAAGGAAGAATATAACAATAATAAAACAGAAATAAAAATTTTTCTAGATCAAAGTTTTAAGTTTATATGGCATTGGAATGAAGGAAGGGTGACTTTGCTTCCTTCGTTTACAAAACTCAACTTGAATTATTCTATTCAACATGTAATTTAAAAAAATTAGAAGTTTTATGTTTTTTCCTGTCCCATTTATGTATAATTAATTTGTAGATTTGAATCTTTACATCTATTAATACATAGTTGATTTTGAATGCTTGATTAGGGAAGAGATTTCTTCCAATAAATTGTATTTAAACTATTCACAATCAATTCAAGCTGCTGCTATCTAAGGCCAAGTCAAAATTGTATTCAAATAATTTATATTCAGGGTATCCCGCTAGTAGAGGAAAATATTTAAAGGGGTGTTAGCAGACTCCGTAGAAAAGTAGGAAATTTAAGTTGTCTGTTTTTTCAAGTGTCACGTTTTTTTGATGAATAGGAAGGAACTAAAAAAATTATTTAATTTGAGTAATTAACAACTGATTCATAGTAAACCAGACAAAATTTACTTCAAATGAAAGTAGAGTTTGTCATTGTTAATGACTTTTGAACAGATAAATGAAGCTAAGTTATGTTTTTAAAAAAAATCTAATCATAACAATGATTTCAGTATTTATACCACTGTTTTTTATGAATTACTTGTTTTTAGATTGAAAAGAAATCCAAAGAAGCTCATCAGTTAGATCAAGAGATTAAACTTCTGGAGTTGAAGTTGAAAGAATTACAGTCTCAACCAACCACTCAACAGGTAAAAGTATTATTATTATATGGAAAGGTAGTTTTCTCTGTTATAATACTAAAATATTGAAGGAAGCTAGTCGACTGTTCTACATCATAGGTGATAAATAGTCAGAAAGCAGTCATTTTAATTCTGTTCATTATACCTAGATTTGGTGTCTTGAGGTTTTCATTTTTATATATTAATGCCATATTCCATCAACATTTTATTAATTTTTTTATTTTACTTCGACAATGTTTAGGCCAACACTATGGTCATTTTCAAGTCTTAATTGAGTCCTCTAACTAAATCTCCATATTCAATGTCATTTTCTTTATTCTGGGAACAATTAAAACTGTCCTAATATTTTTGGGTTTCCTCTTCGCCATCTCTGGAGGGATATATATTACTGGTTCTAGTACCTAAACCAAAATTGAAGAAGAGATCAAGGTTAGACTGAAGTCGGAAAATGCTTGTTATTTTAATGGGATAAAATTACTTAGCTCGCGCCTCTTGTTCCAGAACTTAAAAATTAGAATCTATAAAACAATTATCTTATCTACAGTTCTTTATGGATTGCGAAACGTGGCCTCTTACATTAAGGCATGAGCAACCTCTTAAGGTTTTTGAAAATAAAGTATTGCGTAGAATATTCGGACCGAAGAAGGATGAATTAACCGGAGAGTTCAGACTGTTACACAACGCCAAATTGCGTGAACTGTATCCGCGTAATATCATTGAGGTGATAACATCCCGGCGAATCATATGGGCTTGTAAAATTGTTGGGCTTAGTGAGAATCCTTAAAAGGTCATATTTGCTGTACCGAATGGTAAACGTCCGAGAGGTATACCGAAGTGAAGGTGGAAAGATTACATTAAAGCCGATCTGAAGGGACTAGGTTTGGATGGCGAACGGTGGAGGAAGGGGGAGGTGTCTAACAAGGGTTTGGTGGTGTCAACATCGAACCTTCGGGTTCGTTAAGCCTTTTGTTATTTATTATTATTAGAACTTAAACACCTTCAGTACTGGAAACATGCCCTGATGACAACCCACATGCTTGGGTTGAAACATTGGGAACAATAAAAACATAAAATGACTGCTTCCTTACTATTTATCACCTATAAAATATTGAATGTATAAACTTGTTTTCAGTTTGATGAAACTTCATTTGTTTTTACTCAGTACATTTCTGTTCTTCGGAACAAAAAAAGCCAATGTCTAACATCTTGAAAGTGAATTGAAAGAAATAATATAAGGCTATATGAATTATTAAAAGGGTCATTCTCCTCCCATTAATTATTGATGCCAACGTAAACATTGCCTATTAGGAGGATTCCTGAGCCTATATTGGACAACAGATATTCATCTTTCTGAAGAATGTCAGCTCTTTCCTCCCTTGCCAGTATATGCTTCCCTCATAGTTCATTCACTCTTTCTATCTAATCATTTTTTGTTTATTCTATTTTTGCTAACTCTTACTTAATGTTTTTTTGCTTTGTTTTATTTGAGCATAATGTCCACTCTTACATCTTGTTCAGTTTACTGATCATTAAATTTTATAAAGGAATGTTAATGCAAAAATAATTTGGGCACTATCTATTGGGTTGTATGGAAAATAATGCAGGATTTTGCTTTAAAAAGAAAGATTTGCAACTGTTTTATTTAATCAAAATAGTCTCCACTACTATCAATACATTTCTGCTAATGTGTTGGCAACTTTCCCATTCCCTCAGAATAGAATTTCCCATCTTTAGAATTTATAAACTCCACAAATGCATAAAAAACAAAAACGCTAATTCCCTTTAGCATGTAAGTAAGGCGAGAGGTCCGGAGACCAGAGGGGATATAGCAGAGTTTCATATCCAAGCTCCAACAGCTTTTATGATGTCACATTTTGGAAAATTTGCTGCTGCTTCTCCTTTGTCGAACCACTGTCCAGAACATCTACTGTTATCGTAAAATATCGACTTTTCATTACAAGTAACAATTCTTGACAGAAAAGGGTTCTTTTTTGTTTCGGCAAAGAAGTGTAAAATATACTTTGGCGGTCGTTTTAATGTGTGTGGAGCCCAACTTTCAAGCTTTTTTACCTTCCTAATCACATTTGGGTGATCATCAAAGGTCAATTTGCTAAGGTCATGTTTCCTTGCAAGTTCGCAAACAGTTGTTCTGGAGTTTTCTTCCACCAAAGTTCGCAGAACATCGTCATCTAGAGAGGAAGCTCTTCCACGCCCTTCATTGTCTTCAAGGCTGAAGTATCCCTCCCGAAATTTTTTGAACCACCGTTAAACAGTGAACTCATTATTGCTGCTCTCGCCCCAGACTTGATTGTTGTTTCGGGCCACCTGGGCCCCATTTTAGCCGAGTTTAAACTTGTAAAACAAAATTATACAAAAATCACGCATTGACTTCTTAGTAAAGACTGAATTATTTCTAAGCAGTGAAATGTTACAGAGGGAAACAAACATTATCATTTGGAAAAGGAATAATAAGTGTTGACATTCGTAAAATGAATAATTCAGTAAGCATTAACAGTTTGTTATATAGAGGGTATTTTAAAGAAAATTAAAAATCCTGCATTATTTTCCGGACAACCCAATAATTACATTTTTAAATTTTACTAACAAGATTTTCATCTAGTAGTTATCAAAAGATTTTCTCCTAATTCAGGAAGACATCCCAAATATTTAAATTTTTGCCCATAAATTAGCCAGTACTATTAATAATTATTAATTTAATATTAATGTGCAGAAAGAATATATTAAATTATTTTCCTTTGTTTTAACCATAAAAAAAATTAAATACAACTCATTTATTAGGCTGAGGCAGATAATGAGAGATTGAGGAAATCAAATGCTCTATTAAAAGACAAATTAAATCAGCTTAGGAAGGGAGTTTCAATTATTTCCAAAGAGGAATGGAAAAAAAAGGAAGAAGAACTCAACAAAGTTACCAAGTAAGTCATGTAAATTCTTTTTAAGGTACTAGATTGCTTCTACAAGATCGTGGGTGAGTTTAAGATCATTCTAGCATGAATTCGAATGAATAGCATGAAATCCGAATATGTCCAAAAGTGGACATAGATGACCGATCCCCAATTCTTAGTTGCCGAATGTTTGCATTACGTCATGTCATCTCAAGGTCCCGTAATTATAATTGTTATTTATATAAATAAGAGTGTAAACTGACTAACTAAAATGTTCGGTATCTTTTTATAGAAACTTTATGTTTCCAGGAAAAAAATACAGAAGCAAGCTTAGTTTTTCAATCTTCATTAATCATCACCCACTGCACTGTATTTTATTTAGCACAATAACAGTAACATAAATAATGGTGTTTAAATTGAAGCACTATTGCAATCATTTATTAATTTAATGTTTTAAATGCAGTTTTCTGTATCCTATGTAATATAAATATTGTAATAATTTTATAAATTATCACAATGGAGTGTGATTTCTGCCATTATGGAAAAAGCACTTTTTTTTCAGTTAATTGCTTTCATTATATTTTAGACAAAAATGTGTTTTTAAGACTGGCAAACACAACAATATGTGAATACCCATGCTGTTTTCAGGATTCCACCTACGTTTACTGCTATGGATGTGATCTGATCTGATCTTAATGTGATGTGATCCATCATCTTAGTGTAGCTATTTGGAACTAGTGTTCTGTTTAAAATTAAAGTTATAAGATTAATTTTAACCATACATAAGCAAATACTTAATAAGATTATAATTAATTTAGTGGAATATTCAGAAACCTGTTTATCAGTAAGGTTAGAGTGTGCTAATTGAGGCCATAACAATTCTTTATATTTTACTGCTGCTGTTTTTATTTATCACTAAATACACTCTCCTCTATTCATAAATATATATTCAACTTAATTCTAGTATTTTTTTGTAACTTAAATAATTAAATACTAATTAATTCAAGTGCCATTTGATAAATATCACACAGCTCTGTCACGGAGGCCACATGGGGCCTAGAAGCCGCAGGTTCCCCATCCATAGCATTGTTTATGAGAAACAGATAAATATATATACATATACAGTATTAAAAAATTGTTTAAAATTATATGTATTTTTAAACTGATTGTTCAATCTTTTATTATAAACATTAAGTCATTGAACCTTATTTTTTTTCAAGTAATATGATTGAAATTTTAATTAGGCCATTAATTAAATGAAATAAATAATTTGTAAGTAAATAATGATACAGTTGGTTTATTGCAAAAAGTCATTAATTGACATTTTATAATCTCTGCACTTGTAAATACATTTGATATTTAAAAATCTGGTGCGCATAACACACAACTTTCATTTTGAATAGAAATTATTTTCTGGTAACGTTGGGCTTTATAAAATTTTTGAAGTGCATTTTAAACAGAGCTAAAGCTCAAAGCTTACAGATTACAAAATATTAAGACCATTAAAATTATAAAAAGTGTATTTATTACATCACCGGTAGACAATAAAAATCTAGTTACTCCATCTGCTTTTATAAACCACACAACTTCAGTCACTGAACCATTCATTTGACAGAATGACTAACTCCAATTTTAACATTTTTGAGTAATGTCATTCTAGTAATATTTCTAGTTGGAAAATTTGTATCTATACAGACAGTGAATAAGTTGATTCCAGAGTAGGTGGTTACAGTGTTGAAATATAGAACTTTGAATGAAGGTATAAACTTATTACTTTGCCTCTATAAACATCACTAAAATTAATAATAAAGAATGTTGAAATTGGAGTTAGTTATTCTGTCAACCGAAAGGCTCATATATGCCTAGAGAGAAGGGAAAGTATATCTGAATATTTAACTTATAAATGATTATCGATTTTAGGACTATTAAGTTATTAAACTGTAATTTTCCAAAGTTGTCACACTAATTGTAAGTGGATAATGTTGGAATTTCACAAAGGAAAAATTCATCAAATTATTCACTAATTTAATTTTCTAAAAGGTTAGTTGATGATATTTTGTAATAAACGGCCAATAGATACCTAATTATTGAAAGTAATATCATATCTAGAGTTATTAAACTACACTAAATGTATTTAAGGTTATAAATATATCCATGAAATATTGTTATATTCCACTTCCTCTTTCAAACAAGTAAAATGAATAGTATTTTAAACAATGGCATTGGCAAGATTTATTGGATTTTTAATGCTTTTTTTTCAAACTTGGAAAAAAATTTAAAGGTTTACATTTAGTAAGAAAATTTCATTTAATTTCTTTAGAAACATGTGATTTACGTTAAATAATGTTAGTTTTCTAAAATTATTATTTATATTTTTTTCGTCACTCTCCGTTAACTTCTACAACTTTATTTATTTGATATTATTTTTTCTAAAATGCTTCACTTTCCAACGATATATTATACGTTATTTCCGGAGATTCGTTTTCAAACTGGATAAGCATTTTTCTTGTTTTCTCCAGTTTCCAATTATCATATTCTTTCAAACTTCATATTTAGCCATTTTTTATAGTTATTGTCAATAAAGGAGAGTGAATTTTTTAAAATAAACCATATTAAATGTACTTTAGAGGAAGATGTATATGAACATTAGGCTGTTAAGCCCTATAAAGTGACAATGGGGATAAGACCTCATGATATTAAAGACCACTTAATTATATAATGATACACCGAGTTTAATCAAAATCATTAGAGCCATTTTTGAGAAAATTGTAAAAATGTGTTTCACAGTTGATATAAAGTGGCACTTCCAGTAAGCCGATTTTAAGGAAAAAGTTGCTGTCACATCTAAGGCATATAAATATCTTAAATACGTAATAAAAGTTTCATATGACTTTTCATTTTTGAGCTAGATTGTTCACATACACTCAGACCATTTTGCGGGACTCAGTTATTTGGACTCAGGAGACCTCAAACTTGTATTTCAATTGAAAACTCAGATTAAAAAGTGTTCACGATAGCAATACTTTTTCTTACTGTGTATTACATATATAGGTAAGTCAAGGTAAAAGGATTTGTGCCATTTTGGTGTACTTACTGTGTTTTTTTTAAATAGTTAAATAAGGTAAAAATTCATAAAAAAGTTCTCTAATTTTCAGCACTAGTGTGACTATAGTGACTATTAAAAAAATAAAAATAAAATTAAATTAAAAAAAAAAAAACCTGTACCACTACACTACAACCCATGAAGGGTTTTAGGTTGGGTTCTGTACTTTGTTTTGGATCGGCATATTAACTACTTTATAATTAGTTGTTGCCAAAGTGGTAGTTAGCATTTATTGTTTTATAGTCTATAGTCAGTCATACTGGATTCTATATGTACCTTCATTTTTATTACATTTAGTGCATCGCTGCTATGTTACCAGTAATTTTACTACATTGGACCAAATGATCTATCCAGTTTTAGATTTTTTCTTTTGAAAAAATAAATTTATGGTGATTTATTAGTTTTTATAATGATTTTTAATTTATTATGTTTTATTTTCTTTAGGGAATGTAAAAAAAGAAGCAGGTGGCTCAAAGACATGACAGATGCAGTTCTAGAGAATTACAATTCATCGAAAAATCAATTATATGATGAGATTGGAATTGAAATGTGATGTACAGATATTAAGTTATTGTATTATTTAATTTTTATACTCAATTTTGTTACTTAAATTTATTTTAAAAATAAATATATATTAGTTTATTTTTCCTTTCTTTGTTAACCAATTTAAAAAATATACATTTATATATATATATATATATATATATATATATATATATATATATATATATAAGGTTTAATTTTTTTTCATTATATGAATTTATTTGTAAAATACTAAATGTATTTATTATGTGATACTAATGATCCTAACATGCAGAAAAATAGTTTAAATGTGTTTTTGGGGGTACACAGAATGCTGAAACAATCAGATAATTTAAAATGAAGGGAAGTTGTTTTTTTTTATTAAAAATAAATAAATAAATGATACTTATTTATTTCAACCATCAATCAACTTTTACCGATCAGTTAAAAACTAAATGCTCAAAATTTGACCAGATCGAAATATCTTCCTAATATAACTACCCCTTATGGTATTAAGGAAAGTAAACAGATGGGTAGGTCACATTGTCGAATGAATATTGACGATCCACAGAACTCATGGCCAAGCTTGTAATGGTTGTACCATGACAAGCGATGAAAGGATGATTGACCAAAAAATATACTGACTGAGAAAGCCAGGACCTAAAGGAGTCAAAGCTTAAGTAAATAAAAAATAAGGTTAATTCATTGATACTGTCCCTAATGGTAGTTTTTTCAGGTAAGATATTCCAGAGTTCCAATTTAAAAAAAATATGTTAATACTGCTAAAATTTGGCATGATGTAAGCAGTTCACCAAACAATTTAACGTAACAAAATGTCAATTTTAAAAAAGTTGCCACTGAATTTTAATTTTTCTGAATGATTTGATTGATCTTATGATATAAAAAATAACAAAAGTCAAGAAACTGAACAGAAAAATGTAAATAAAATGTGATAATAATAATCATTGTATAAATTTTATTGTAGAAGTATTAGAAAAAATCCTAAATTTAATAGCAAAATACTATCAGTGATGAAGAAATTGTTAAGCATTTTATCATTATTTTTTTTAATAATTAATTACTTGTGATCTATTGTAAACAGCATCATGCCATAAAATAAAAGATTATTTTTATAGAGAGTATCTCATAGAGGTGATAAATATTTGGTTTAATTTACAAACATATCTAAGATATATTTACATATATGATACATACAAAAAGGCTCCAAGTCTTACAACAGGCACGTAGTTAAATACACATAAGAACAAAAAAATAAAAATTTTAATTATAAAAACATTTCAATATCAGTAAAACCTGATAATTAACTTTTCTTGGGTCTGACATACCCAAAATACATCCGATAGATAAATAATTCTTCCATCTTTAGGTAAACGACGCTTATAGAGACACTTCCCAGTCCTTGCATCAAGAATATACCATGATCGTGATTGGATGTAGTCATAACATAGGAAAATATTGAGAAGAGACCTTGTTTCTGGATGGAAGTCTCCAGGAAGTTTGGTAACCCAGAGGACATTTCCATTCAATAAAGAAACAGCTTCCACTCTACTGTAATGTGTCTCAGCACGTGAAATACCATAAATAACATCTTTCTTATAATTGGTATGGTAATCGATGAAAGACTTCTTGATCATTCCAATTTTTTCTCCACTCAATCTATTGAATGTATTTATCTCCCTATCAGTAATCAAAGCTAAAACATTTTTACTAGTCCTTATCCAACTGAAGTCAAGGCATTCTATATCAAATGATTTGTCACCTGATAATGCATAAACTCCTAGTAAAGTATTCGAACGAGCAAAAACATTTTCTTTGGCTCGTAACAATGTGCATTTCCAAGGGAATAAAAGCTTCTTAGTAACACCTGTACTAAGATCAACAATATTTGTTGACTGGATGAATAAATAGTCACAAATCCATAATTTGTTTTCATATAATAAAACAAATTCTACAGACGAATGTTCAAAAACAATGCTGGATGTAGGAAAATTGTCCCTATAAATGCATAATTGCCCAGTTACAAAACCACAGAATAAATAAGGTTTATAATCCTCAGTTTGGTATACAGCTACACAAGTATTCCTGATTACTACAAGATAATCCTTATTCATCTGTATTTCTCGCACAAAACATCCTGTAAAAGTGCGCTCATGTAGTGTGATAATCTTTGAATTTTCTCTTGTGTAAACAAATATTTCAGATCCATTGCTTAGAGCAATCTTTCTATCATGGGTGGCAATGCAGTAGTGGGGTGCTAGATCTTCTGTCTGTAGTTTTGTTTCCAAAAACAGGTTCTGTTCCCAATTGTAAACTGCGCCCCATCTCCACTCCCCCCATATTCTCGCATGTCTGCACAGCTCGGAGTAAGCATCTAAACAATTTTGTAGTTATGAAATCAAAATACCTTCTAATTAAAATATACAGTACAATAAAGGTTAAACCTGAGTTTGGACAAAAATTATCTGTGACTAAAAGCTAAATTAACAATTGCAGATAATTTAACTGTGAAAATTAGCTATGAACCAACATTTAATAGCTAAATTAACTGCATATTTATCACAGATAATTTTGGTAATAATTAGATGTTCAGATAAACCTTAGCTAAGTAACAATTAGTTAGCTTAACTAACAATTAGTTTAAACCATACAATAATTACTAAAATAAAAATTAAGTTCTAGAGGTACAACCAAACCTATTCTAATCAGAGTTGGAAGATTGAGCAAGATTTTTTCCAAGAGTCTGCCTCGAAATAAATTTCAACCAACCCAGGCTATATTGGAACCGGCACAGCTAAACATGAGATGTAAAAGCGGGTAACACTTTAAACTCTGTTGGCCAAAACAACTTCAAATTCAAGTCAAGAACTAAAGACTGGATACTATATTTTATCAGCAGGACTAACTGAAACAGGCCTTGTGATGCTGATATTGACAGTAATAAATGCTATACTAACATAACCATGAAAGAAGTATCAGCAGCTAGTGATTTGAGGATGGTTAAACAGAGAGAGGGGATTTTCGTATCTTTAGATAATTGTAACTTCGTCTTTCAGGCTAAGGTATTAGCAATTAATTGCATCAATAGCTGCTTCCAGTCTCTAATAGAGGAGAATGAGGAACAGGCAAATCATGATATTTATGGATAGTCAAGCAGCCATTAGTGTCATACGTGCTATGCACTATGTACTATGCAACTCGGTCTAAGTTAGTGAAAGAATATAAAGGAAATTTAAACATTCTTTCTAGAACCTATCAGGTGATGGTTGAGTGGTTTCCTTCCTACATACCCTTAAATCTTAGGTAATAAGAGGGCCCTAGATTAGAGGGGATAGTTTAGTTAGGAAGGGCTCAGAAAAGGTGCCTTTAGCACCAGAGCCCAAATTGGTATTATCCTTGCTTATCCCAAAAGAAATATTAAGGTCACTGTAGGAAATAACACTAATCCCCTAATGAGAGAACTTCTAGGAGGGACGGAAACAAACATCAAAAATCACTAGGATAAAACTGCCAACGACATATGCAGATGAGTTGTTATAGCTATAACAGTACATTTTCAGTTTGTTGTGATTGCATTATTAATTCTAAGTTGTGGGAATTAATTGATCCCAACAGTATAAATAAGTTCGCAAAGGCTATTGACTTGTTTGAATATATAGGATGACAAGCAATATGCCTCAGTGAAGTTTCAGTACATTAATGCCTAAAAAAATAATAAAAATTGTCAACAGATTTAGTTGTATGCCCAATAACATGGAAACTGATTGATTTTTGCAGCCTTAAAAAAAAAAGATTCAAAAAGACTTCTCAACAGAACCTAGCAAAGAAATTCAGTAAACAGTTTTTTAAGAATCTATTATAATCAAGCATTAATTTTATTCAAAGCATCCATTGGACTCTTCTACATGAATTCTATCACGTATCCTTCATTAAGGTTCTAAAAAATGATGCCAAGAACCCCAATGACAATATTATTTCTCACATGGATGAAATGAATTTACAAACTATGATCACACTAGATTACAATAGGATCATAATATTGTGAAAGTTTTGTATTAATTAAAACAATATTATCAAGAATAGGTGTGTGTACTTGAGTAATGGTATAATAGCAAATGTTGAGAGAAAAGTATAAAAAGGTGCTGAGAGTAATCAGTTCAACAGAAATAAAACTTTTACTATCTTTTTACCTAATTGAAATCATACTAACAAATTGATGTAAAGGATCATGAGTTTTCTTTGATCTAAAATGAAAATAAACATACATTAGGATTGAGAAAACATTAATTTACCTGAAGAAGGTTCTTTATTAATGTCTAAATCATCTAATAGACACTGCTTTTTCCAAAGAAATTCATCATTAGCAATCGCCTTCCACGCTTTTGACACTTTAAATATTTTCCACAAATCATCTCCATTTAAATGGCTTAAAATATTTTGTCCGATTTCAATAGGGAGTCTTACGAGGATGTCAAAATTATGGTTAGTGGTCATCTAAAATGAACGTTAGTAATTATTAAAAATCATTTCAAGCACGGTCCTCCTTAGCACTGTAAAATAATTGTTCTAAAATTGAATAACAGTTGTTACAATTTAGACGTAAGTTTCAGAAAACATGTTTTAATTAGTAAGATTTATCCTGCATCTTTAAGTATTCCATTTAACTGTTGAATCATCAAGAAAAGTATTAAATTCGGCCTCGAAAAATGTGATCATCAGGCTCAAACATCAACGAAATCTTGCTTTTTATTTACTTTTCTACATTTTAAGGTTTTATATTGTTGCCATCGAAGTGATAACATCTTTCATTATATAAGTTGCTCTAATCGTTCACGAATCTCATTGGCAGTTATTAGGCTGCTCAAGGAACCACCGTATTTGTGTATTAATTTCTTTATTTTCATTTTATCCTAATAATTTTGGATATTTTAAGCTTTGTATAAAGTAGACTGGTCTGAAACTGTTGTTCTCCAAGTTTATCCTATGAATTGGCATACTTTATTATATGTTTTGCTTATGCTCTATCTAAGTAGAACTTAGAAAACGAATCCTGCAACAGTAATCCAAAATCCACGAAGGATTTTGGATTCTGTACTTTGCAAGGAAGTACTACTTTAAGGACAACTGTTCTGCAGAGAGGTGACAGGACTGAGATCACGAACTTGAAAACTGACCAAAAAACATCATGTGTCACAAATCACTTTTCAAGGTACTATTGAAGACTAGAGTTATTACAGTTTAAGGTTTATTAAAATTGTTGACTTTCACTAACGAGAAAATTTTCAAACAATCCCTCGACTTACCTAAATAATTACGAAGTAGTTTTTGACAGCGAAGATCGGGCAGAGAAGTGAACCTTATAAGGCCTAATGGACGTTGATGTTTTTTTACTATGTCCAATTACTAAGAATAATATGGGTGTCAAATACAGTCTTATATTTCACAAAGATCTCCAATTATATGCCAATAAAAAAAATTATATGCCAACAGGATTCAAACCAAAAGCATTTATTATGTGTTGTCTAGATAACTTACATCAAACAATGGATTATGTTAATTCTCTAATTTCTGTAAGATTAAATATATTTTATGTTATTTGTAATACTGATATTTATTTACTTTGTATTACTCTCAAAGTTCTTCATCTTCTTCTTATTCAATAATCTCTTCTACTTCACAGTATAGAGATATTTGCACAAGGAATGCCATCTGTCTCTGTCGATGGCTGCAACAAAGACCCAGGCAATTCTCTTGAGGGGCACGAATGACAGGGCATATTCATGGTTCGTATTATATTTAGTATCGTATGTCCAAAAAGAAATCGTATGTCCAAGTGAGGTTGTCACCTACCTTGGCATAAAAATTGGTCGAAAGTAACGTGATTCCTCAGCTGGACTATATGAGAATTAGAGTCACAGTGGCCCTAAATGGACTAAGTCGTGTCGGAGGCGCCTTCTGGGGTCTAAGTTAGGAGTAGTTTTGGGTATTCTGAGATATGCGTCCTCAACCTGGAACATAAACCTCTCACACCGACAGAAGAGTAGGCTAGCATCGATTCAGAGATTGGCTTTGCTTCGGTTCACTAGAGCCTTTAGAACAGTATCTCATGAGGCAATGTAAGTACCGGCAGAGGGGACACCTCTCGATCTCCTACTGCGAGAAGACTATTACCTCTTTAAAATGAAAAGAGAAGGTTGGGGGGATCTACCGGGATATCTAAAGATGAATGAGAATTGAAGAAGAAAGAATATGGGAGAGAATTATCAGGTAGGACACAGTTGATCAATGGAACCGGCGATGGATGGCAACTCTGAAGGAGACTACCCTAAGAAAGTACTTCCCCACAGTCAAATCACGATTAGATGCATGATGGGTCCTCCCGGAGTACTGGGTTTCTCAACCCCTCGCGGGACATGGGGGCTTCAGTGTGAAACTCCCTAAACACGGGAAGAATATTGATTCACTACACCCCAACTGCAAAGTTCCGGAGACCGCCTAACATGTGGTCGCTGACAGAGAGCATGTTCCCATTGCTAATGAGCAGAGAAAATTACCCACATTATGGAGAATTCATATACGGGTGGAAAGATGCTGTAGGCCTTACACATCTTAATCTGGGAATAAGAGAAGGAAGTTAAGACAAGCTATATTTTCGAGGACCGACTTCATGTGGAAGAATGAAGAAAAAGAAAAGCGTAGTCTTGTGCACACAAACAAGTCTAATAGTAAATAGACCTATACTGCCAGCAATGACATACGCATTCTGCGTAATGCTCACTGCTGCTACAACCCGTATTGCCTGTAAGATTAGGAAGTGAGAAAAAAAAGTCTCTGTCGATGGCTGCTCTCCTGGCTTCCAACCATCCGACCCTTTTACTTTTAACGATATTTTTGAGGTTATCCTTACAAGTAATTCTCATACTTCTTCTTGGTCGTTTTCCCACTGATTTAGTCTCCATAGTTTTCTTCACTGAATGGTAGATATCCATCCTCATTACATGATCGAACCATCAAATTTGCTCTTTCTCAATTATCTAATTGAGGGATTCACTTTTGAGTATAGTTCGTAAGTCTTCAAATGTAAAAATTTGGCAACTTTCAAAGTTGTCAAACTAAAATATTATTTAAAACGACATACAGGTTTGAAGGTCATGCTGACTAAACCATCATCAAAGAAATACCAATACTCTCACTCTTAGAGCTCAGAAAAGTTTAATTTAGTACTTTTTTTATTTATTTATTTTTTCCTATGCCTAAGTAACGCCTGATTGATCAGCCATGCCTGCTCTTGCAGTCCATTATAATTTTGCTCTCCGAGCATAAGGGCTGTCCATTTCACTAAACGAACATGTTCTCCTGTCATATCCAAGGAACTTAGAGGGCATGTCGGGCTCTCTTTGATCCCGATGCGGTGGAGGTGCTTCTGAAGGAAATCATGCCCTGTGAGCATTCTAAAGCATGCTACGGTTTTCCCTCTAGGGAGGTCTTCCGGGATCCTGCCACTTTCTTCCAGCAATCCAGTACTTCGCTTCTCTTCAATTGTTTGCGCATATTTCTCCGTCAATGAACTTTGGAGGGTCTGTTTTATTATTCTTTTCGTTGAATCCATGTCAAGAGAAATATCTGGTTGCATCATTTCAGAACCTATTCTGGCCAGTTTGTCAGCTTCATCATTTCCGTGGAGCCCGCAATGGCCTGGTATTCACTGGAAAACGACTTCTGTCCCATTTTCCTTTAATTGGCTGGTGAATGGAACTTGTGTCAATGTCGAGAGAGGCTTTCTTTCAGCTAGTTCTAGTCCTTTTCTTTGTATCAAACCTTCCACTTCCTTAGTAAAAGTAATTTGTGTTTTAAGGCGTTCAGGTGCGGGTTCATAGGTTCTCCAGTAGCTGATCTTAAGACGTTTTAGCCCTTCATAGAGCGTAATGGCCAGTTGCTCCTGGTGTGTCTGAAGAGGTACTATGCCTGTTTGTAATTCTACCGCAGATATTTGAGTTGATCTGCTTCCTCCTGTCACGAGTCTGAGGGCCTGATTTTGGATTATGTCAAGCTTAAGTAAAATCGCATCCAAAGCAGTGATAACAAGTTCTGCGCCATATTCAATAACATATGTTTTGTAGGCAAGAGCCATAACATTCCCGTTGCTCCCCATTTTGAGCCACCTAATCTCTGTATTAACGAAAGTCGTGTTGAAGCCTGTTGTAGTTGTTTTTCAATATATTTATTCCAGGAGGGTCTTTTACCGAGTTTCACTGTAAGATATTTAGCTTCTTCTGTGCGTTTGATCTCCTTATTATTATGGTTTAAAATTAACTCGTGTGATTTGGTAGAGAGGATAAAAAGTTGGAATTCCGTCTTTTCGGAATTAACTATCATCTCGTTTTCATTGGCCCACTTCTCTAGTAATTTCAGTACCTGTTGCATGTGCTATTCTAGTCCTTTAAAGTCACTACTTGTTGCCCAAATGAGCAGAGCATTTGTACCCGGAATAGTTTCAGTGAGTTCCGTGATATCATCAATCATGATTTGAGTACATGAATAATACTTTTATAATAAAATTGTATTACTCGGAAAAAAAATTTATTTAAATTGTTTTTTTATAAAAAACAAATGAAATGTTTTCAAGTACGTATATACTTAGAATCCACTCAGTAAAGTTGTATGTAATTGTTGGGGATTTTCCCGAACACATTCTTTTAACCGAACTTTTGGTATTTTGTACTTTTCCATGTAGCAGTTAAGTCGGATTACTTAAATTGCACATTATTTCAATGTCAAATTTTTTTTAGTAATTGTTCGAATATAAATCTGAATTAGTTTATTTACAAAAGATTAAATTTATTTGATTTTTCTTATTTGGGATTAAAAGCATTTCTTTTTTAGTTTGAAAAATTGCCTGATTTTTTTTTTTTATTCGTTTTCTTTAAGGCCAAGCGTTTATTTAGGGAGTGAGGTAGTTCAGTGTGTATTATGGTCCAATGCTCTAGGTCCTGGTTTTGGGTCCGGCTTTGACACGAGATTATTTATTTTGTTACATCACCTGTAGATCGGCCCTGGAGTCTGAAGACTCTCATGGGGCATATCCATTCTCTATAAAGTGGAAAAATCTGGCGGATAAGCATGATCTCATTCAAACTACCTCTTCCAACACAACCATTCAACAAGAAACAGAACTACCTCACCTAAGTACTGAACACAAGACCCTTCAATTTTTTTTTTCTTTAACGTAGATTGATCATACTTATTGATGCAAAGAGAGTCAAATGACCTACATTTTTGGCATAATTTATTATAACGAATTTTCACAAGTCATCAATTAAATGGCCTGTATAACAATATAAAACCTCTTTCATTTCAGTTACAGAGAGAGACGGATCCAGAAATTGATTTCAAAGGAAGGTGTGCAAAAACACAAGGAAAAAAGACAAAGGTTTTTATGAGGCCACTATCTATTATAATTATTGTGGTCGTTGTCCATTTGACAAAGACAGAATGTTACTTTTTAATTAGAATCCAAACTACGGTCACCGCGATGAAACGATAGATACATTTAGTAATATTATTAAACTATTTCTCTGGGTCATAAGTAATTCAGTATGAAGTATAAATATATTTACACAAGAAAAAATGAAAGAGAGTAATAATGCTTACAATCAGCTCATAATGTGTCTGGTTAGGCCGCAATACATCGTGTCATAAAAATAAATAAAATAATGCTTACAATAGAATCTCGTTGGCCACAGAGAATGTACCCTGAATTATAGAACATAGTACATATTCAAGGTCGGATTAAGATTAGTGAGACCTCTTATTCAACTTAACATTCACAGCTTTGAAACTACCAAAAAAGGTTTCGACTTTAGCTAACTTTCATGTTTCAAACTATAAATTTAACATTTTGTTTATCATTTTATGGAGGATTTTTCGAACATTTACGAGTATTTCTAGCCTGTAAGGTATAATTTGTTATACCCCCCTTCACAGCCACTTTGTCCGATTGTCGTTTGATCCACTTCTGATAGAACTCGTATTTATAATATTATTAGCTCTGTTTTTTATATAATTTTTTGAAATTCAAATGGTCAATTAATAGAAGTCAGATCTTAAAAGAACTTGTTCTGAATGACTCCGACTTAAATTTAACTGCTAATTAGTAACAGTTTGTTCATTGTTCTCAAGATATAATGGGAAAATAGATCATGTTTTATAGGAATTGAAGAAGTTACAGATATTGATGAAAGTGGTATTTGATGTATGAGATAAGATAGTGAGTGATAACAACGGTACTTCATTAGTACAGATAGTCAACAATTTCAACTAGTTACAGGTACAGCAATATGATCCGCCCCTTTTTGTTGATTCTTTGCGCTTTAGGTGTGTTTTCGTCAGGATGCGAAGGGCCACAGCACAATGCACAATACGGCAAGAGATCCCAAAATGATATGTAAGAAAGCATTGAAGTAAAAAGTAAATTATAAGTATTTTTGGCTTTCAAGGTGGTCTTAGTTCAAACACAACGAAGAGTTTTCTTTATTTTCAAATTCGAAATTGGATATATATATATTACTCATTGTTGTATTAGTAAATTATCTCTAAAATCAGGTCATACTTAAAATTTCATTTACTTTCTGATTTTATTTACTTCCTTTATAAGCACAATCAGTTAATCAAACAGGTCATTATAGTTCTACAATTTAGTTTTAAGAATTTAATTAATTTGACTTTATGCTTAATTATATTTTATCAAATGATAACAAAGCATTTGATTAAAGGTTTTATCCAAATAATTTTAAATGAAATATAAAAACGCTACAAATTATTACACAATGGTTAATTATTTCCAAACAGTAATATATCATATGCAACACTACTTTCTTTGTCACATATAGGAAAACAAATAGAAGATAATTTCTAATATAGGCCTAAATATATATATATATATTTTCATCATTAGTAATTTTCTAAGAAATGTAGACAACAATCTCAATTGACTAAGGTGATTTGAAACTTTCCAAAAATAATATCATCTTTGCAGCAGAACATGTGGGAAATATTTAGAGCGACACTCCTTTGCACCAAATCGTCCGATTCCAACCATTCTTTTTTTTCACGAAATTTTGTAAACTTTTAAATCACCATACAAAACGAAAACCACAAAAAAATATGTACTCCTTGAGTTATTCGAATATCTAATTTCACCACCCCTCGTAACTTTTTTTCCATCTTCTTTCTAATGAAGTATGTTATAAAGATAAATTTAAAGGCCTCCGAAGGAGGAGATTTTAGCCAGTCGATATCAAATCGGTACATTAGTTTAGGCTACTGTATATAGTGACACAGGTTTTTTTCGGCTGCCATCTTGAAAGGAAGGCCGGATGTTAATGTCGAGTACCGAAGAGGATCCTCGGAGGCCCTTTGATGTTGATACAGATTCTCATAACAATCGGTCCAGTAGCCTTAGCGAGAAACCGCGAACAGACTTATTTTTTTAAAACCGATTTTCGGATTCTATGTATCTTGAAATGTAATACCTTAAATTTTGAGGGGTGGTTAACTTTTTTTTTTTCTTCTTGTCAATTAGGATGGTTGATTATTAAAGTAAGAAACCAAAAACATTACCTAATATTGCGAAATCTAAAAAAATACTTTGCCACATATTTAAATTCCTAACTAGGTTTTTACATAATAATAAGGAATGTTAATAGAGAGCTAACATTATAGAGAGTATAACATTTAAATTAATGTTTGTTACGGTTATTTTTAAAGTATATTATTTATGTTCGATGTCAATCAAAGGAAACTAAGTTAAATAATTTCGTTACTTTACTTTCCAGACTTGAATATGTGGACCACATTCAATTAGATTATAGATTTCTACGAGTCGTTGAGAAGGTGATAACATATCAACCAGTTGACCCATCCAGCAAATTAATAAACTACATCGAGGTTATGGACCAATATACCAACGGCGACGGAGGTTGTCCTACATTACTTGCAGGAGGACCAGGATTCAACCACACCACGATTAAGCTAACTTCTAAACGTAATCACGGGCTGGATTTCATCATAAGAATATTTGTAAAATATTATTTTTGAAGTTTTTGCTTAAAATTAATATCAATTAAGGCAATTATTTCGATAAAAAACATCCCAACATAGTAATTAAAAGTAAACATGAAGATTCAAAATTGTAAACGTTATATTATAGAAAAATAAACATATTATTTGTTAATAATATGTGTATTTGTTAATTTAGGATAAAAAAGACAGACATAAAGTAATTAGATCAACGTAAATGTTTGGAAGCAGGAGTTAATATTTTGTTGTTAGTCACTTGCTCAGAATTGTTTAATCAGCCTTTCAGATAAAAATAACTCATTTTGTGCATTGGGACGAACATCCGCCTCTCTTCCATTCCATCCACCTCAGAACGAATACTATACTATTATCAATTAGCGAACTTTTCTATTCGCTTATATATATATGACATACCGAATCCGATATTAATTATAGAATTGTCTTCTTCGTTCTCTTAAGGAAATATATTTTCTCTTTTAAAAATTAATTCTTTTTGAAATTATATCTTAAAACAACGTTGCACATCATAAGCTAATTAGCCAAAAAATCAAAATTATACTATATAAAAACAATAATCGCACAGCTACAGCAATGTAAAAACTTAGAATTAGATAAAAACAAAAAATTGTAAGTTTGGTTCAATATACTTGGGGAAAAAAAAGGTATCTCGTGATTGGGTAGAACTCTGAAACGTTCTTCAATTTTAAATAAATAAAAAAGGCGTGAGCCTTATTAAAATATTTCTAATTTTAAAAAAATAGAAAGGGATTAAATTGCTTCATTGGCATTAAATAGAGAAATAAAAGCTTTGTAAATTATTACCCAAAGGGTAAGTTCAATACGTATAGCGAACTACTTTAACTACCACATTGGAAAATATTTGTCATACCAGAATTAGGACTCTACGGGTAGGTTTGAGATATATAGGTATAAATAATTTTTTAATAAATATAAATAATTTTTTTTAATCGTTAAGAAAATTTTAATTTCTTCAAAATATGTTCTGACTCAAAAGGAGGAAAAAGTGCATCCTTTTTGAGTTATTCGCGAATGTATTTTTGAATTAATCAAAACTCCTTTTCAGGTCCTTTTTCGAGGAAGTATGTTATATTTATAAATTTATAAAGTGCACCATAGGGAATACTTTAGGAAAGATTTTTATTAATAACGTCACAGCCGTTTTAGTGCTGTCTTCTATAGATAAAGGGTTTTTTCCACCGCCATATTGAAATAAAATGGCGGCTGGTGATGAGACTTCTGAAAGGCACCTCTCCAACACCAACTTAAAATAGATATAAAGTTGCAACCTTCCAGCTTTGTTAGGAGGAACTGTGGAGATAAACAATACTTTAAGAATAGGAAAAAATGTTCTATCAAGTGGAAATTTTGAAGAAACTTTTCCAAAGTTTAATAGAATTGTTCCGCCTGGGAACCAACTCTACTTACCAAATTTCAGTTTATTAGGTCAAATAGCGGACGCTGGGGAAGCCAAAAGATGGTGGAAATATATGTATATGTATATGTATATAATTGACATATCTAAAAATTGCAGAATCATGATCTAGGGGTTGTAATGGATAGAAACCGCAACCCCGCCTTCCATTGATGACTTTCAATATAGTGCAAATAGTCTATTACTTCTGTAGGAAATTAGACAAAAAATACGGAAGAAAGTAAAAGTAAGATCCACAAAATAAAATAAAAAACCTTAAAACTTAATTATTTTTCAGGTTTTGTAATTTTACGTTGTGCTTATTTTTTATGAAACTACTTACTTTTATGTTTAAAATACAAATTTTAGAAACAAAAAATAGATCATTCCTCACTTTCTAGAAAATTTATTTCTTCAAAATGATATTTTATTAATTTATGCTCATATTAGTAAACTGGTAACACAACTATAAAGATTCCTAAGAAATGGGAAAACATACTATTTTTTTAAAAATTGATGCCCAAAATTTTGAAATGACCCCACACTGTTATTAATAAATAAAACATTTTCTCCCTTCTATACATTTTTATGAAAAGAGTTTTGGGTGAATTTTCATGCTTTCCTTTACATGAACAGAGAAGATAGTCTAAAACTCTCCTGTGGATACTGAGTGTTTTTTTTCTTCAAGAAATTGTAATAACCTAATAAAACGTATTGTTTATAACTATGGACTAGCGTAAAGTTTGTAAAATAATAATACAATAAATCAAGCTTAAAAAAATAAAATAAAATTAATAATAGAATGTCTTGGTTTCAGCCTATAGGATAACTTTGGATGTCCATTTTTGAAAGTTACTGTAAAGGTAAGCTATAAAGCTACTGGAAATATGAAATGAATTTTGGGAAAATCAAGGATTTCTTTGAATATGTAACTTGTTATTCTTTGCACAATTACAGAATTTAAATTTTGGAATATACTTATTATTATGAAATAAGTATACTTCTTCTAATAATTATGTCTGATGAGGATTATAAAAGGACAAATGTCAAAAATATGAATTCTACAGGAGAGCCAATTGAATCTTTAGTAATTTTTGGTTAAATTTAAAATAAAATTAAAAAACAAAAATAAAAGAAAGGAAAATAAATAAACAAAATTGAAGAACAAAAATAAATTGTACAATAGACAGTCATAGTTTATTAAAAATTAACTATATACATTTTTTAAATATAAAGGGCCATACACAAAAAAAAAAAACTTACAACCATTTAATTAAAATATTTTTATACAAATAATTATAATATTTGATATAAAACTAGCTCAATCCACTTTTTCCATAAAAAGTTTTTATTTTATTTTTCATGGTTTCTCAATTTACTGAATCCACTTAATACAGCAAAACCATATGGTCTAAGAACCTCATAATTGAGTATGAAAATTGGTTCAAACCCATGGGTTTGACATTAAATAGTGTTCAATCAAATTTTATTGGGTCTCCTGTAATTTTTTTGAAAATGGATTGATCCAGTTTGAACTTTTGCATCATATATGAATTTCTATTGATGAAAACAAAAATTTTCAATATTCCATTTCAGAAAATGCGAGTAATGATCAATTATCACATAAGATACAATAAATTCATGTTTTATGTTGCTGGATCAGATATAATCAAATAGTGTGCATTATTCAATTGTGAAAAACAAAAAGTATGTTCCTTCTTAAATGAAGAAATATAATAAGGAAAAGTTCCAAAACAATGGTTATAGCATTAAAAAAAAAAGAAAAGAAATGTTTTCATAATCAATGAACGATTACTTAATTTTAAGTCGTTGACAGCTTAGAAACCATTTTCATTTGATTAGAACTAGTCAAGAAGTTCTATAAAGTACAGTTAATCTTCCCCAGCAACAGAACATATGAGAGGAGAGGAAGCTAACAAATAAAGGCAATGTATACTTTTCAATGAAATATGGAAAAGAATGCCAACTAGAAATAGTTCAATGGTAAGAATAAAATAATCATTTTTCAATTCAAATGGTAATAAAATGTATGGTCATAACTTTGACTATAAATTATTAAAACTTCACCGTTTTTATTCAAGATATTGGAATGTCATATTTTCCAATATGTACTAAAATTAATTTCATAAATTATAAATTATAAAAACTCGTTAACAACTTAATGAAAATTATGTACTTTATGGCCCCACTTCATTACACTTAAAGAAATTTTAATGAGACATAAAAAAAATAATGATAGTAAAAATAAGAAAATATAAGTCCACAAGGAATGTAATTCAAGATTTAATAATGAATTTAAAAAAGTTAATAAATTCAATTATTAAAGATACTAAAATAAATTAATAGAAATGGTATACAGGCAAGAAAATTAAGCACAATTTAATATATATACACTAATGCTTAGTTCACAGTAATTTGTGAAAACAATGATATAAAGATTAAACAAAAGAACTTACAAAAATACAATAACAATACTGCTAAAAATAAAAATATTACCAAAATCAAAAACTAGTAATAAGATGAAGCATCTACTAATAAAAAAGGATAACACGTAAGACCCTGTAAAAAGTTTATCAAAGCTAGAATAAATTGTTGACACACTATTGTCCCTTCTGTTAGCTTTGTGTTTTGCAGTGAAAAATAACTTTTTGATGAATATTTATTTTAGTCATATAACAATCTTTTAAAAAAGGGAATTTAATAAAATTAAAATGGAGTAATCCATTTTTGTAAAATAGATGCCTCATATTACTATTCAATACTATTTTTATGGTTCAATTTTAAAATAAAATTTAAAACATTCATTGTGAATAATTTTTTTGTCACAAATAACATTAAGTTTAAAACATATTCATAAAATTTATCATTTGCAAAGAAAGGAAAAAAAAAAATTAAAATTTTGATTAATTAGTGGCAGTATTACCAGCATATCTGATATTTATTTTCCAATAGATTGCAGGTGAAAATAAATTAATTTAAATATTAGTTTTCACGAGCCTTGTAATTATTGTTGGTAACTAAGGAACTAAATCATAGTTTGCCTCAAAACAAAGGCATATTAATTCATAGGTCAATATAAGAGTGGTTTCGAAATAATATGGTCTTATAACCCAATAACAGAAATAATACTTAACGGATTAATTTCTCAAAATAATATAAACAATGAAAAATTCCACTGCTCGATCAGAATAAAGCATCAATCTAGAGCTTCATGATAATCAAAAAACTTATGAGATTTGAACAAAAAATCAAATATGATAGGTAATAATGGGATTTTTGAGACACTGAAAACTAAAAATCAAGAAATTATTATGAAATGAAAAGCAGCTGCAATTCTTTATAATGGATTCTTGATAGTTGATCAGTATAATGAAATTAATTAAAACTAAATATAAGCACTATTGTTTCATTTCTTTATTCCAAGTATACACTGAATAAATATCCAAATTTATTATCTTTAAAAAAAAATCCAACGCCCATGAAGGGGTATGAATTTCTTTAAAAGCTTTTTAAGAAACTCCATGTCATTGGGATAAAATGTTTATAAAAATCACAGTCAGAACTCAATTAAATTATAATTAATACTCAATTTAAAATAAAAATAAAATGCTCATAAAATAAAGTAACTACCATAAACCTGATGATCCTCAGGTTTGGAATACATTAGCTAATCTAATAAAAAAAAAAAAAGTATTTCATTCAAAATAATAGTAATCAATTGTACTAAACAATTATAAGTACTAAATAATAATAACTGATGATTAAGTCTGTGTATATTAATTTTTGAAAATAAAATATGAAGTGATAATAATAAAGCAGATTGGATTGGACTACAATAACATAGCACATGAAAAGAAATAAAATTTTCAAGAAGAAAACTTGATTTGGAATTATAAGAACTTGTAAGGGACTTCATAGCACCATTTAAGTGAGACTCACAGAAATAAAATTTATAACCAAATAAGAAAGAAGGAATACTTTATAGAATTTAAGGTGTATAACATGTGCTATATAAAATGGAATGAATCAAATCTAGCCACTGTCATGAGATGAACAGACATGACTACATGATATCCAGATATCATCATAACACCAAATTAAGAGGGTCTTAGTTTCCGAAAGTATAAATCTTAAAACAGCTTTATTAAGGATGCTGTTTTCCCGATTTTTTGGAAAAAAATTGTTGGTTAGATCTTACCATGAAAAGATATGAAAGGTATTTTAAAAAAAAACACCAATCAGATCCCACACAGGAAGAATGGCATATGAGATAAAAGAAAGATCCAAAGACATTAAGCAAGATCCCTAAACAGTATCAGAGTGATTCAAAGTGCTGGAGGTATAAAAGTAAGACTATCGGAAGAAGATGTTAACATAAGAAAATATTCAAGGAAGTTCTAAAAGGTACAAATCAATTCTTAAATTGCGAATCTCATTGCAGCGATGCAGCAGCCCAGGCTGTTATGAATTTGCAGCTGATAGGCTAGGAATGAATGGTGGAGAAAATAGGTGTAGTTAGAACTGTATAGTTTTCAGACATAAAAAAAAAAAAAAAACCTGTACCACTACAACCCATGAAGGGTCTTGGTCGTATTACTATGTGAAGAAGTACTGTTACAAGGCCAATGGTTGTGCATGCTCAACCGCAGTTTTTAGACTGAGTAAAAGTAAAAACACAAATCTGACAAAAATATTACCTACACACATTCAAACCCATTTATAAATCGATCTAATATTTAAAATATCACTCTTCTTATTTTATGTAGGCAAGTCACATGTTCTGTAATAGAACTAATTGACTGAAATGTTTTGTAATCGCAAGCAGAAATATGCCAGCCAAACTTACAATTTTATCAGTCAATGAGAACAAAACAAAGGCTAAATAAATATTAACATTTATTATCCTACTGTAACTTAGACCTTTAATTAATATTTTAACTGAACACAGAAAGTTTTATAAAAAGTTCTTTTTTTTTTTATACCAGTAAACCTAAGATAAATTGTCAAAAGGAAAAGTTAGCCATATTATGGCAGTGTTACAAATGTCAATTATATTGACTTTGGACCACATGAGTGTAGCCTTATTGTACCAATAATTGGGTGAGGGGGAGAAGTTCTGGATAAATTCAATTCATACTAAGAAGAAATAATTCAAATTCAAATTTAAATGATTTAAATCTTGGAAACTATAAAACATGAAAACCGATCACCAAAAAAATTTCAATGAAATTGTATTAGTAATTTTCATGTTAATTGAAATATAATACCTCCCTCCAACAGCATTCTCCCTATCCTCGTCGATACTTCTGAAATGTATAAAAAGAAAAAATGATTTGTTGATTAAAACAAATGTAGATAAAGATGATGCACAAGCATAACATCCCATTACATACTAAAATACATAATTTATAAAATAAGCTCATAACCCTCCACATCTTCACTTTTTGGAATAACTAAAATCTATGACTTATCCTGCTGGATATTGAGCAAACAAGAAATGCTACCTCCTCGGCCTACTCTTATTTCCTCCAGTATATAATTTGTAGTTTCGACTTCATACAATGAAACAGAAGCGTGAAAATAAAAACATACATTAATTTCTAGATCTAACAAATAAAAAAGTATTTGGTTTAAATTAAGTGCAAGAACAAAGATTGCCTTAATCAGAATGTCATTTATGAGCTTACAGAAAGTCATGAGTGGCTTTATAACAAGCCAAAAAAATATATTTTTCCTCTTAATGGCTTAAAAGACATTTAATAAATAGACCTGCTGCTTGGATGCGTTTTTGAAGTATAACTTCTACTTGAAATATAACTCCAGTTTGCCTAAAATAAAATAATAATAAATATAGCAACTAATATAAATTAAAATACTAGGTATGCACCTATAAATTTATATACAGAGTAATAATTATTTTTTCACCTGAAGCCCAAGACACCAAGAAAGACCAACTGGATTATGACAAGTTACACCAAGACGTTTGCATACTTGCCCATCACTGGTTATTGCCCACACTTCATCGCCACTGGCTGACACGCTGAGAAATTTATCTAGGCATTTAATGTCAAGTTCAATAATTAAAACTGACAAATTTTAAGTATAAAAAAAGTTACTTTGATCAAATTTAAAGCAATAAAGTCAAAATTAAGGTGATAAAATAATGATAACATGACTATTTTTTCACATACAAAAAAGGCAGAAACTATAGCCAAAAAGAGGAGGAAAATTAAGTATACCAGTTTATTTTAAAAAACTTTTTGTTAATTTCAACCTTATTTACAGATAAAAATTCACAGTAATCGCAATAAAATGACACAATCAAACATGGTTACAACAAGCACACAATTTTTTCATTTAATTAATAGAAAATTTATTAAAGATTGTAATGGTTTGAGGTTATGAAATATCACCTAATGACTTTTTGCAATAAACCAACGATATATTCATTAATAATATTAGGAAATAAAGTAAAAGGTAAATAATTTTAGCTACCAATAGCTGGATCAGTGAGTGCTTGCCAATGGGTGCCCTCAGGGAAAACAGGAGTCACTTCCTTCCTAACATACAATTTGCCTTCAGAATCTAAAGCCCAAACTGCCCATCGCCCAACAGACACTTTTTTAATGGCAACACCTTTTGGAGGTTCTACCAATTCCCATACCTCACCTGCAATTCAAAAGTTCGACAATTAATGATAAGAAGAGTTTGGTCTGAGAGCTCAAGCATCAAAATATCCAGTACCTGTGGGATTTGATGTAGTTACACCAAAACGCCAGTAGGCCGAGCCTGTTACCGACACTGCCCAAACCTGGTTGCCACAACCACAACTGATGCTGTTAAGAGGTTGTTCACAAGCAACATGTTCCCAACTATCACCCTATAAAGAACACAGTTTCAAAAATAGTTGACAAAAATTACCTCAACAATTTAAATCATGTTCAATAAAATTTTCACATACCATTGGATTTGAAACAGTAACCCCTTTCCTAAATAATGTGTCACCATTAACAGCAACTGCCCAAACACATACCCATTCCAATCCAGTGGAAACCTTTAGAAAAACAGGAAAAATCACTAATAATTATTAGAAAACTAAACTATTGAATTTATTTTTGACTTAAGATAATTGAGTTTATTCCAAAAATTAAAAAAAAATAGTTAAAGTCAATCAAATCTTATATGAGATAGATCAGGTACACGAGAAAAATTGCCAGGCTAAAATATTTTAGAAGGAATATGGAGAAATTTTATGAGATCAATTGGCATTTTTGAGTAATATACAAATCGAGGTTCAAATTTAAAAATAATGCTGAAGCTGAATAGGTACCTGAAGAGATATAGACTTGACTTTAGTATTGCCAACTTCTGCCCAAGGACCTGATGTTTGCAATCTGCAGTCTCTGGCCCATCTCCTCCTTCGAACATAATCTGTCATCATCTTGCGAGGATGGAAGGATGTTGAAAAATCAACAGCATACTGCCATCCGTCCGAATCTATACCTCCAGGAGTCAGGAAGTCTACGTACCAATCACTAGTCTGGAAGTAGTGTACTTATTAATTTTAATTAGTATTAAGCAAAATTATATTTAATAATTAATTTTGGAATTGGATCAAATCGCACCACCAACAATTTTTAAGGAGAACTGCTCTGAACATAATTTGCATAATTAATAGAGGTCTGCGAGTGAAATACTAGAAAAATCTAATTTCTAAGATAATTTAAAAAGACCATTGGGAAGAATTAAATTTAAAGAAAAAAAATATCAAATTTTAGTTGTGGGCATCAGTAACATAAAATAAGATCACCATGATATGTGTCGAATAGTACTAAATAAATCATTATCTATTATTAAAAGTAAAAAGTGGTTATAATAGTAAGATCAAGTAGCTATACGAAATTAAACATAATCTGATACTAAAATTTAATGAAATACCCATATTCATAAGTGAATATAAAATGTTAATAAGAAAATAATGGAAATTAAAAAAATAACATAGTATTTCACTCTGGAAATAAAGCGATAATATCAGAGATACTACAAGAAGATATCAGTAAAACTACACCAAACAAATTTTGTAACCATAAAATGTCTTCTAATATAATCACTTTTTAATTTCACAAGATCATACAAATGTTAAATATTTGATTAAGGATATAACTTGATCAGTCATTTGAGAAACACCTCACTTCCATTTCTTTCCAAACCTAAATCTGCCATCTATATTTCGTAATTAGGGCCATCCTCAACTACTCCACAAAAAGATCACATCTCCAGGGGAAAGGTATATGCATTGTCAAGGAACAGAGATGTGATATTTTATGTGGAATTCAGTAAGGGGCGGGATGGGGAAGCGGGCTAACGTGTGTACACAGCACCACCTGTTGCCCCGCAACCTGATACAGCGAAGTTGGAGACAATAAAATTATGAGTTCGTGTTCCGGTGCCCAGGGGTCTTTTAACTTTGGAATTAATCTCCTGCCCTGGCCTGGGAAAATCCCGTAGAGCCTAAAAGGTGAGGTACAGGAGAAAAAAAAAAGTGGAATTCAGTGGCAATGCCATCTCATTCAGCTACTTCATTTATTTTTATTCTTTCTAAAACATGTGCAATTTAATCTTCTATAGATCCTCATTTTTTTTAATGTGGCTGGGGTATCTTAATACTAACACTGCTACTGATTTTGTTTCAAACTTCCACCTCCCCTCCATTATCCTTTTTGCTAGGAGGATTACACTATTAGAATCATCTGCTTAATGGTTTCATTACACCATTTAGTATGAATTTTATTTCCACTCATGTTTTGCATCATAGAGACCACCTCAGCAATACCAAAAGTCCATTCTTCAAGATTATTCTATTCTTCCACAATGTATCATTCTGGTCCAAGAGTAGTAGACAATCATTCTGGATTGTCAAACTCGCATACTGTCATGGTTTTTGTATATTTACAAGTACAGATGGTTGTCTCTTAATAACCTGATATTGGCGAACAGAAGTAGATAATCCATGCCTATCTCTACTTCTCTTGTTACTTTAATATCAATAAATAATTGTTTTATTTCTCCATTATAGATAAAGTAATCAACTATACGGTTTCTGCCGATATTTGAGAAGATTACTTAATATATATTTGTAAGTGAATAAAAAGAATTGCTGATAAACATATTGTTATCCAAACATAAATCAATCAAGAGTCATTTTTTTTGGTTCTATCACCTTTGTTCAATGACCCCATGACCAGGCTTAAAATCACATCTTGTCTTTTCATTGACATCACTACTCAAGATTCCACGCCTCCTCTAATCTCTGCATTAACTCAAAGTTCTTGACTGATCAGTGTAAAATATCCTTTTAACAAAAACCCACGATTGATGTATCTTCAGTTGGTAGATATACATGAATGAATGTCTTTCCCACATTAATTAGAGATTTGATACTCTGAAATAAGAATCTATCAATACAAGGATCAATAATAATAAAAAAAAAAAGAAAAATTATTACAAATTCAGTAATACTAGTATAATATTTCAAATTAAGACAACTATTTTCTAGCCTATAACTATGGTTCATGACTTACCCAAGTCCAATGGAAAGACAATAGCCGAGTGGTTTCCTTGGACCTCTTATGGCAGCCTGTAGAGTCACTCCACATCGGACGATCAGTAGGAAGACCTCGGGGCGTGAACCCACTCAGGGGATTCCAACGCTGGTTTTCATAGACAAAGCACCTGCAGGTATCAATCATGCTGTTTATACCCACACTGCTGTTCTCTAGCCCTGGACAGATTTAATTTACATTTATAACTAATTATGTTCAGTTATTAGTAATAATTACTTATCATACAAGTCAAATAATGAAAACGCCAATTTTTATTAAATAGAAAATCCCATTGAGTTAAAAATAGCTTGAATGAAATCTTGTGTTATCTAAGAACATTAAATCGAATTTTAATTTATTAAGTGTTAGTTGTATCAAAAATAATTGTCATTTCATATTAATAATGGACAATTATAAGTCAGTAACACTATATTCACATTTTATTGGGTCGTCAGGAAAATAATGCAGGATTTTGAATTTTATTTAAAATACCACACTTTATAACAAACTGTTTACATTTACTGGATTATTCATTTGAATGAATGTCAACACTTATTAATCCTTTTCCAAACGATAATGTTTGTTTACTTCTGTAGCATTTCGCTGCTTAGAAATAATTCATTCTTTACAATGTGTGATTTTTGTATAATTTTGTTTTACATGTATAAACTCAGACGGAATAGGGTCCAGAAGACCAGAAACATCTATCAAGTCTGGGGCGAGAATACCATAAATGAGTGCACTGTTCAACAGTGGTTCAAAAAATTTCAGGAGGTAGACTTCAGCCTTGAAGACAAAGAAAGTCGTGGAAGGACTTCCTCTCTTGATTATGATGTTCTGCTAGCATTGATGGAAGAAAACCCCAGAACGTGTTCGAGAACTTGAAAGAAAACTAAACCTTAACAAATCGATCATCGATGGCCACCTCAAGGTGATTGGAAAGGTAAAAAAGCTTGAAAACTGGGTTCAACACACATTTAACGACTGCAAATAAAGCCAGCATTATGAAGTTTGTGCTACACTACGTTGCCGAAACAAAAACGACCCTTTTCTGTCCAGAATTGTTACTTGTAATGAAAAGTAGATACTTTATGATAACAGTAGCAGATTTTCCAAAGCCCCCAACTCATCAAAAAAAGGTGTTCGGTGGGCTTCATTTTCATTTGGTTGATAAACTAGTTTCTTAAATTCTGGAGAAACCATCAATGCTGAATCGTATTGTAACCAAATTAATGCTATAAATCAGAAATTGGCAATAATGAAGCCATCTTTGATCAATCAAAGCTTGGATATGAACTCTGCCATATCCTTCTTACCCTCAGGACCTCTCGCCAACAGATTATTCTGGATTATAGATATTATTATGGATTATATTATCTGGACAACAGATTATTCTAAACAGATTATAGACACCTCGACCACTACTTACCTGAAAAAATATTTAATAAACAAAGGGAATTAGAAAATGCGTTTTTGGAGTTTATTAATTCTAAAAATGTGGAAATTCTATTCCGAGGAAATGGAAAAGTTGCCAACATGTTGGCAGTAATGTATTGATAGTAAAGGAAACTATTTTGATTCTTCGACTACTACTTACCTGAAAAAATATTTAATAAACAAAGGGAATTAGAAAATGCGTTTTTGGAGTTTATTAATTCTAAAAATGTGGAAATTCTATTCCGAGGAAATGGAAAAGTTGCCAACATGTTGGCAAAAATGTATTGATAGCAGAGGAAACTATTTTGATTAAATAAAACAGTTGTAATTTTTCTTTTTAAACCAAAATCTTGCATTATTTTATGGCGAATCCAATATAACAATAAATTCATAAGTACAAAAAATAATCTATTATTGTGTATTGACTATGAGATACCGACCTCCTAAAAATGCACCACCCCAACCGCCAGTGTAAACCCAAGGAGTATTGTCAGCAGAAATACCCCAGGTAACACCTGCTGCACAAGTCTCCACGGTGACGAGGTGCCCTCCCATCTGTCGCCAGAACATTTCATTCAAAGATACTATAACCTGAAAGAATTTTAAATATTACAAATGAGATAATCATAAGCTAATTAAAAAAATACTTATATAGTTATAGTATTTATAATTATTATTTGTTAATGATATAAAATAATTATAAAAAAAAAAATACCTCCTTTGAACCATAATTGACACGACATGGCTCAAGGCCGCCAGTTATGCGTAGCTGTTTAATTCTTTCAGGCTCTATTCTGTGTTCAAAGTAAGTAAATACCATTCCATTAAATGAAATCTGAAAAGACAAGAACATAGGATTAGTTGAAAAAATAATTTATAGAAAATAGAAAAATGAAGCAGAAAACCAATATAAAATAAAAAATCTGGTGCAGGCATCATACAACTTTCACTTACCACTCTCTACCTAGCACAAATAAGTATTTTTAGACAAAGGGGAAGTGAAAGTAAAAATTATAAATGCTATATTGATTTGTATTTCATTGTGGGTATTTTTATTTTTATAAGTACCCTTATATACAAATTTTAATATTTATATTACTGCCATCTATACAGTTAAATATTAAATAATACCAACAATAGCATCTATGAAAACCGCATATGTATATTTACATAATATTGACGGAGTCCTTACTATTTTAAGCTCATGTTACATACGGTTCTAATCTTTAAGGCAGGTGCTCTTGTATTCCTTTAGTTTCTCAATTACAACTATTCTCTGTTATGATTTCTTATTTCTCCTTTAGTTAATTATCCAATTCTTTCATATTTTATAATTAACTATCTTTTATATTAGAGATTAATGTGAAATGGTCAATTATTTAAAATAAAAAAAATTAAAGGTACTTTAGGGGAAGCTAATTCTACAATATTGGGGAGCCCGGTAAATGCTATATGACCGGAAGCCCTGTTCTTGTGATATAAAATATGCAATTTAACTTGCGTATGACTTTTCGTTTTTAAGCTAGACTGTTACTACACACACACACACACAGACCATTTTGCGGAACTTGGTTATTTGGAATCATGGACCTCAAAACGTGTATTTCCCTTGAAAACTGAGATTCAAAAATTTTCACGATCGCAATACTTTCTCTTACTATATATTTCATATATAGGTAAGTGAAGGGGGACGGGGTGGCCAAATGAGCTAAAGCGTGTGAACAGCACCACGAGTTGCCCGGCAACCAGATATATGAAGTTTTGAAAGATTAAAAAAAGTACGAGTTCGCGTCCCAGTGGAGGAGGGGATTTTAAATTCCCCGCCCTCACTCCCCAGCCCGGGAAAATCCCGTATAGCCTAAAAGGCGAGGCAGTTAAGAACAAAAAAAAAAAAATATAGGTAAGTGAAAGTAAAAATTAACAAAAACTATTCTAGAAAAATTAACAAAAATGACAAGGTACACTTCATTTTAAATTAATGAAACTGAGAACAAACAGTTACCAAGAAAGTACTTTGATAATAAAATTCAAATCAGGATAGGCAATAAACTTCCTACATAACTAAACTCACTTACATGTTATTTGTAATACAAGAACATGTACTCAAAAAGATTGATTTGGCAATAACTTGTAAAAAAAAACTACTGTCAGTAGTGTTAGTGATTTTTTTTGTAATTTAAAAAGACTAGAGAAATATCCTTTTAATATTCCTTATGAGATTATAAGGGACTGGTTGAGAAGAAAGGTTATAAAGTCATGGGAAGTTTATAAGGGAAGGATATATATTATGCTCCAATATAATCAGATTATGATCTTTGTAGATAGTCTGATATGTGACATAGTAAAAAGCATTCAAGGTCTGGTAAAACGTTTATATTTCTAGAGATACAAATGAGAAGAATTTAATGATAATTTATGAAACTCGTAATGTCTATGAATAGAATGAATAGATCTGATTGTAGTCATACAGATCAGTTTTTTATGGTAAATATTTATAGAGAATTAAGAGTTCAATAATGTAACACCTAAAACAGATAAATTTTAAAATATTCATGAGAAAAAATTCTACAGAGATTAGTGGAACATTAATTATACAGGAAAGCATGAGGTTGTTAATTACTAAAACAAATTACGTAATGACGTGTTACATGTAACAGGTTTATAAGAAATAGGCAATAAAAATACTAATAAAATATTTAGTGTGTGTGTGTCCAATGTAGACAAGTCAGATATACTTGAAGGGATTATTGCAGATTTCCTGTCTGGCTGGATAAAGGGTTCAAATGCTCTTAGAGGTGTCTAGTTTTATGCCCGATAAATGCCTTTCCTATATAACCTTTCTTTTACCACTCAAATAGTGGGAATGTTTGTTGACAGAGTGATCACTGATTTAGAAACAACTGGAATTCTGATCGTAACAATGTTATGGAGAAAATGAATTATAGATTAATAAATAGTAAAAGCATAGTTATGTACCAGTTAACCAATAACAAATAATATATACACATATTTCAAAAAAATAAAATAAAACTAAATATAAAACTATACCTTGAACCCATCTTTTTGACAAGTGATTGTCACTGAGATTCGGGTACCCTTTTCAAAGGTGACACACCCTTCTCTCTCTTCGGTCCCCCATACTCCATTTATCAAGCTATTTCGAATAACTACCATTCCATCATCAAACCGAGGGTTTATATGAAGCGCAATATTGTCCTCATTTTCACATTCCAAATTCACAGCAAACCTAAACATATTAAGAAAATGAAAAACAGGCAATGACAAATCTCAAGTACAATCCTCTAAATATATTTTTAATTTTTAAATCTGTTTTTTTAGTCAATATTACAAATTTTGGTTAGCAGGTAATGATTATACCATAAATAAAAATTATAGTCAAACAAGAGTTTATATATATATATATATATATATATATATATATATATATATTGCAGTGATTTTTTAGGTGCTTATTGAGAATTAATTATTCGTAACATTTACTTTTAAGTAATCATTATTCATCAAATTCAATATTACAATGGTTTAGAAGATCAAAAGCTATAATATAGAAAGATGCAGTCATAGTATACTACTATATAAAGAAACCGTTCCTAACACAGAGTGAAGTCGATTGTCTACATTCCATAAGAAAGTTAATCCAGTCCAGTAAAGTTAATTGGTCATCATCAATTGGCTCTATAATCCATCACTTGGTCCTGGCCTCCTCAAGCAGCTTTCGCCAGTTAATTCGGTCAAGTGCTGCTGCCCTCCAGTTTCAAATCTTCATTTACACCATTAGCCCATTGTAATTTGGGACGGCCTCTTGCTCGTTTCCATGTAATTCTTCATCAAGGAGTTTATTAGGATTTCTTGTGTATCCATCCTGACCACATGACCCATCCATCGAAGCCTGCCAAGCTTTTATCATTTTAACAATATCTGTTTCCATCAATAAGGAGTACAGTTCGTAGTTCGTTTGCCTTCACCATGTTGCGTTCTCTCTTAGTGGAATATAAATACGTCACAAAATTTTTCTTTCGACAGAAAGGTTTCGCTCATCACTTTTAGAAAAAACCCATGTTTTCGATCAGTATGTAAGCACATGCCCGATGAGTGTCTTATACAGTCTTACTTTGGTAGTTCTGGAAAGTAAACAGCTTCTGAACTGTCGACGAATTCCAAAACAGCATCAATTCGCAGATGCAATTCTTCTTCTTGTTTCAGCCAAAATATCATTATTTTTGTTCACTTGGGAGCCTGGATACATAAATTCACTTACACGTTCAGATATGTAGGGCCCAAATTGTAAGGTAACTTCATGAGGAGGCTTCATTTCATTAGCAACCATGTATTTAGTCTTCTGAGAGTTCACTACAAGGCCCATTTTTTTGACAGACGACTCAAGGGCAAAGAAGGCCTATTTTTACAGCCGGTCTCGATCTTCCAATGATGTCTAAATCATCTGCGTAGCCAAGGATTTGAATTGTGCGATTGAAGATGGTTCCTCTTGTCTGGATTCCTGTTTCTCTGACCGCTTTTTCCAAACATAAGTTAAACAATAGGCATGCAAGGGAGTCTCCTTGAATACACACATTTTCAATTTTTTTCATAGTCAGTTTTACCAGGCGTATAAGTTTTGTTGGGATATTAAAAATTTTCATGGTCTGGTATAGAGGTTCACACTGAACACTATCGTAGGCTGACTGGAAATCCACAAATAAGTGGTGTGTGTGGGTATCTGGTACTCTCGGCCATGCTCCATAGTATGAATGAAAATAATTTTATTATTCTGGGACTAGTGTCCCTTTAGAACAAGTTAGAAATACAGAATATATATTAATATTTTGGTGTGTCCATAAAATACAATTTAATATTTCCTGGTTGATTAGGAATACGATAGAGTTATAAATAATAAAAAGATATAAAAACGTGTAAATATAAAATATACAGAGAAAGTAATTAAGTAAACAAAATATCGATGAATCACAAAATAATCAGAGTATCTGGGTGTACTTTGAGGTTTTTACAGCTTAGGTTTTTAAGTGCATTTCGTGATCAATCGGATTGGGAATGGAATAGGTGTTTGAAGAGGAGAGATTTGAAAGAGGATATTGATTTCGCGTGTCGAATATCTGAAGGTATAGAGTTCCAGAGGGAGACAACTTGTATTAAAAAGGATTTATCAAACACAGCAGTTCGGTGAGGAGGAGGATAGAGGTTGGACGCACGGGATCTGGTGGGACGGGATTGAAAGGAGCGTTTGAATTGTAGGATCTGTAGAATATAGGCAGGTCGCCGTGTTCTAATTGATGGTGGTAGGCCGGATAAAGCCACTTCAACTCGGTGTAGAACTGGGTAAGGTAATATGTGTATCCCTTGAGATCCCGAAGATAAAGCGGATTATTATCTCTCTTATTCGCATAGTAATGCGTAAGAAGAACATCTGATAAATTATGGACTTTGAAAACCACATTGATATCTCCCCAAGATTATTTCAACATGCAGCAATTGTTTAAAACCTATGTTTTTCAGCTGGCTCATTTACTTTTCTCTTAATTCTTGACCACATTTCATCAACATCCATGTAAAATGAATGTGGTCTGTTTGTCAAATTTTCGTTAATTTGTTGGACAAATTTCATGTCTTCTTGAGAATCTTCAAGATTTGAGGAGTAAAACTTCTTCGTTCTCTGACATCCTGTTTTCTAAACATTCGAAATTCTGGATCTTACTCATGCGATAGTTAGGAAATAATCTGTGTCCATGTTGGCCCCTCGATATGTTCGGACATCTAGATTTATGTCTACCGCTGATCAGGAAATGATCAATTTGGTTCACCGAATTCCTGTTGGGAGATCTTCAGGTACCTAGATGGATCCTTTTATGAGGAAAAATATTGCTTCCTACAATTAGATTCTGTGATTCACAGAAGTTGACGAGTCTTTGGCCATTTTCATTACAGGTTTCATGGAGACTATGCCTTCCAATGGTAGATATATAGAATGATTCCTTACTAACCTTAGTGTTAAATTATTTTTATGTCAGACCGAGGGCATGCTCTAACTGTTCTGTCCAGCAGATCGTACAAATCCTGCTTGTCTTGTTCATCTGATGCTTCAGTGGGGGTATGGCAGCTGAAGACCGAATAGTTAAAGAATTTTCCTTTTACTCTGATAACGCAAAGTTGTGGGTTCACAGGTTTCAAGTAAATTATAAGATGCCTAAATCTTCTTGCCACAACAAATCTACTTCCAAATGTTCTTCTTATCATCACAGCTATAATATATGGTGTGATCTTTTTTTTCTATTACTCCTTATCCAGTCCATCCAATTTCTTGAAGAGCAATTATGTCAACTTTATATCGGTTAATTATGTTTAAGAGCAGTTTTTGTGCTTCAGGACTATATAATGATAAAACATTTCATGACACAATAGTGAAGTCTATGTGACATGAGCTATTTCTTTTCCTTTTTGAAAGTCCGGCTGATGTTTCTTGAGGTTTTGAAATAATTTTGATTTCAGAGGTGAGAGTTATCAACCCAACAGCCTCCGAGTCAGGTGGAGGGGTTGCCTCCTCGGAGCATCCTGACTTGCTCTCCCATCCAGAGGAGCCAAGCCTTTTCTAGGAAAGGTGACCTTAGGGATGTAGTGTAAATGACCTTGTGTCAGTATGAGTGAGTTGTATACTGTTTTGTAGGTATCTGTGCATTGTACTAAACTTGGGAAACCGGGGCTGCGTTAGGTCCCACTAGCTCAGCATTTTAGCTAGCCCCTGTGGCCAAAGCTAATTGGTATAGAGTTTTAAGTTAGTTTATGCAATCAACTCATACTCAGTCACACTGTTTAAAGTTAACTCGGAAGTGAGTTTTTTGATAGAAAATTAGTAGTGAAGTTTTATCAGTGATAAGGTTATATTGTTTTCTCTAAGGTTCTCCAGTGAATATTAGATTTTAAAATAATAATTTAAATTGTGATTTATTGCTATAAATAATCAAGAGTAGTAGTTGTTCTAGATCAAAACTGCCAGTAAGAAATAATATTCTATTATATATATTTTTGAAACATATTGTACACTTTTTAATAAAAATAATCAGGCTAATTTAAATTTATTTAATAGAAGACCCCCAAAAAAATCTTGACAGTCCCACCATGGCTATATGACAACCTTTAGGTAGCTGTCAATGGTTTGTAAAAATGACCCATAAGCTCACTTTCAGTCTGGTTTTTAAAAATAAATTAAATTAATCATGAGAGTTAAAGGTCTAATCCAGAAATGACAGCAACAGACAAAATTTCTAATTTAAGAAAACAAAATGTAATCTGTAGTAAAATTATGAATAAATAAGATATGTATTTTAAAAATCATAATAGACTGCAACTCACAATGCTATTTTAACATACTGTTATGTTAATAAACAGAAACAAACAACAACAAAAAATACATACATTTACCAAAAAAGTGGTTTAATACTTCATGTTATTACCTTCCACATGTTTCTGTTATGAATCCTTCAACAGTGATTGAATCACCAGCTGTAAATCCATTTTCCAAAACCTTTTTCCATGGGACTACGACACCTTTACATTTGAATTCTTTCAAAAATAGTTCACCTTTCTGCTGCTGTTCCTATATCATATTTTAATGAACATGAAAATAAAAAAAAATTAAGATTTTAAAGTTTTTTTTAATTTTTTTATAGTACCTTCAATGGGTCTTGATCAAAAACATAAACATCGCCGAGTTTAGTTATAGCCCAAATGCTATTGGGACCTGGCGATCCTTCATGATGTGTTACTTTGCAGGAAACTGAAAATAATAAAATATATTTCAATTGTTGTGTATGATTTAAGTAACAAAGCAATAAACTAATATAAACAACTCTGATAGGATGTACATAAAATTAAAACTGTAACAAGATAATGTATACCTGTAAACGGGATTTAAGTAGATTGAATAATAAAATTAATATATTTATTAATTTATTTTATAATCTACATAGAAAATATATTGGAAAATAATTAAAATTAGAATAATGTAAAATAAAGTTATGTAAAGCTAATGCAAACAAAATAACTTCTTAATAAAAATAATAACAATATGAACTGGCAGATGAAATTATATTATTGACTATGCCAAAAAGATATGTTCAAAATTTGAAGTCAATTGCTTCTTCATAAATATCGCCATGAATTGAAATGTGCATTAGATGCAATATTTTCAATTTAATATGAAAGCCGGCTGTTAGCTGAAATAGTCATCCGCTAAGGAAAGCAACAATAAATACATTACCATAAGTAAGATGAGAGAGCCAATCGTCAAGATCCAAGTCCCCTGAAAATTGAATCTTTAGAGGGCTAAGTGAACCAGATGCAGAGCTAAGCGTGTGTATCGAGAGGCGAGGGCTACCAGGCTCACTGGTACAAGCAATGCACACCACTTCGCTCAGTAGCGTCTGCCACTGTAATATATAACATTATATTGAATAAATTATTTTTAAAACATATAACTAATAAACAGGTTGGAGGTTTAAAATTAATCATAAAACCGTTATTAAAATACCCGAACTCTACTAAGCTTCTGGGAGGCATGCAAAATTACTATTATTATTCTTATAAACGTGTGTTGTATATTATATTAGCACCCGGCCCATTTTGGTAGCACAAGCAGAACACTCATTTGGTATGATTAATAGAACCAAAAATTAGTTGAGATCCACTCTGAGACAGCAAATATTATTCAATTATGGAGTGTTGTCTATTAATTTTAGGTTGGTTAGCCAAACCTTTAAATTTGACTTGTTATAACTTTTGCAGCAAAGAAAGAGTATTTTAAACAAAAAATAGTTCAAGCTCTACCAGTGATATCTTGACCAGTTTAATTAAGTAATTAATTTTTAATTATACTAATATTAACAAGTAATTTTGATATAAATTGTAATGTTTTACATATAACAATAAACTCTTGTTATTATAATGTAGCATAAGGCTATGTTTTCAAAAAAACTTAAATCCATATATATTAATATAATTGAAAAAATAAACTACACAAGATGTTGAGTCAGTATCAGCATTTAAAAATTATAATCATCAAATAATAAAAATACTTACTCTAACAACATTTTTCTCAAGAGAAAGTATTGTAAGAGTTGCTAGGTCTATATTATAAGCTCCGACCCACTCAAGTTCAATACAAACTTCTTCCCAATTGTCAGAACCTATCAAGGCACATCTGCATTCCACAGTCTTCACGCAGGATCTCCTAATAACCCATAATTGAAAATTTTTTAAACGTCAATTCGGATAGTTGTAACTATAATGCTACTTTGATCATTCATTTAACAAAAATATCTAATTGTAAGGGAAATAATTGTTTGAACTACTCTTTCATATATGAAATTAATTTCATTACTTCACTTTTAGCTTTTTACAATATTAAATCACCATACAAAAATGATCTATAATTAAATAAACAATAAAAAAAAACACTATCTATATTTTTAGATATTTTTTTCAGGTTTTAATTTATCAAGAAATAAATGTAACCCAGTGGGTTCCTTAGTCAGTAGAGTATTTTAAATAACTATTAAGTTTGTTAGTATTTTTTGGTTTTTAATTAAAAAATAAAATAAAACTGACCACTCTACACAGATTAAAGTCTGTGCAAACATCTAAAAAACTGTCCTTTCATGTACTCCGGGAGGGAAACATGCAACCTAGTATTACAAAATAAATCTATCTTATTTTCTAATGAAAATTCACCAACTGCTTAAATGAACGATAACTTCATGATTGTTTTGAGTATCATTCCTTTATTAGCAATAATAATTTTACAATTTTAATATTCTTAAAACATAAAGTACATATTATGTCATTACTGTTAAAATATTAAAATGATACTAAAAGGAAGACTTTTAATGTAGATAGCCAACAGATGATGATACTTAATTTTATTGCTGTTTATCATTATCGTTAATAACGATTTTTTATAATATTTTATTTGTCTTGGAACAAAAAGAGTTTAATTTCAAATAATTTGTCACATCTTTCTTCATTATGTCTTGTTTAGAGCAAATACTGCAATTGCCATAAGAGATTCTAGAGAGGGGATTACATTCTCTCTTAATACTTTTAACTTAAGAATAACAACCTCCCAAGTTTATGTGGTTGTTTCTTTATAGTAAAATTATAATTTAGAACTATTATAAAAACTAAGTTTTAAAAAATACCAACATGTCAATAGCTAATTCAATATTATCAAATCCTTTCAGACTTTTCTGGTGTAATTTTTTCAATGATTCCAAAATTTTGAGTCGCCAAGGTGTTTCTTCTAATCCAGTAGTATGGTTATTACCATAAAACCTGAAACAAGGTAAAGTACTGAATATATTTCTAAATTCTATAAATTAATTATGGTTCACACAATTAATTTAAATGACAAAATAATGATAAATATATAACAACCCTACTTGTCCAGGAACCACTATTTCTGAAATTTTTTTTTTCATTTTAGAACTATTGTTTGTATTCAAACTAAACTAATATGAAATATCAAATAATGTAAACTTAATGTAAAGAAATTCTTAACTTTCATATCACATTTAAGAATGGATTTATAAACGAACATGAGAAATTCTCGAAAATAAGTATAGGAATTTGAAAGCCACAATAGGCTAAATATTATTCAGGTAAAAAATGTCCTCCCTCCATTTTGTTTTGTTTCCCATAGCTATTTTAACTAAGAATTCAGTTCATTATTGCCTTTTCTTTTTAGATTTTACAACAATTTTTTATTTTATTGTAATCCAACAAAATTGTTTTGTTGTATACTTTTTATTTAATGACTGATGAAACATGTTGCAAGTTATTATTTCACCATTGATTAAAAAAGGAAAGATGAGAAAATATAAAAAATAATTTTGGCTAATATCAAATCTCTCAAGTAGTACAGGTAAATAGTATAGTCCTCTGAATCGAAGAGGGAAAATTACAATCACAATTATTTTTAAGCTACCCACTTGTTTATTTGTTTCAACTATAAGTATTTTTAAGGATTAGAAAAAGTTTATGTTATCAAAGAATTTGAATTATTGAATTGAATCTGAATGAAATTAGATAATACAACAAAAACTTGTTATTCAAATGAGACTGACTGCTCAACGGGGTCGATTAGCTAATTTATACAGTATAGTGATCAAAATCTTTTTCTGAGATATTTTTATGACAATTGTTATGGCGTTAATAACAGTATAGAGATTTTTTTTTTCTTTCTTTAAGAGAGGGTTTTCTTTAAGAGGGGCTATACTTAAATACTTCTGGTTATAGAAAACAAATATAAAATTCTATTTAGAGAGAAAAAAAAATTATTGAACAATTATTTCAGAAACCAATTACCAGTTAGGCAAATGGTTGAGCGGAATTCCAACAGCACCAGCTTCTACTTGAGACCATAATGTCGAAGCCTGATACCAGTCGGCTTCAGCACAAGGCAACTCTCTTTCGGGCCACACAGTAACATCCCACTCTGCCTATCACAAACATATAAGTTTTCTAAAAGATTATTAACAAGCATTAAACCAATCAATAAGAGAGATTGGCATTAGGCATTGATGTAAAAAATAATAAAAATTAACAAATTGTTATTTTGATGTAATTTCAAAAGGTGTTTTTGATGTCCATTAACTGTTGCCATATCATATTAAATAAATAAAACCAGACTGAAAAAGATACAGGTGAAACATTGTTTAGAAACAAACATGGAAATGAATGTGAAGGACTCAGAAGAGATATATAAACGAGAGGATATTACTATTATAAATGTTCAAAAGATTTAATATAAAATAGAATGTAAAGATAACTTCTCTATATAATTTATCCTACAACTATTGAAGTCCTAATTAAAGGCTACATTCTGAACCACACCAGTCTTAAAATACTACTTGTGATAAAAAAGAAGTAACCACTCCTCAAGATTTGGCCAACCTCCACCAAAATATGTTTAGACTCACCATAAATATGAACCCGATTGATTTATAAATAAGTGAGCCATCAAGATGAATAAAGAGATTCACAAATTTACCAAAATCACTTGAGAACCCAGCATAGTTCTGATGAAAGAATATGAAAATAACCCCCAGGAACAATTTAAAATTATAATTTGTAATTCTGCCACATCAAACAGGCTATTTTAAATAATACTTGTTTAAATAGAATTTTTCTTACCAAGAAGAGAAACGTCATTTTAAATGCAGTCTTTTTTATTTTATTTTCCTGCCTTCCTAATTTCTACTCTTTACTATATTCCTAATGAGATCCAAACAATATCTGTATCTGTGAAATTGTTACTTGATGAGATATACAATAATAAAATACTAAAACAAATATCTCCAAAAAAAAAAAAAAACTAACTCAAGAAACATATGAATTACAGAGATAATTACGTTTTAAAACATTACTCTTATAGAATTGGTAAAATTTACAAACCACACAAAAACATTAAGCTAAAGGCACGCAATTTTGCAGTCATGTTGAATAAATATTATAGTATATTTCCTTACATGAGGATCCGTATCAGGATTTGCTTCAAGTCCAAGGAGAGAACCAACACTTCTTATTGGACTCCAAGCTGTCCTTTTCTTGTTGCATTCATCACTATTTTCATCGCTTATTTCACTGAAAAGAAAAAGGCATTAACATAATACAAACAAACGTTTTAAAGATTAAGACTACAGGCCAAGTTTTACAGGTAACAAAATAAACTATAATATCAGTAATTTGGAACTAATATTAATAAAACTTACTCTAAACAAACAGGGATTCTAGATTATTTTCTACTAAATATTTATATCCTTGCTTTATGATGGTTAACCTCACAGTTATTCTAGAGGGACAACCAAACCTATACTGACAAGAGTGGAAAGGTCGAGATAGATTCCGTGGATCCACCAAGAAACAAATTTCAACCTGCTCAAGATTCGAACTGCCACTGCTAGAGGACATCGCTCTAACACAATCGGCCATCATGGCCTCCCAAAAAATAAAACCTAAATTGGTGCAATTAAAATGGAATGGGTTAAAATGGTCGTAAGATAATGATTAGAAAGCAAACATTTTTTATCTAATCTTAATCCATTATATTTTCTTACAAAACACAAGATTCTTTTATACAGAAATATAGATAAGATCTGCATTGAATAATATTCTAATAAACCTGGCATATTTACCAATATTTAAAAAAATAATAAACCTAAGTCATTGATCCTAAGGATTATTACAATGCAGAAATATAAATTAGAAAAAACAAATTAAAATACCTATTGGGAAGAGAACTTTTTTCAACGCTTCCTTCGGAAGTTGGTAAACTTGAAGGTTTTTGCCAAGGTGCTTGATTCCTAAGAGATGTTGGGGCTGATCTTGAGGTCTCATTGAAAAGATCGCACTGTTCAACACTTCCCATTGATGTCTGAGTTGAAAACAAAATGTAAGTCATTCAGTTAATCAAGGAATTGAAAAGTAACAAAATAATATTACAGCTATATACATTGGTACCATGACAATTTTATATATAAAACTATATTAAGAAATAAAAACAATATAGTAATGTTTAGTAAAAGGCAATTGAAGAAAATTAAAGTGAAACGTAAGTACAAAAAGGTTAAAAAAAAAGAAATATACATCTTTGGAGAATAATGGTACTAGTCTAGAATTAACTAAATCATAGTATATTTTTTCAATATGTCTTTTGAACCAGCTGTATTTTATTTGTAATTTTCCCAATAGGCACAGAGAGATTTCAGTATATGTAATTCTGACACAGTTTGAAAAATGGTTTATCTACTTGATTTCCTCTAAATAAGATTATTCTGTTACCCTCTCTGCGATTGATCTGTGGATGTACATGTTATTACACAATATAATATATGTAATACTTAGAACAGAAAGGAAGGGCCATGAATTAAATAAAAACTTAGTAACGGATTATAAAAAAAACTGAGAATCAGAAATAGATGGCTAAAGATTCAATATAAAAGCAATTACTAACCAGAGACTGAGTACTTCGATGCCTTGCATAACTTGGCAAGGATGAAACAGAACCTCCCCGGCTGAGTTGCGCAGCAGCATTGAGGCAACGCCATCGCTTTCCAGTTGGTTCTGTCATGGTAACACCTACTCGGAAGTATATATTTCGATCATCTACACCAACACCAAATACCTTAAAGGTATAAGAGTTAAATTTAGTTAATTAGTATATATGTCAACTTTATTTAAAAAGATGAGAAATCTAAACGTTGACATGACAAGATCATAAAATTTTAATGATATTTAAAAAATATAAAAATAAGTAAACAATTAAGGTATAATTCCTCCAAACAATATTGGCATTTATATTAGGATACAAGTTTTAGATTTGGTTATATTAATATAATTTCTTTTAATATCTTAGTTTGTAGGAAATGATTAAAAACATAGCAGAATAACAACACACTAATTTATTTATTATTTTTCAATAATAAAATTAATTATTTAAAAAGGGGATACCTGGTCAGTAGGAGAAACAGTGAGAGACAGCATTGAGCCTATGGGTCCAACCCAGCCAGTACCAGAAGGACTGGACTCTACTCCTTTTCTAAACCATGCCTGGTTCTCAGTCGTCAGGACCCAAACTGAATTAGTCCCAATATTTACTTCCATCAACTTGCTTCCTTCAGGTGGGGATACATCAACCCAAGACTCTCCTAAATGTTGACACAAAATTTTGGTGATGTATCCAAACTTTTTGATTTAAGATTATTTACAATAAATCATCATTTATTGTAAGATCTCAGGGGTGCAGTAATAGAAGTGAATATAAGAAGCATGCTTAAGGTTTACTTATCAATATCTAGATTAAACTTTTCGAAGAGTTCATAAGACAACATAAGACTAAAATATGTAGCCCCTCGTTAAGGGTCTAGAATATTTTTGATATTGCAACTTTAAAAAAAAATAAAAGAATAATTAACATAATAATGTTTCTATTTTGTATAACTTTTAAAAATAATTATAAAATCTAAAAATTGGACAAACTAATTAATTTGTTATATGGCAGAATGTATACCAACACAGAAAATAAATTAGAAATTAAAAACATGAGAAAAACAATAGTTCATCTCTGATGTGCAAAATAATGTTCCTACCCATTGGCATAGCAGCTGATATTCCAACGCGGACAAGAATGGTCCCTGACCAGAGAATGGCCCAAACCAAACCAGTTGTGCCACACGATAGAGATTTCACCTCCTTTCCTTGAGGCAAAGGGATACAGGACCATCTTGTGCCCTCAGGACAAGTCATTCCTACACCTTTCCGCCACATTACCTGCACATAACATCGGAATGCATACTCAATCACTCAAAGACAATTGAGTACTTTTATAGAAAAAAAATCGCATACATTGAGTTTGATAAGATTGAGAATGCACTTTTTCATGCATATATAAAGTTAGTAAAAATTTTTTTAAAATTAAATGTTTCTATTAAGTGATGATATGGTGAGAGAAAAAAACAAAAAGATATTTCTTGAATAGAAATGTAAAAGCTGGAAATTCTATTCTAAGCTAAACAGTATAAAATAATCAACAGTATGAGCTATGCGCTGGGAGCCCATGTTATACACGAAGCCTTGTATCCATTCTTAAGACATAGCTCCGTCCCCACCCATTTTTTTTTTTATTAATGTTAATTATCTGTGCCAATATGCATCAGAAAAATTATAAATATAATACATATCAGATAGAATACATAAATCTTTGTTTCTTTATATTTATATTTACTTGGTGCTCATCTATAAGAAGAATTTATTTTTTATTTATTTTCTTCCTATCTTCTTTAATTTTTTTAGTTAAGCAGCGATTATTTTGTTTCATTTCTTATTTATATTGTATATAGTTCTAAGTATTTTGTATATAGTTTCATCCCAGAATAAAGTAGAAGTATTTCTTTTGTTCTGTAACTTTCTGTTATTCTTAAGAGACTTCATCCCAAAATAAAGTAATTTATATATATATGTATGTATATTTATATATAGATAGAAAGTAAACTTTATTCTGGAACAAGGTCCCTTATGAATAACAGATATGAACAAAAAAAAAAATAAAAATTACATAAGTCAATATTAAAAAATATATACAGTATCTTCAGTGAAATTATATTTAAAAAAGTAAAAATAATACCATTTTGAGAAAAAAGGAAATTAAAAAAAAAAAAATATTTAAATGAAAAGAAAACCAAATAAAATAAGCATGGGTTGATTTTTAAAATTAAAACTCAATCAATTTTAACAACCATTCACCTCAGTCAAAATCTGTTTCGCAATATTTATTTTATTGTATTACCTCATTTTGGGATGTGAGAAGGAATTGGTAGAGATGATATTTAAATGAGGACAAGGAAGAGGCATGGCGGATATCAGATGGCAAGGAATTCCAGAAGGCTGTGGATCGGGCAATAAAGGAATATTCAAACGTCTTAGTTCTATGAGAAGGGATATAAAGGTCGGAAACACGGGATCTTGTTTTCTGGAAGTGGACCACGGGTTTAAACTGTAGGAGACTGTAGATGTAGGAAGGGTGTCTGGTGTTGATTGTTTGGAATAGGAAAGATCCAAGGAAATATTGTCTGCGGAAAGAAGGGAAGAGCCACTTTAACTCGTCGTAAAGGTGGAACACATGAGACCGCCTCGATGTACCGAAGACAAATCTTAAGCATGTATTCATGTATATATAGGAAAGAAACGTTAGGCCACTAACATTAAGGGATAAGCAACATCTTAAGGTTCTTAAAAATAAAATATTGTGGAAAATATTTGGATTGAAACAAGATGAGTCAAACAGAAAATTTAGATCATTACACAACACTGAATTGTGTTAACTGTATCCAGTTAATATAATTGACGTGATTACATTGTGGCAAATAAAATGGGCATGTAAAATTGTTGGGCTTAATAATGAAAAAATTAGTATGCACAGTGTCGACTGGTAAACATCCAAAGGGTAGAAGGTGAGAAAATTGTATTAAGGCTGATCTGGTGGGGTTGGGTTTGGAAAGCAGCTGGTGGAGAGAGGTATGCAGACAGCGACTGGTGGTATCGGTATCGAACCTTTGGGTTCACTAAGTCTTATATTATCATATATAAATGTATATATATATTTTTTTTTTTCGGTTGGCACTACAGGCCATGAAAATTGTTGGCTGCGAGATGTGGTCTCCTTACAGACATATGTTGCTTGCAGGAGCACAGATAGTCTGGAGGGGGATACCCAACCTCATGTTGCTATGAATCATGGTCTCCATGGTGCAGCGACAGGCCACTCGATCCCTTTGAGGCCAATCTGGCAGTGTCCTTCCCACCGACTCACTCGGATTCACTGACAGTGAAAAATTGGTCTAGATCCATGGATTATGGCTGCTCCGAGTCATCAGGTGCACAAGGACCTATATTTCTTTCCACAAAACAGATCTTCCATGGACTGAACCTAAGGGGCACTACTAACATCATAACAAACCACATCCCGATTCCCGATTTAATTACACGGGATAGGGTCATCAGTCCTACGCCCGGTTGGTGTGAGTTGCCTCCAGTATGATGAAGGGCCCCGGGGAGGGGGAAAGAGACTCAGGCAGTATGGCTTTCCCTGATGGACAATCACCCATTCAAGTACTAACCACGCTCGACATTGCTTAACTTTGATTACCTATTGCAAGTGCCTTAGCCCGTATGGCTACCCCAGCCTCCATATTTGTATATATATATATATATATATATATATATATATATTTTTTTTTTTTTTTTTCTGATGGCACTACAGACCATGAAGATCTTTGAACGCGAGATATGGTCTACTAGACCACATCCTGATTCCTGATTTAAGTACACGGAGATAGGGTCATCAGTCCTACCCCTGGTCGGTATGAGTTGCCTCCAGTAGGCTGACGGGCCTCACATACCTGTGAGGGGGGGGGAAGAGTAGAATCTCGGGCAGCCTGGCTTTCCCTGGTGGATATGGTCACCCATCCAAGTGCTAACCACGCTCGGCGTTGCTAGTCCAGCCCCCACACATATATATATCATCAAAACCATGTTGATTGAGAATTCTTTCCCTCCAGCATATTTGAGACCTATCGGACTAATGGAGGAAGGGCACTGGCAAATTGACTCCAAAAGCATAGGCTGTGGAGCTATGGGTGGCCTACCAATGCACTATGAATAGCATGGCGAAAGCAATGTGAGGATGGGTGACCTCCTCCAGGCTATCTATGCACCCACACATCTGTTAGAAGCCCAGATCTACATGAAGGTAACAAAAAAAAAAAATTAGTTTTCTATTTTGAATTCTATAACTAATAAACATAAAATTAAATTTTATTTCACTCAATAATGATACAGTTAATTTAAATCAAAAATTATTCATTTACCCGTCCATGAGCTGTGACTGCCCAAACCTGCAACGTTCCTTGAACAGCACCAGACATACTTTGACCTCCTACACTGATGTAAATGAAGGGCTCCTGTTAAAGAACAATATTACTAAGCAATAAATATAATAAAAATATTATTTATATAACTATTTAATTGCCTTATGGGTTTTAATAAATTGCCTGTATGTAAAAAAAAATCTATCAAGTAAAATTCAGGATTGATTGATATGAAACTATACCTAATACAATTCCCTTGCCATGTCTCACCCCTACCATCACTTTTTCAGACATCTGAACCATTTTTGTATGAAAAAGTAAGTAACAAAGCTTAGAGAAGACAGTTGTACTAGCGGAAAAAGTTTGATTTTTAACTTTTGCAACTCACGGCAAATATAGCTTTTCATCTGTACGTTAAACCATTCCCAAATCACACTGATTTTGCTTGATTGAAATATATATTTACTATATAAATGTTGAAAAAACATTTCAAAAAAATAATATTTAATTTACTTTGCTAAAAAATTTCTGATGAACCAAAAGGCAGTTGGTGTTTTACTAACAGACATAGATCTAAAATTTGTTTAACAAATCGTTTTGCTAAAGGATGATTGTTCATTGATATGAAGATAAGAACTTCACAATGGAAAATATCTAATTAAATGTATTTATTTTTTATGCAGGACTATGAACACCTTTTTAACATTTCTAATAAGCCTTTCAGCAATACAGGATTTGGCAATAGTATATAACCAATTACTATAATAATAATATAATAATAATAATAATAAGGCTTAGCGAACCCGAAGGTTCGATGCCGACACCACCAATCGCTTGTTACACACCTCCCTCCACCGTTCGCCGTCCAAACCCAGTCCCTTCAGATCGGCTTTAATGCAATCTTCCCACCTTCGCTTCGGTCTACCCCTCGGACGCTTACCATTCGGCACAGCAAATATTAACCTTTTAGGAATTCTCTCGTTACTAAGCCCAACAACTTTACAAGCCCATTTGATTCGCCGCGTAGAAATTACATCAATTATATTACCCGGATACAGCTCACGCAATTCGGCGTTGTGTAACCGTCTGAACTCTCCGGTTAACTCATCCTTCTTCGGTCCGAATATTCTACGCAATACTTTATTTTCAAAAACCTTAAGACGCTGCTCATCCCTTAATGTAAGCGGCCAAGTTTCGCATCCATAAAGAACTGTAGGCAAGATAATTGTTTTATAGATTCTAATTTTTAAGTTTCGGGACAAGAGGCGCGAACTAAGTAGTTTTGTCACAGAAAAATAACAAGCATTCCCCGCCTTCAGTCTAACCTTAATCTCTTCTTCAATTTCGTTTTTTCTAGTTATTGTAGAACCTAGATACCTAAACTTATCTACCTGTTCAAACATATTACCATCTATATCGATATCACCAGCTATATCGCCATTTTTGCAGCTAACCATATATTTTGTTTTATCCACGTTTATTTCGAGTCCTAGTTCTTTACCGGCTTTCATTAAAGTTGTCGTATTTAGTTTTATAGTTTCAACGTCTTCGCTTAACAGTACCAGATCATCAGCATAGCCCAGCACGGATGTTGTCCCACCCAGATCCAACCCTTTCTCGGTTCGCATTACCTCCCTAATGGCATGTTCTAATGCCAAATTGAACAGGACAGGCGAAAGAGAATCCCCCTGTTTTAAGCCCGAACGAACCTCAAATTTTTCGGACAAATTATTACCGATTCTAACTTTATTGAGTGTCTCCGTCAAGCACATCCTGACTAGATTTACTAGTTTTTTTGGAATCCCCTGCTCGATTAGAATATTATACAGTTTCTGTCGGTCAATAGAATCGTAAGCCTTTTTAAAACCTATATACAGCTGTATATAGATATAGATATAGATGTTAAAATAGTTATATACAGCTGTATATAGCTGTATATAACCAATTACACAAATAAAAATGATGAGAAATGATATTCTGTGGCAGACTTTGAATTTAATAACATCATAATCTAATTTTAGTGGATGAGATTAATGAAAATGGTTAAAAAAAGTGTTTAACATTGAATATGAATATTCTTCCGAAGTGAAATGTAAAACTATCAGAGAAATTGACAATCATACAATATATCAAACAAAACAATACAATGCACTGTTCCAATAAGAGTTTTAACCTTCAGCAAACTATCAGCCGCATGTGCAATACAGTTTTCCATTTCCTTTCGAAAACAGTACTGTGTCTCTGGCAAACAGTTTGCTGACAGTCAAAACTCTTTTTGGAACAGATTTAATAGGTCATATTAAGTTGTATCCACCTGAGTAGGATCTTTATGAAGAGGTGCAATAGCACACCAAGAGTTTAAGGCTGAATACTTTCTTGTCCTAACCCATTTCCTCCTCCTAACACATGAGGACCACTGTTTAGTACTGTAAAATGTGGCAGGAAAATCAACAGCATAAGTCCATCCCTGTAAAAATAAAATGCTAATGTAAGTGACATGACATCTGGATTTATTAAAATGAAATATAAAAAGCAATAATATAACTAATACTTAATTAATATACATTATTAATAAAAACTGCCAATCCTCTGAAGTTCAGAAATAATGGCAATATTCGAAAATATAAGGATTAATAATCAGGAATGAAAAAGATGAACAAACCAGGAACACTACGATGTTTATGAGGAGTAAAGATGCTATCCAGTTCAAATATCAGCTGACTTATCAATTAAGCATCTCTTTAAAACGGATAGAAATATTTCTTAATTGCAATATCAACCAATACCACAAGAATGCTTAAAACCAGAAATAGTACAGCAAAGGGAAGTTTCAACTGGTTGTTATTGGAACAGTTGGAGAAAAATAGACTTTGTAATCTTGCCATAATTAAAAAAAAACTACATCACTACAACTTATGGAGGATTTTGGGTTCAATATAGATAGATAGATAGATAGAAAAAAAAACTTTATTCTGGGACTAAGTCCCTTCAGAATAACAATAATGTACAAAATAATAGAATATTACTGGCCTGAATGTTGAAACAATAAATAAAATTGATAAAATAAAATAAAAAGTAAAGAAAACCTTAGGTGCACAAGCTATATACAATACAGATAAAACTATGTACAGAGCATTTAAAATTATGAACAAAACAATTAAAACTATGAACGAATCACTTGAACTATGAACAAAATTATATTTAAGGGTTGAACAACATAAACATACACTTTGAGTAATGAAGAACGAAAAAGAGATACAATGAGTGCATTTCATAAAAAAAAAAAAAAAAAAAAAAAAAAAAAAACTTTACTTGAATATATATATATAAATAAACAGTTACTTATAATTGAATAAAAAAAAAATATAAAAAAAAAATGTATGTATTGAAATTTCGGGGTTCCAATTACAAATCTTACGAAGCAATTCATAAGTCTTTTGAGTCTATCACGCAGTTCCACTGAGAGGCCATCGTACACCACACAGCTGTAGTCAAAGTGGGGAAAGATGAGAGAGGAAACTAGGAGTCTACGGGTATTTTGGGGTAGAAGATGGCGGAAGTGATGGAATAGTTTGAGGGTAGAAATTGCACGGCGGGATATATGAGAGATATGGTGATTCCAGGAAAGGGTTTGATCTATGAGAAAGCCTAAATTTTTAACAAAGGGATAGAAGGTGATGGGGTGGTTGTTTAGATAGAGTGAGGGAAAGTTGGTGTGGGATCTAAGAAGGGGCTTGGAACCAATGAGAATGGCCTGAGTTTTGGCAGCATTTAGCCGTAATCCATTTAAGTTGGCCCAGGCACTAATTCGATCTAAATCTTCTTGAATTTTGGCAAATGCCACCAATAACTCAGCGGGAAAAAAGGATAAATAGATTTGAGAATCGTCGGCATAAAGGTGGTGGGAACAATGGATAATTGAATCATTTAGGTCATTAATATAAGAACTGAAAAGAAGAGGAGACATGCTTGAACCCTGTGCAACTCCTGAGGATAAAGGAAGGTAGGCAGATAGAGGTTGATTAGGTATGGCAACTGCTTGGGTTCGTTGTGAGAGGAAAGACTGGAACCAAGAGATGGAACTATTGGAGAAGGATAATGATTTTAGTTTGTTGAAAAGGATGGAATGGATCATGGAATCGAAAGCTTTGGAGAAATCAAGCAGTATAAGTATGGTTAGTTTTTTGTCATCTATTGCAGTCTGGATATCACTAGTAATTTTAATCAGAGCAGATTGTGTAGAGTAGCCAGGACGGAAGCCAGATTGGAGAGGATCGAGTTGGTTGGATTGTTCAAGGTAGTTGGAAACTTGGGATTGCACTAACTTTTCTAGGGGTTTAGAAAGATTGGAAAGGATTGATATTGGGCGGAAATCTTCGGGAGAGGATGGATTAGGCTTTTTGTTTAAAGGAAGGACAATGGCTTTTTTCCAAGAGGTCGGGAATATTGAATTCTGCAGGGAGAAATTGTAGATGAAAAGGAGTGCTGGGAGGATTTCAGGGAGACATAATTTTATTAGTTTGATAGGAATGCCATCTGGGCCTACGGAATTGGAACGGGATTTCATTATAACGGTAATAAGGTCTGTGGGAGAAATGTCGGAAAAATAAAAATTATTGTCGTTAAAAGGTACCTCTGGAGAAAAGCCGGAAGGGGATGGTAAAGAAGAGGTGGAAACCGATATAAAGTGGGAGTTTAGGTCATCAGGTGATATTGGGAAAACTGAGGAAGGGGATCTAGAAGGTTCACAGAGGGAAAGCTTACGAAGTAGAAGCCATTTTGATTTGATATCAGGAGCTGAGGAAAGGGCTTCGTGAAAGTAGTTCGCTTTCGCTTGTCGGATCCTTATCTGTGTCGTGTTACGAAGCACTCTGAATATTTGATAATCATCTGCAAGCCTAGTCCGTCTGAAGCGTCTGCGTGCAGCGTCGCGTCTCTTCTGCAGATCCTTAATTTCCTGACACATCCAAGGAGCAGGACGATGACGGAAAGTGGAGGTTTTGAGAGGAGCGTGGGTATTGAGTATATTGAGAAGATTGGTGGTGAGAATATCAACCATGGTGTCGACAGAGGAGCAATGATATATTCCATTCAAATCCAATGTTACTAGATCAGGTAATATTTTTTCTCGAGTAAGGGTATCCAGTTGGCGGAAAGTGATAGTTCGAGGATGGATTGGAGGAGTGCGGATATTATACGTTATTTGTATCAGATCATGAGATGAAAGAAAGGATACTGGCAATTGAGAGGCGGAGAGGAGGTTTTGTGCTGAGTCGATGATGTAGTAGTCTAGCCAAGTGTCAGATCTGCTGGTGTGGTGGGTGGAGGAAAAAGGAACGATGAATAGGTGAAGTGAGAAAAACAGATTTTCTAAATAGGATTTGTCATTGGATTTTGAGAGGAAATTGGTATTGAGGTCACCGGAGATAATTATTCTGGGATAGAGGGGAACGAAGTTGAATAGAGTTGATTCGAAGGACGGGTCAAATGGCACGAGAGGAGGGCGATATACCACGGCGTAAAGGATAGGAGAAATATTACTGAGAATTTCTACTAAGAGGTATTCTACATGAGGATGATCGGAAGATGGGGAGCAATCGAGGATTCGGGTCTTTAGGCTATTGTGGACAAACATAGCTACTCCACCGCCAGTCCGGTTTACCCGGTCATGACGGAGCAGGATGTAATTAGGCAAGGAGACTGAAGATGATGGAATATAAGGTTTGAGCCAGGTTTCGGATATTGCTATGATATGATAAAAGTTTTGGGTAAAGTATTGCAGGAATTCGTCATAATGGGCAGAAAGTGATTGAGAGTTAACTTGACATGTGATTAGGGAACTAGACATACAGTGGATTTGGAGAGAAACAGTCAGTGTTTGGTAGCGAGAAGACAAAACGAGTAGAAAGTACAGAAAAGCGATTATCGTACATGAAACTAAGTGAAGAAAAAGTAATATTAACATTAAAAATAAATAAAGAGAATGTACTTGAAAATAAATAGATTGATGAGTGACGGTGTAGAGATAGCACTAAGAGAAGAAGTAAGACTATTTTAATGAGGCTAAGGGGTTGACGGCTTCTAGGTAGTCAGTCAAATACATCTAGATCCGAGGCCTGTTCTATCAGGATGACTCTATGTCCGTCCTCTTTTCGACACCGCACCTTTCCGGAAGCAAACCACGTATATTTGATTTTTCCCGCCGCTCTCTTCTGCCGGGCTAGCCAATAGAGGTGTCTGTTTGTGCGAGTCATCTCTTCACCCAGATAAATTCGGTGGCAGTCATTTTCCTGCCACCCGATATCCCGCGTGGAGAAATCCCTCTTCACTTTCCTTTTCGTAATTAAATCATCTCTAATTGATTGCCTGACAAAACGTGCGATAACAGGCGGTGGTCGCGAGTCATCTTTTCGGCTTCTGCGGCGATGTACGTTGTCCAGGTCCTCCACACTAAGCCTGATCCCCAAGCTTGCTCCTATACTGGTCACCAAAGCAGCGGGCGTTTCGCCCGGTCGCTCCGGTATACCGCGGATCTCCAGTGATCTACTCAATAGTCCTTGCTCTGCGTTATTCAAGCGAACCTCTAATTCGCCCACTCGGGATTTGAGTGCTTTGTTTTCTAATAATATCTCCTCAAACTTTTTAGCTTGACCTTCCAGATGTTTTTCAATCTTCGTCAGTCTTTCGTTTAGTTCAAAACTGAGCTCTCCGTATTTATCTAGTGCTGTTTTCACGTTTTTTATATCTTCGTTCATGGTAGCGTCTAAACGATTTACTGCCGCAAGTATTTCTGAGGGGGGCAGCTCGGTATTTTGTTTTTTCACCTGTTCGCAGTTAGAGCAAACCCATGTTTTTTTAATTATTTTTAATGCTTCGGTGTCTTTATCAGTAAGGTTGACGCACCTACCATGAAAAATTATTTTACAATTAATATACTGTAAAGAAGTAATGAATCTTGGTCAATGTATGGGCAAAAAGATGATGAGTTTCTCCCTTAATTAATTATTTTATCAAGAGTACTCACAGAGACTAGGTATGCCACATAAGGGTATCCAGACAATCCATGGCTGGTGCAACAGAATAAATTATTAGCTGTCTCAGCCAGAATCGAACCTGGGACCAGGAGTATAGGATAATACCTTACTTACTCAGCTTCCCCACTTTTATAATAATAATAATGATAATACATTGTTTATTCTTCTCAAATTTCTGATATAACAGCTACTTTTTGAATGATAATTAAAGGGAATCTAAATGATATTGTGCTATTTCATTTATTTACAAAGTTTCTCACAACCTTTGCAAGTAGGAAGCACTGACAGATTTTTGAATAATAATGAAGAAAAAAATATATAATTATAATTTCAAAAATATATATTTATGGTGAGCTAACCTGATAATTTAGTACTTTCTATATTGAGCATGAAATCACAAAAATACAAAATGCTTTGGTTTTGGGTTCATTTTTGCATATATTTTAAGCTCCTTAATAGCTAATTTTTTTCTTACTCAATAATACCTAACTTGCTAATACTTACAGTTTAAATAAATTTTTTTAAAAATATTTTAATATTAAGAATTTTTTCCCTGTAAAGTTACTAAATTAATAAAATAAGAGATATTGACAGCTTAATGTCAATATTTCTCATTAAATATAAAAAAATATTATTCACATGAATTTTAAAGTTCTAAACATACATCGTGATCAAGAGGTTCACCATCCAAGGTTGTTTCAATGTGCCATTCACTTTCCCATTGCCAAGCCATTGAAGGTACACGGATTTTCTCTAAAGTTCTATCAACACTTCCATCAATATTTGAAAATTGATATCGGTCAGTAGGAAGAAGTCTTTTGGAAAATCCGTCAAGTGGATACCATCTCTAAATTAACAAAATAAATCAATCTTAGATAGTTAAAAAAAATTAGTTCAAATCAATGGATTAGTAGATAATAACTATTTCATTTTAATTTCATACTTTACTATAGTTAATTTTTATAACAATTATAAAGGGTTGAAACATGAAATATTTGTCTTTATGTTATGAGGAAAATTAGAGTAAAACAAACTTTAATGATATTATATAATTTTTCGGATTGTACAAAATGTTTCTTTTAATTTCTTTTCAAGGAATCTTTATGGCTTTGGTTAATTAACTTAAGAATTAGCTAGTTTTATTTTTGGGAATATTTTTTATTGTTAATGCACCCACTGGACTTGTCTATAACCGAATGCCATTTTTTAGAGTACTTCATGAGCATTTAATAAATAATACGTTCCTAATTAAAAGAAAATTATGTAAAATTTGTATTTCACGAGTTTATCAATTTAAAAAAACAAAAAATTTCTTTGAAGAAGGGATAAAAATCCTTATGGGATTGAGAGAAATACATTGTATCTATCTATTATTAAACTAAAAATAGTATTGACTGATGCACTTTCTGAAAGTGAAAGAATGTTAGAAGTTTGGGAAAGAAAAGTACTCAGAAGAATATATGGACCTGTCTGCGAGAACAGCAACTGGAGAATAAGAAAGAATGAGGAGCTGAAAGAAATGGTCCAAGAACCAGATCTGGTATCTTTTGTTTGAAAGGATCAGTTGAGGTGGCTGTGACATATACAGTGGATGCCGGTGAATAGGATACCGAAAAAATTAGTGCATGGTAAGCCTGGAGGAGAAAGAGTTAGAGGACGTCCACAATTAAGATCGAATGGAGAGAGTGTTGAGAGAGATGGGAATCAGAGGATGGAGGAGACTCGCCCAGGATAGGGAAGAATGGAGCAGGATTGTAGAGGAGGCCCAGGCCCTTGTAGGGCTGTAGTGGCATGGAGTAAGTAAGTAAGTAACATGCTTCATGTCTACTGTAACTAAGCATACTGCAATACGATCATGTATTACATGTTACAATTCAGAATATATGTAGATATTTACAATATTATTTTTAAAAAATTAATTAAATTTGTTAAATAATTATAAAATATTATCAGAATAAAAAAATTTCAATATAAAAATAAAAGAAAGCATACAAATATAAATAAAAATAAAAAACTGAAAATAAAAGAAACAAAATTAATAAGAAAAAATAAAAAGCACAACAAGCAAACCAAAACTTTTCTTAATTCAAACTGCCTTCCTACATTCATCCGCCAATTCGTCAAAGTCTATTTTTTTTTAATAAAATCTAATAAATCTTTTTTAAATTTTTGTTATCAGTCTCTGGTCTGTTTCTGGCCAAGTTCCTTGTTTTAACATAACATTTTGTATCAGTCTTCCTCAAATATTGTCTAGTTTTCTGCAGTCGAATATTAAGTGTTAAAAATTGTGCATCTATCCATCGTGTGGACACTTGTCATCGTGTAGTATGTTAAAGCGTGTTAGATATTGTTTAGTTTGCCCGTGTTCAGTAAGGATTTGTGTCAGTTTGTAGTCGGTAAGCGTTTATAGTTGTGGTGTGTGATTAGAGGAATAAATCTATGAAAGCTTGGTGATTTTGATGAAGTGACCCATTTCTTCCGTTCTTTCTGGTGGGTTTCTTGTTGAATTCATATACAGTCTTTTCATCATTTACATGGAGGCCCAACTTTTTTGCAGCGTTTTCGAACTCCTCAAATGCTCCCAACAAAGATGTTCTTGATCTAGCCGATATTACCACGTCATCTGCATAGGCTAGATGCTGTGACAATCTATTATATATCGTGCCATGAGGGCTTGTCCGAATAGCACGTACTGCATATTCTAAGGCTTGGTTGAAAAGAATTGGGGACAAGGGGTCTCCCTGCCTTAGGCCGTCCTCAACTGCAAACTTTTCTGATAGTGCTCCTTGTATCTTGAATATACAATAACTATCAGTCAGTGTCATGCTTGTTAGACATGAAGCATGTAATACTTATTAAATAAACTCTCTTTCTTTGGGGTTACCATAGAAGGAAAACAATAGAAATAAATAAATATATATATTTATAAATAAATATTTATTTTTTTATATAACCCCAAAGTATATATATATTCCGCATTCTTTATACATGTATATTATATTATACTTAGATATATAAATAGTTTCAATAAAATTATGAACGATAATAAATAAAAAAAAAATTTCATAACATTGGGTTAATATGTATTGAATGGTTATATCATTACAATATTTTTTTTTTTTTTTTCCTACCCCCAGGAATTTCTTGATTACAAAATACAATATATAAATAAATGTTATATATACATAAATTTTCAATTTCCTTTTATTGCCCAAGGGCATTTTAAGGTAAGAGGGCTATGCACGCTGTATGCGTACTTTGCATCTGTGACCAGAGGCCTTTTATTATACCACTGGGCGTGGAGGGACCGCCTTGCATTAATTACAATATTATGTTGTTCAATGAGAGCTAATATGATTTACTGTTCTCTTAGGTGAACGAGAAGGGAAAAAATATAAAAATATAAAGTATAAATTCAAATTACAACTTTACCAATGATAACAATAAATCATTATACTTATAATAAATAATGAAAATAATAATATAAAAATTTTAAGACTTAGTAAAAGTAAATTGATGATGTCTAAATGTGCTTCCACAAAATTCAATAACAGTTTTGAATTAATTCATAGCACTTGTGTTTCTAATAGGACAGACACTTGGTCTTGATTTATGTAGATAAAAGTACAAAAATACAGCTTTTTAAACTACTTGGAATTATTTAAAAACAGCTATTGTATATTTAAGAAATAAATGTTGAACAATCAAAGAATACAGTACACGACTAATACCTGATTTTCATAGGACTCTTCTTTAACTTTAATTGGTATATCCAGGCCATGAACATGTAAATAAATCTGTCTATCTCCACCTAGTGCCCATAGAAAATGAGGAACTGCTGATATTTGCTTGAAATCCAAGCTAAGGTAAGGAAATTCTCTCCACTTCGTACCATTGGTAGCAAGTCCAAATACTCTTCCTTCACTGTTCAGGGCAAATAACATAGAACTAGGCATCCTAAAGACAAGCCGTGATTAACAAATCACTCATAACTAAATACAACACTCATACCACATTACATACCTGTTAAATAAGACACTCAGATTTTCAAAAGTCTATAAGTTACATCATAAGGGACAACTTAATGTATCAAATTCAAACTATAATGTTTTATTGTTATATCATTAAAAAAAATAACACTTTCAAATACATTTGAAAAGAATCCCTTTTATTTCTTAAAAATAAAAAATAAAATAACAATTAGATATAAAAATAACTAATTTTTTCTACGGTCATGCAAACATCTAACATGAACAGTTTATTTCTTGCTGATAGATGTTAGTATATCAATGTTTTGACTTTGAAGTTATCTAGCAAGGAGCTACAGATAACACCAAGGAACTAGGCTGAAATCTTATCAATCGGTAAGCTAATAATTTCAAAAGATCACCTGACGTCATGAAAGTTTCTATGTATATAAGTCCTATGCTACTACCAAATCATATTTAGTTTATTGTCTTAGATGTATTAAAATTCATCTCGTTTATGCCATTATCAGATAAAGACTATCGTTAACAAAAAAATATTCATGAAATATGAAACAATGTTGAGTTGAAAAATTTTTGTTCTGTTGCAATTATAAATCTTGTAGATGGACATATTAAGCAGTTTTTCGGCTTATTGTCCTTGTATTTTGTTTCATTTTCATTCACTTGTAGGCCGATTTGTTCTTCTTTTCTTATAAGACTTAGCGAGTCTCTCTGTGTTCTCTAGATTGCTTCGAGGTATATACCTACAGCTGTATCATCTACATATCCTAAGATTTTGTGATTCAGTCCGGCATGCATCCCTCCAGTTTCTTTTGATATCTTTCTTATTACCTTCTCAATTACTAACTTAAACAACATCGACAATAGTCCATCTCCCTGCTCAAATCCAGTTCGAACTATGAAGCCTTCAGATACTTCTCCTTTTTTTTTTGTTCTTCTCACTAATCTCGCCTTTTCACCTATACGGGTTTTTTCTCGAGCTAGAGTAGAGGGCAGGAGATTAATATTTGAGTCAAAATCTCTGGCCGGGACTCGAACTCGTAATTTTCATTTAAGGTGGTTGCCAAGCAACGCGTGTTTTTCATACACGTTAGGCCGCTCCTTGATACTTCTTGTATCAAGACTCGACTACACACCTACACCAATCTCACCAACTTTCCGAAAACTTCCAGCGCAGTAATTTTTCCACTGTTCTCCTCATTTAACCTCCCCATTTCAACATACGTGGAGGGAAGACGAGGTTATCGTACCTTGATGAGCAATCTATTTTAACTAAATTGGTAAGGTATATCTTCATTTGTCGTTCTGAAATATTTTCCCGGCAAGACCGGATTCGAATCGGCACCACTAGACCTGAGGTTGCTAAGGCTGTAACGCTAAACACTCTCGGCCAACACTGCCTCGACCAGCTCAGTAATGATCATGACTGACAGAAACGTGGAAATAAACTGTTAACGGCCACGACGATATCCCGTAGTACCAATTCGATCAGATAAAAAAAAAATTAACCTGACCTCAAAATATGATTGGTCGCATGCTACGCAATCATTCATAAATGAACGATCGCTACGGCTTAACATCAACCACAAATGACACAGAAGGGTGCCTGTGCATCCATGATCAATGAGGGGCGATAAGAACCAAACGTTCAAATTGATAACCGTCCCAGTACCTTGTAGGAAACAGAAAGGAGTGTTATTCCAGTTATCAGGCATGGTTGGTCCCTCACTGCAAAATTACTGGCGTCCGTGGTAAACCGTTGAGGTTTTCGCTATCCAATTATCGAAGTTTGGGCAACTTGTTTTTTTTTTTAATACAATCTACCGAATGACAGATATACTATAATGAACCAGCCATTTCGAAAGATTTCGGTCGGTTTAATATAGGGAATTAATAGTTTATAAACTACTACCTCCCAACATTGAGCCGATATTAGTTGAAATTAATTCCTGTAGTTTTTAGTTCTAAATCACCAATTTCCTTCTCCTAAACCAAAATAAAAAGCAGACATGCCAAAATGTACTCTGTTGCAGACCATTTTCAGTCTAAAAGTTATCTGAGCATTCTCTTTATATGTTTTGTAGGTCTTTCACTTTGAAAACTCTGCTTATTTCTAATAGATGTTGCAAAGGTCTAGTGATAGACCAGTATAGAAACTTGACTTGAAACCGATATTCTTAAAGCCGATATATCGGCCTTTCGGTTTCATTTTATCTGGGTTAGTAAAGTTTCACTTGGAAAAATCTGCTTATTGTTAATAAATGTGCCTACGAATCGTCTAGACATCGAGCTGTGTATAAATTTGAGCTTGATTGACACATTTATTAGCATAAGAACAATATTCCAAATGAAACTCTACCAATCTCTATAAAATTAGATTGTAAGATTTTTATTTTTTTGAGACAGGCCCATTCAAATTTATAAGAGTATATGAATTCACCTACCGCGGGTCTCGCATAACATCTATCAATAATATGTTCAAGGAAGTACCCTTGTTTAGACATGTATTGGAACAATTGGAAAATGACAAAGGTTATCATGAAAATAATTTGAACGAAATTGAATACAGGATCTTGTGGGGCATTTACACTCAACTCTGTGTGAAAGAAGGACTTTGAAGGAGGCTCCATAAGGTTATAATGCTCGTAAGATTAGGTTTAGCCTTACTTTTTTAAGTCACTATTCATTGGAATGTATTCTATCATTGCTTCCTTTTTTTTATTTTTTCTTGAAAATTCTGATTTGTTTCTTGATAAAATTATGATCTGTCTTTTCTGGAATCATATCCAAATAAAATCCGTGAGTTTATTTAATTTCGAATGACTAATTGTAAATTTTGTGTCTAAAATTTCCCCGACTGACTTATTAACCACAGTAATGAAATCCCACACCAATTCCATAGGACCAGAGGGCATTCCTGTCAAATTGATAAAATTATGTCTCCCCGAAATCCTCCCAGTTCTCCTTTTCATCTACAATTTCTCCCTACAGAACTCAATATTCCCTACCTCCTGGAAAAAAACCATTGTACTCCCTTTAAATAAAAAGCCTAATCCATCCTCTCCCGATGACTTTCACCCAATCTCAATTCTTTCCAATCTCTCAAAACTCATAGAAAGACTGGTGCAATCCCAAGTTTCCAATTTCCTCGAAAAGTCCAACCAATTTGATCCTCTCCAATCTGGTTTCTGTCCCGGCTACTCCACACAATCCGCCTTAATCAAAATCACCAATGATGTTCAGACTGCAATAGATAATAAACAATTAACTGTCCTTATACTTCTTGACTTCTCTAAAGCCTTCGATTCCATCAACCTTCCCATCCTTTTCAACAAACTAAAATCACTTTCCTTCTCCACTAGTTCCATCTCTTGGTTCCAATCTTTTCTCTCACAACGCACCCAAGCAGTCTCCATTCCTAATCAACCACTATCTGCCAACCTGTCTTTATCCTCTGGAGTTGCCCAAGGATCTAGCGTATCTCCTCTCCTTTTTAGTTCCTATATTAATGACCTCCATGACTCAATTCTCCATTGTTCCCACCACCTTTATGCAGACGATTCGCAAATATACCTATCCTTTTCTCCTCCTGAGCTATTGGCAGCATTTACTATGATCCAAGCAGACCTAGATCGAATCTGTGCCTGGGCAAATTTATACGAATTAAGGTTAAATGCTGCAAAAAATCAGGCTATTGTCATTGGTTCCAAGCCCCTCCTTAGACCCTATACCGACTTTCCCATTCTAAACCTTGGTGACCAGCCAATCTCCTTCTACTCCACTGTCAAAAATTTAGGACTATTTATTGATCAAAACCTCTCCTGGAATCACCATATTTCTCACATCTCCTGACGGACAATTTCTACCCTCAAACTATTCCATCGCTTCCGCCATCTTCTACCTGAACATACGCGTAGACTCCTGGTTTCCTCTCTCATCTTCCCCCACTTTGACTACAGGTGTGTGGTGTATGATGGACTCTCGGTGGAGCTCCGTGACAGATTGAAAAGATTAATGAACAGTTGCGTGAGATTTGTAATTGGTGCCCCGAGATACTACCATGTCTCTCACCACTACACTGAGTTAGAGTCTTCTCCTCCATTCGAAGACAATATTTCCTAGGTACATTCCTCTATCATATCATCAACAATCATCGTCCTTCTTACGCCTACAACCTTTTCCAATTTAAATCCTCAGTCCACTCCCTTTCCACAAGATCTCGACCTTCCGACCTTTACATTCCTTCTCACAGATCTGCATCGTTCCAAAACTCCTTCATAACTCGCTCTGTTAATTTTTGGAATTCCCTTCCTATAAAAATTCGGCATTCTTCATCCCTGTCTACATTCAAAACCCTCCTATTCCAATTCCTGTCCCAAAAACAGTCAGATACCCGCTAACCTTTTATGTAAAATTACATATAGCTCATAACTGAAATACTTATTAGCAGATTCGACTTTTTTTATTTTTTCTAAAATTTTATATTTATATTTTACAATTGTACGTAGTTTTAAGTGTCTTGGCAAGGTTTCAAGAGTTTTGTATATAGATTTTTTTTTTATTTAGTATATAGTATGTACAACTAATATTTTCTTTACTGGTTTAGCTTTACCTTTACTTTTTATGTCTGTTTTTATTTGGCCAGATATAACATTTTAATTTTGTAATAGTTCCTCCCCCCCCCCCCGATCAACTCCTTCTCATAGATAATTAATATAAAAATTAACCGATTATAATCGATCTGGAAATTAATGCGATGAGAATAATGAAATTAGTTATTTTTTATTCAATTAAAAGACTATTTTGTATTTTCAAAAGTCTGTGAATAAACATTGGTCACATATTCAATAATGTTACCGTAATATTTCAGCACTTGTTTGTGGTTTTGATCTATGAAAAACAAATTCAAGAAATGTTTGGATATATATTCTTTACCTTTTATAATGTTCTCCATTATCATTATTTGTTGCTTAGGAAAAGCTTAGAAATAATATTGTACAGCGTGTATGTTAATTTTGTAATTGTAAATTTTGTAATTCGCTCACAATTGTTTAGATGCATTAGATTGGTATGTAAACTTAGAAAAACTAAAATTCCTGAACTGCCCATTTCTAAGGCAAGCCTTGACAATGAAGAGCTTAAGATATGTCATTGATTTAGAATACTAACTCTTATATGTATTCGAAAAAAATGCCCAGGGAAGGGAGGGAAAGATTGTTTAATTCTATTCTATCCAATGTGGTCGCGTAGAAAATGGTCCAGCTCCTTGGATTAAATACACAACATGATCAAAGATGAAGCTGATCCTTACAAATTTGATATGGATGAAAGACTCTTGATTTTGTTATATTCTTATCAAGCGTTCCTTCTTCAACAAACATAACTCTTAATCACAAATTGTTGAAATATAATGCGAAGGATTCATAAATCTGGAAAAAAACTGGCGCTGAGACTTTTTTATTTAATTTTGTACTATATTTGAGTATATTGGGTCGAGAAACAGTGAAGACATTAAAAAATCAGCTTCTCGATTTGAGAAATAAGGTGGCAAAGAGAGAGAAGGCTGGATAAAAGTGGAAAGGGTTAATCTTGAATGATACATATTTTAGTGGAATATTGTCTGGCGAGTGATATTATCATTAATATATGACATAGCTAAGTAATACAAATATAAAATTTTAATAACTCCGAATTTGATAATCTGAAATGAAGCATTTTTGGGGTTGTGAATGAAAGTTTTCTCTACTAACTTCAATGCTTATAGCAAATAAATTAATTTAGTTTCCTTTAGTACTCTTTCCTAGTTTTGAATGTAGAAACTGTGCTCTGGTTTTCCCATAGCCAATGGTGAAAATTTTAAATTATAATAAATAAGTAAATTGGAGAGCTGAAACTCATCCGAGGGTTTGGGTACAATGTAACACCTCTTGAAATATAAGCGAATCGATAAGTACTCTGTTCTGAAAAGAATAAAATCCTCATTTGCAGATTTTAATTCAGTATCAGTTTCCTTCGGTCCTTTCGTAGGTCTTGAAATTAAGTTATTCAAAACTTTATTATTGAAATATTTTTAGGAATAAATCTTTAGAAAGGATTTTGGGAAACATATTTATTACAACCAGTTGAATTTTTTTCTAAACCAAATGTTTTCCTTAATTCTTTATTTACAATTTATTAAAACCGTTACATTATCAGTTTAACTTTAATTTCTAAGACATCAGTCAATGCAGATCTTATTTTAGTTACAAAGGTACATAACTAATTATCACATATATACTTATTCTCCAGATAACATAATAATTTGAATGATATATTAAATTTCCTTCAGCATTCAGCTTATCTAACCTTTAGATCTCTTGTTTCCTGTGATCCGTCCCAGTTGTTTGAACTGTCCAATGATGAGGTCTGACATTGTTGTCATCTTATGGTTAATTCCAAAATCTTCGTATGTTTTTTCTAGTTCGGGATACAGATCGTCTAAATAAGCATGGTCAATAGTTGGGAACAAATGATGAAGTGTGTGATCTCCGAACATCACCAAAACGAAAAAAAATATTCCTTTGATTTCTACTCTGTCCTTAACAGTATCTAACTGATAAAGCCCCCAGTCTTTATCTTCCCTGAAAACCAAATATAAATGTTAATGCATATTTTTTTAGTAGATATAAGAGGATATAAGGGATATATACAGATATAAAGAGAAAAGAAAGATTTACAACAGTTTTATTTACTGAAAACAGTCTCCACTACTGTCTATACATTTCTGCCAACGTGTTGGCAACTTTTCCATTTCTGTGAATTAAATTTCCCGTCCTTAGAATTAATGAACGAAAACGAATTTTATAATTCCATTTGTCCCTTACATTTGTTGTCACATAAGTAGTGGTCCAGGTGTCTAAGAAAATGATAATCCGTAGGCGAGAAAGTCCGGAGAATAGGACGGACTTCTCGCCTACGGATTATCATTTTTTTAGACACCTGTACCACTACTAATGTGACAACAAATGTAAGGGACAAATGTTTTGTGACGTCACATGTGAGATATGTGGCCAGGCGTTGTCATACAACAAAATGGCCCCCTTCCGATTGACCAAAGATGGCTTCATTATTGCCAATTTCTGATACTTTTCATTATTATGATTACAATACGATTCGGCATTGATGTTATCTCCCGGATTTAAGAAGCTATAGTGTATCAAACACAATGAAACCCACCAAACAGTAATCATCATCTTTTTCTGACGAGTTGGGGGCTTTGGAAAATGTTCTCATGCTTTCCCTTTGTCGAGCCACTGTCCAGATTGTCTACTGCTATTGTAAAGTATCTACTTTTCATTAAAAGTAACAATTCTGGACAGAAAAGGGTCGTTTTTGTTTCGGCAAAGAAATGTAGCACAAACTTTATAACGCTGGTTCTATTGGCGGTCGTTTACTGTGTGTGGAACCCAATTTTCAAGCTTTTTCTACCTTTCCAATCGCCTTGAGGTGGTCCTCGACGGTCGATTTGCTAAAGTTAAGTTTTCCTGCAAGTACTCAAATAGTTGTTCTGAAGTTTTTTCCCACCAAAACACGCAGGAAATCATCGTCAAGAGAGGAAGACCTTCCACGATCTTCTTTGTCTTCAAGGCTGATGTCTTCCTTCCTAAATTTTTTGAAACACCGTTGACCAATGCATTCATTAATGCTGTTCTAACCCCAGACTTGATTGATGTTTCTGGCAATCTGAGCCCCATTCCGGTTGACATTAAACTCGTAAAACAAAATTATACAAAAATCACATGTTGGCATCTTTATTAAACTATAACTTTTATTGAACTATTTCTAAGCAACGAAATGCTACAGACGTAAATAATTGTTTGGAAATATTGTTTGGAAGAAGATTATTGACATTGTTGAGGAAGTGTTGATATTCATACAAATGAATAATTCAGTAAACGTAAACAGTTGTTACGAATATGGGTATTAAAGAAAACTCAAAATCATTATTGTCTATAATCATTATATGACCTGCATTATTTTCAGGGTAATCCAATACTTGATATACATAATACCTTGGTTCATCTCCATCATGGTGGATGTTTGGGTGATGGTGTGCTGCATTTAGTCCAAGGAAAGCAAAAGTAAAGCTGGCGCTTATAACAATAATGTTCCACCATATTAAAGCATGTATTAAAGGAACTCCAGAAAGTAACATGGAAGCTGGTATAGCTAAAGGAATCAACTCTTTCAACCCATCAGGATGAAGCATTAGCCTGGAAAAAAACATTTTAACAGAAATTTAAATACATTATATGCTGTTTTATTCTATTACTATTTTAATTATTTTCCTAGTATCACGGAAGTTTCTTACCGTGTATAGAAACTTCCCAAGTAAGGCGAACGGGGATGGTCAATGGAGGTTCTATCTGTTTAAGCCCGATGAACTTCGCTTATCAACAATAAGAGTTGCCCTCCATACTTGCTGAAGGATTGAAGTAGTGTGATGTAGGATTGGACACCCTACTCACATATCATTAATTTACAAAATACTGATTTCCAGGCGGGGATCGCATAAGGAAAATCCATGGATTAAGTTGAAAATTAGAGATTTATATATAGGGACGCGAAATATAACAAGTTTGGATAGACCAGGTTAAATTAATTAAAAACCCTCATTAAGGGATAAATTACCCCATGAAGAGAAACAGAAAATTTTCGATGAAAATCCATTTCGGTTCTTATATTTTTGTTAAGTGCACATTTTTATACACAGATTGCAGTTTACTGGGGTAATTCAAGTATGGGTAATTCAATTGTATCTAAAAGTCAGTTTTCAGTAATATTTTGAAGGAATATATCTTTTATTGAATGTTATTTTTACGAATTTCATCGGCAATTACCAACTTTCAAATAACATTTTCAATTCAAAATCAATTAAATTATATTTAGTGCATTTTATAAGAAATTTTTAAAAATAATTCTATATTTATTTTTTAAGCATTAATATATTATTTTCAAATGTAACATTTAAAACTAAAACAAATTATTTTTTAAAATTCAGATTTCTGGAATCTGGAAATATTTATATTTCTTTAAATATTTAGAACATACCTTGAAAAACCCTCTCCATAGAAGATGACTGCATATGCCAGAGGGAAGTAGATAAGAGATAAAAATCTAGCTGTAAATGGTTTGTCCGGCCTTGGAAGATATTGGAACCATGGTTCAACCATAGTTATTTCTAAATCATGAAGAGAATTGGGATAAAGATGGTGGGACATTGCATGCGATATTCTCCAGTCCCTGTAAGTAAATGCAAAAAGATGTAGTAAAACCATATTATCAAAAGGCGATAATAAAAATATTTTAAATTAATTGAACACACACACACACACACATAAAAATTGAAAGTCAAAATGGAAACATTAATAAAATGGAGTATTGATCATAGAGATTTAAATTACTTAATTAAAAATAAAAAATATTAACTATTCATACCTCACATTAAGAAAGGAAAGATTAAACAAATACATCCTCCAGTTGTCTCTTAAGTGAAAGAAATTGTGTGTACCAATAACTGTTAGACATAAAGTTGCTCCAGCAAGAAGACCAAGTAAATAAGATTGAGTTTTGGCTGCCGTAATACCAACTAAGAATGTGATTATACAGAGGCTGTCAACAACCATTTTGGACCTGAAAAGAATATAAAAACCTTAAATAATTGGCAATTTAAGTCTCGTACGACTTTTCGTTTTTGAGCTAGGCTGTTCACATACACACAGACATACAGACCATTTTTCGGGACTTGGTTATTTGGACTTAGGGAACCTCACAACGTGTATTTCCGTTGAAAACTCATATTCGAAAATTTTCACGATCACAATACTTTCCCTTACTATACAGGATGTTTCGTAATTGCACGGCACTATTTTAGGTATGCGTTCACTAACACCAAATAAATAAGATTCATTATTTATTATTATTGCAACGTTTAGAGTAACGGTTCAAAGGGGCCTCCGTTTTGTTGAATGCAACATTCAGCACAACGAATCCATACTTCTCTGGCTCTTCATATTGCATCAGGATGGTGCTTGATAGTAACTGCGGCTTCCACGATCCGATTTCTTAGCTCACAGAACTAGAAAAACAGATGAGCAGCTACTCATAAACAGAGTTCATTTGTGTATCGGATGATTAAAATCTGTTACTTAGTATTAAACACGTTAAACTTTATACAGTCAGTCTTAATGTAGTAAATAAATAATAAATCTTTAACCTTTGATATCTGTTTAATAAATGAGTTTGAGATATATGTTAATATGAACTTTTTTGTTTATTTTGTGTAAGTGAACACATACCTAAAATAGTGCCGTGCAATTACGAAAAACCCTGTATACACTAGCGGATTCAGAATTTAATTTTGGGGGGGGCTTCAGCCCGAAACCTTTTTTTTTTCATAAAAATAACGATAATTACTTTGGAAAAACAGAAAGAACCTAACTACCTATATGAAATGGTGTTTAAGTTATTCCTTAAGTACTTTTAAATGTAATTACACGAACAATAATACTTTAAGAGGTATTTTTAAAAATTTTTTCCCCATAAAACATGGTTATATTTTTCCATTTTGGGGGGGGCTTCAGCCCGAAAGCCCCCCCTCCCCGTAGATCCGCCCGTGCCTGTATATTACATATATAGGTAAGTAAAAGTAAAAAAATCATATGCTGCTAATTATGACACGTTACCTCCTTTCTTTCTTATTGAAATACTTTTTTATTTTTCAAATGTAAATTAATTATATATTTTTTGTTGCTGACTTTTTTTCTTTTTATCTTCTAGAAGACATATGAGCTAACTACTGACTAATAATGGAATAATTATACTAATATCGATATCGATAAGGAGCTTTGGAACTTTACCGATGTCACAAAAACTCACTAGCAGGCACCCAAGATTTAATTTTGAGGAGAATTCAGTCCGAAAGATTCTTTATTATATTGGAAGAAGAAGAAAGATCCTATTTATCTTTACGAAATCCTGTTGAAGTAATTCTTAAAGTCTTATAACATGTAACTACACGAATAATAATACTTCTACAGATATTTTTTTAATAAAACATCGTAATATCTTATCATTTTGGGAGAGTCGCCTTCATCCCGAAAGCTCTCTCCCTCCCCATATAGCCCTGGAGCCAAATTTGACGCAAAATTTAACGTTCTTTCATTTATTAAAGAATACATTTTTCGCTTTGATGCATTGTTTAGGAGTTATAGGTGAAAAACCCAAAAAATATCAAAAAAATCTTTTTTGACTGTAAAAAGTTTTCCCTTGGTTTTGTTTTTTACATGTCTGAACCCATATATAAAAGTTAAAAAAATAAAAACTTTTCTCACATTTTTCGCAATGAATTTCCCGTTTCGATCCTCAAATTATTGGGCTGATATTCTTTAAATCAGCCACCATTTTTGAAAGCAGCGGCTCTGGAACGGCAGACAAGGTTTTTTTTACTCAGAATAACATACACTTTCGTAATTTACAATAACACCTTTGCCTGCGATCAGGTCGATTTTTGGGCCCTGGCTCCAGGCCTAATAGATCCGTCTGTGCAACAACCCCGATGCTCTCAAATTTTGCCATCACCCGTTTAGCTTCAATTCAAGGGATGGCGAAATGAATGAATAGTTATACTATACCCACTGTTTCAATCTTCTCAAGATAAATGGGCTAGGAATTAAAAAACATTAAATAGTTCAGCATTTTGTAGAGGATTTTATGTAAAGTTAAGTTAAAAAAAAAAAGATGTTCTTTCTAGTTGAAAGACTTATCAATATTTGGATATTTCCTTCATCAGTTAACTGCCTCAGATTAATTTATAATAGTGGAAAGTATATTTATCTGTATTTTATTAAATAGTTTGGTTATAACTCAGTTATGAGCAAGGGTATAGTGTACCGGGGCCAAAGCAATGAGGGTTCAAAATGCTTACTGCTATGTCCGTTCAAGTTTTGGGTGGTCTTACCTCACTATAACCATTATCCATGTGATGTTATAATGAATGACATGTGATTGCCATAGAATTTTATAAACTGAATAAAGAAATTAAAAAAAAAAGATTAATTTTCCAGAAAACAGATCAGATAAATGATTAGAGTACGATTACTTCCGTGAACCAAAGCGATATAAACGAGCCCTAGTTTTAGCCTTTGATAAAACTGGTCCGATATATATATATATATATATATATATATTTGTTTTATCGTAAAATTAATAAATAAGCCATAACAAAATAAGCTAAAAGTGTGTTTTTCGGTTACATAAACATCCGTTCCAATCTGAAAAACGCACTTCGCAAATTTCATTCAATTGCAATATTTTCCATACCAAGAAGCGACAGGAAAGTGATAAAACGTATAGAAAATAGAACACACTGTGTCATTGTTAATATTGGTTCGATTCCGATGAGTATTTTTCCTTTTATAGGAAATTTGATTACTTCTCAAAGGATTCTACATAAACTTAACCACAGAATGTACACTTCGTGAATTAGGTCCAAAAACGTACAGATTCAAAATAACATTACAGGAAAAATAAAACCAAAATAAAATTTTTAATATTAGATGAGAAATGAAGAAGGAACCATTCTCCACCTAGTTATTCATTGTAGAAATTACATATATAGACTTGACTTTAATATGGTATAGATGAAAATAAACAAAACCATTTGATCTTTTGATGGAATTACAATTGGAGCTAAAAAATAACTGAAGCCATTAAGTCATTAATCCTTAATGGACCATCCCCTATGATGTTTTCAAACGAATAACGACACTAAAGTTAAAAATATGCAAATCATTCTTTGGAGTCTTTGGTCTTGTGATTTATCGTGAGGTCTGCTCTGATTTATCGTGCTGAGTCTTAGACGGTCTGCATTCAGCAGAGAGCCAGTTACATAAAATAAGTGTTTCCATCAGCAGTAACCAGGAAAAAAGGAAGAGGATGTGCGACTTCGGCGGAAGAGCCAAGTCATGCGAGTTGTGGCGGCTAACCGCATCGCCCGGCGCCCACGGTGGTTTACTTTTAAATTGTGTGTAAAAAAGATTCCGATACAATGTGCTCAATTTAAAATTATTCAAGACTTAAGTTGTGTAGTGTAAGATCTCACAACAGATCCAAACGCCTCGTTACCACAAGATTTTCTTATCACTGAGGGTAATGATAATAATAGGGAGCTTATAACGATCTTATGTACAATTTAAGTAATATTTTTCGTGAAATTACTTTCTGCTTGGTCCGGGTTTGATGGATTTGCTCTTCAATTTCTCCCTGACCCTCTTCCTGAGCGTCATATAAAATCCATCTTCTTTGAATGTAAATGGCGCATTTCGTTTAGTCGATGCTGCCTTCACGAAGTATTTCGGTAAAATGTTTCTCGGTCCCTCATTGATATGATGGCTTTCAAAAGCTTCAGTTATATCGGTACCCTAAAACATAAAATACAATTGATGAAAACATATCACGCAGCTATTGTTTATGGGAGGCAGAACAAGTATAATGGTCATTTTACTGAGCGGGAAAAACAATTTCAACAGCCCATTTTTTTTTTTTTTTATTCCCAAACGTTTGGAATGTCAATTGGTCTGGTGATGTGAAAGGCGAGCTGTCCTAGATAGCCATGCTAAATGTAAATTAAATATTTATTTCCATTAATTCCCATTCACACCACCAAACCAACTGATGATGTCCTGAAAGACGTAACGTTTGAAAATTCATTTATTTTCTGTCTCAGAAATCATAAGAAAACCTTGCACTTTCAACTCAGGCATTATTATGTTACAATTGGTCATTTTAATTCTTTGATAAATTTTCCGAGGTCAGGCAAGTAGACCGGAAAGGGACTATAGATCCACCTCCCGAAATGCTTTTTTTTTTTTAATTCACTCTAGACAATCAATGTTGAGTATGAAATCTTAGTGAGTCTATCATTTGAAAAGGAATAAATCCTTTTGGATTATAATCGAGTTCAAAATGAGAAGAAAAAAATATTAGGATTATGAAATTATTAAGCTCAATCAGGGATGCCCACCTTTCCCAAGGCCGATAGCGCTTCAACCTCCTCCCTTCACCAAGACATTTAAATGCTTTAGAAATTTAAATGCTTTCCTCTTAAAAACAGTACATGGAAACGTAGAAATAGGAAAACCGTCAATTACATTTGCTGTGGTCTGTTCCATGTTTCAAACCCATAAAAAAAATAATAATAAAATTCAGTCAAAGTGTGTCTTCCTCAAACATTTTGATAACCCCTTTGTGGGTCTCTCCCGCAACAGTCGAAGTCAAAATCCCGTTTGTGAACTTGGCCGAAGTGATTACGTAATCAAACATTTTCAGATCATGAGAAAGGATAAAATAGAGAAATATGTATATTGATATTTGTTCATTAACCTTTGTCACTTCCAACCAAAAGGATCCCCCTGGATGGAGTTTGATGAAATCGGTAAAATCGTAAAGGCTGTCATGTATTCTCCAGAGCTTCTCTTCCTTCACTTCTGCCTTCCTGATTTCCAGCCAGTTCTGGCACGTTCGTGATTTCCCTTCCCATGAAGGTGGTATCCATTCTTTGTAAGAGCGCCAGCTGTAGTCCTGAAACAATGTTTTTTAATTTAAGAAATGGGACAGACATAAGGTTTTTATCACTAATAAAAAAATAATTTTATTACCAGCTATTTCTCGTTTGTTTTGTTTATCAGTTTCTGATTACCAAGTTCAGACAAATTAGTCAAAACAATATGCCATTATTGGGCAGTACTAGGAAAAGTATCAAGAATATGTGTATACATTTATATACAATGAGTATATACATGTATTTATACAATAAAATAGCTTGAGGATTAGAAAAAAAAATCAAAACAATATTGTAATAAAAACACTTTTTCTAAACTACTTAACTGTCGAACAAATACAAAGTGTATTTAGATATTATTTCAGATTCGGATAACAGTTTAAAATATCTAGTTAATGCTCATACCTTAAAACTGTTATTCCGTAATTGGAACAGGTTCTTTGTTAATATAGATTTTTCATTGTTTGTTAGTAGGGCTAATAATTAACGTTGGACTTTTTTTGGAGGATGGGGGAACCCAACTAAAAACATTTTCTTTAGTTTGATTCATCAACAAACGTAATTACAATCACACTAACATTTCATGACTTTACTTTTTTATGTCTAAAATAATATAATCTGATCCCATCAGTGGGTATCTACAGGGTCTTCCATTCCTGAGTTCGATAGCGGAGCCCTCCTTTACAAGAATGCTATGCCCTTCTTAAAAACAGTGCAGGCGATAGCAGAAGGAGAAAAAAAGTCAAAATTTTACATTTCCATGCCTTTCTTCTATTTCCCTGTCTTTTTAAGTTTCTTCAAATTATTCTAAAATATGGTTTCCCCAAAAATTCATAATCCCGTCAGAAAGCGACTCCCTCAAAAATTCAAAACCCGTATAAATCTGATCCTTCCAAAATTCAAAATCCAATAAATGTGTTCTCCTTCAGAGAACTTGCGCCATACCATTTATTGTATTGTATTGATGGTACCCCTGGTTATCTAGACCATTTAGGGCCCGAGGAATATTTGAGGCGCCTAAGAAAAGAAATACAATCAACAAGACAATATATGTTTTTATTAAAAGAAACGTTTTCTCCTGAAAGAAACTGCACGTGATGTTTTTGAATTATTTCTTTTTATTGAGTAATAACACAATCTGTCACACTCAAGGGCAATAAGCATTAGAGCTAAAAGTATTCACTCATAAAATATACGTATATGTACAAGACAAATAAATGAAAATAATTAAGAACAAATAAAATTATTAAAAAATAATAAATAAATAAAACAAAGTAAATAAAGATGAACAAACACAATATAAAATAATAATAAGTAGTACTAAAGAAAGTATAGTGACAAAAGTAAAAATATATGACCTTACAAATTAAAAGATATGTATAAATACATAACGGTTACAAAATTTATAGGTAATAAAAGTGAGTTAAATGTAAATAAAATTCTTCTAAAGCTCTTACACGCCTACATACATATTTTTGAAGTTAAATTATAAGTTTGTATAGAAAAGAAAAGCATGAAAAATATGACTGAACCTTAAAATAAAACTTTTAGATCTCCATTAAAGAAGACTAAATAGCTTTTAAAATAATAAAAACATCGTAAATAACGATGATGTATACGTAATGGATGTATACGTAAATGATGTATACGAAAAAAGTAATCAATTATTTGGTGAGTTTATACATATAAGTCATTATGTAACACTTCATAAAACTAAATCGTGTCTACTTTGTGAAATAGAATTTCGTGACGTTTAGAACAAGCTATTTTTGATTTATAAAAGGGCTTGTATCATTTTGATGTACTTACTGCGTTTTCCATGAATAAATACGGTTAGAATTCATAAATACGTTAAAAAATTCTCAATATTTCTTTTAATATTTATGATTAAAAGTCTCGAAAAAGGCTTAGTATTATATCTTTATTATCTTCTTTCACCATTTGGTTTCAGATTACCCTCCATGTAATTGTGCTTTTTATTACGTGGCATAGCTTTTTTCCATTCAATGGTTTTTGTTACATATATATCCGGACCTTAATTATAACTGACTGCTAGCTCGAAATTAGGCTATGTCAAATCTATCATCTGAAGGCCCAGGCATCGTAATGAGCAGCAATAGATCGCTATCTCTCAATTGTTAAAGTAGATAGTCATTGGCTCATTTAAAATTACAATATTGAATCCATTATCCTACTAGTCTCATTCGCTAGATGTCCTAACATTACATTTAGAAGTTGTATTCATTATCAAAATATATTTATATTAGCAAATACTTTCCTAACAATGGGGAAATGTGTGAGGCCGTCATATTACGATAGAAGTAGCAACTATCGTAAACAACCATGACTTGTGAGACTTTCCCATAGCACGACCATTATTCCACCCAGTAGACATGAAATCATAAGGTCCATCCTACTATTAAACACTAACCCTACACGTTATTTTCTTGTTAATGAGAAGAATCTTTGTTTAATTGGTCGAAAAATAGAGTGTCGTTGAGTGTGAATCTGCGTCATTGATAAAAACGTTTGCTTCTTCTATGCAACTACTTCTTCTATGATCACAGTTTTTAAAAAAAAACAATATTTTTTAAATAAAGTTTAAGTTCATGTTCTAAAACTTATATTTTTAAACGTTAAATCGGAATACCCTTAATTAATGTTGTCTAAAATCGGTCTTGGTCTTACATTTTACAAGACCAAGGACTGTTGCAAGACCAAAACGAGGATTGGTAAAAAAAAATCTATTTTTTGAATAAAAATGAAGGCAAAATAGTTACTAATAATTGATAATATTAGTTAATATATGTTAATAATTGGTATGACCAATATACTTTTACCTTTAACTCCTCTAATTTTTCATTTGGGCTTAGTTAAGTTTCTCCTATCTATAAAATTACAGTAATATCTCTAGAGTAATAAACTAATAAGCAGGCAAGACTGTTGCGAGACTCTTTCGCAAGATCAAGACCATGATCAAGACTGAGTTTTCAAGACCAAGACTCGTCTCGGTTTCGCATTTGGGCAATACTACCCTTAATGAATAAGATAAAATTTGTTTAGAGAATAACAATATATTATTTTAGGAAAACCCTTTTTGAATTATGCACAAATATAATTTTGTGCTCATCAAAACTTTTTTTCTAACCCTTATCTTACGATCCACGTAGATAAATTGATCACAAAATCCATAAAAAGGCTGGCCTGCAAAAATATTGGACCGTTTGTACTATATAACCTCGTTATTTTGAAATTTTGGGGGCGTAGGTCACGCCAAACGAAACAATATTTTTGAAGGCCACCTTTTTTATTGATTTTGTGACCAATTTATCTTACGATCCAAGAAAAAAGCAAGTGAGTATTTACGAGTTTTTACTACCTAATTAAATAGACAAAGTTTGATCCCCTCCAGATTGAAAACGCCTCAATTCCGAGAGTTTCTGTAAATAAAATAGTTGTAGGTTACTATGAGATGAAATTATTTACGAAGTTTCTGGCGGATGTTAATAATTCGATAAAAAGATAATTAATACATAAATAAATTGATCTAAAAATCTCTTGTGACTATATATACTATTTATATGCTATTATAAAACATGTTCTGGGTGGGAACTTGCCTGAAGACATATTGCGCAAAAGTCAACCGTTATATCATTATTTTGAGGAAAACTATGGTTAGAATTACAAGATATCCTTAGTGGGCCACGTCTCAATATTTATCATAACCAGTAGAACTCAATTAGTTGTAATATCCAGCAATTAAAAAACATGTAACACTTATCCTACATATTTTGTAATTTTTTTTTTCTTTATGACATTTACAACTGTATTACATAAATACATCAAGTAAATTTGGACATAATTGATATAATGACATGAATACACTTGCTGAGTAACTACCCAATGGTAGCACTCTAATGATATGACTATATTAGGAGATCACGGGGCCATCTTCTTTTCAGACGCCTCGGAGGGTTATCAGGAATTGAAGAGGAAGCAAGGTTAGAAACGAGAGGGTTGGGATGATTCTGAAGTTTATTATGGAAGGATAGGTATCTGGATTGGGCCAGATCTGAAACATAAGGAACATTAAGAATTTTGTTATTTTAAATTCTTTTTTTTTTCGACTACTCTAGCACTTACTAGACAAACGCTCTAAACTTTCTATATATTACAAAAGATTGATATACATGACTATAATAAGGCGAATCTGGACTTACGGCAATGAGCTTCGGGGCTCCACTAAACCATCGAATTCCTCTCGTATCCAATCCTTACAATCCAAAACCCTTCGTAAAATTCTCAATGCTCCTTACTTTGTCATAAATAAAATCATTCATAACGACCTTAACGTACCACACGTTTCCGATTTAGACATAATCCAGATTCCTATCCTTCCATAACAAATTTCAAAACTATCCGAATCCTCTCGTTTCAAACCTTGCTTCCTCTTCGATACCTAATGACCCTCCAAGGCGTCTGAAAAGATGACCTCGTGATCTACTTACGTAAATATGTTTTTAGAGTGCTACCAATGGGTAGTTTCCCAACATGCGTTTTCATGTGATTGTATTTTTAATTTATACAGATGTAAATCTCATGAATAAATAAAAAAACAAAAAAAAAACGTTTATTTTCGGGCTAAACTACAAGAAGTAATAAGTTTTTATTTGTCTAAGTACTTGAGCTGAAATGTGAAAATAGGTTCCTATATTTTCTTTTATGTACATCCAAAATATATGAAATTTAAGGTGTAAATTCTAAAGTTTTAAGGATTAAATTCGGTTAAGATCATTCATTCGGGTTCATTCAACCAAGAGATAAAATAATCTGAATAAACAACAGTAGTCTATCTGGGTTTATAAGATAAATAATTTATTTTAGAAATAGGATATGACATGGTCTCATTTTAACCTTCAGAAACAATTAATCGTGAATAATTATTTTTATATGATCCTGTATTTTTCAGTAAACCTTAGGCAATATGATGAACAGTAATAAGTTATTTGAATATTTTATATACTATATTGTAAATTAAAAAATCGTAATCTTGCTTATGCGTCTATCCTTATGATTATTTTGTGCTTTATCAAAGTTTTTGTTTTCCATAAATTAGTATGAAATATACTTTTTAATTTTGTTTTGTAGTCTAACAGAAGAGCTAAATTTCACAACAAAAATAATATATTCTGATAAGATCACTCAAAAATATTTATGAAATAGTTGAATTATTATCTTAAAATATCACGCGCTGAATTTCATGCTAAAGACAAATCTAATGTAAAAATAACGTTCAGTACATTAAAAAAAAAAAAAAAAATGATGTGAGACTTTGAAAAACAATTTCAAAATTATCTAAGGTTAATTTATTTGTTTAGAGATTTTAATCTATATTGGACATTTCATAATTTGTTTCATCAATGACTCGTAAATAATCTAAAAAAAAAAATAGATAAGTGAATGTTCAAAATATTTTTCTTTTGTTTTATCTCTTGAAACAGAAATTATTTATCCTAAAACACATTAGTCTTAACACTCTTTCAAAATTTTAAGTATACCGTTTTTATAATTAAATTTTGTAATATGTAGTGCGACTACGAGCTTAGCATTGGGAGAAGAGCAATGTGGAGAAGCTGCTTTTCTTACCAGCATGGAAAAAAAATAAAAGTAACAGATATTTTAATAAATTTCTTTTAAAAAAATGATTAAAAACAACATATTGAATATTCTTATTTTAACTTTTTGAAACAAATTAATAACGAAAAAATGACAGTTTTAATTTATATGAAATTATATTTAAAAAATTGCCTCTCCTCCTTTCGGGGTAACATTTTTTAAACTTGATAGTTAAGCCCATTAATTAACATAAACCTGAAAAATAAGCCCATGGATGCGAATGCGAAAGCATGGTGATAATGTGCAGCATACAGGAGAACACATTATTCTGGCTTGCATAGTGCTTTATTGGGACGATCGGCAAATCTACTAGCGTTCATAAAAACCAGTGCACCTTAAATTTTGTCTTCATTTCGTACCCAACAATACAAATTTCGCAATTTTTTTTTCATCAGTATAGTTAATATATTCTGTTTGTAGGAGACCAAAAATAAAGGAAAAAAAAAACAACAAATTCATTTAAAAAATCCCTAATGTAAAATGAAAACTATAATGAATATTTAATAGTTGACCGTTGCATTCTAAAGGAAGGAGATGGTCCGGGGTGGCGGTCATAAATAGGCTAATTAGGTAAAATATAACCATGTTTTATCGAAAAAAATATTTAAAAATATCTCTTAAAGTATAAGTGTTCATATAATTACATTTAAAAGGGCTTTAGGAATCACTTAAACACCAGTTCAGATAGGTAGTTAGTTTCTCACTTATTTTCCAAAGTAATTATCGTTCTTTTTATGAAAAAAAAATAGATAAGTAAAACCCTTTCGGGCTGAAGCCCCCCCCCAAAATTAAATCCTGGATCCGCTAGTGAACACACCTCCCTGAAGAAGACCTGCAAAGTCGGGTCAAAACTATAAGGGTCGGCTTTAAATAAAAATAGTTTTACCACTATTTAGCCTATTTGAAAACTATAATGAAAAAAATACGAAGAGAAACAGAACGATTTGGGTTAGAAGTTGGATGTAAAGGGTTACAAACAATTCCGTAAGTTGGTTTTGTCCTTAGTGGTTCGTACTCCATCTATCCTCCATTATTTCGCATTTTAATCCCCAATGACCTGAAATATTTACTCACAAGCTCAAAAATATTTCTTTAATCTGCAGTTTTTATTCGTAAAATTCAAGATGCACCGTTTTTTTCAACCATCAGTTAAGTCATTTGTACTTGTAGCCAGGCAAACAGTCAACTTTGAACTGGGTTGTAGTTTCTAAAAGATTGTTGTTGTTATTACGAAAGCTGTATCATAAGTAACATAATTAATATCACGCAATTAATAAAGGGGCAGGTGTCGAAGGTACTAGGGATTTAATATCAATACTTTTCTTAACATTCAATTTTATTGTATTCAAAATAGATAATATGTGCGTATTTTGTTTTAATATGAACTAATGTCGTAATTTGCAATTTCTTGAGCCACAGGAATTAAATATTTATTTATGAAACTGGACCTGTTCGCAATCAAGTGACTATGTGGTTATCCTTAAGAAGTAAGACGAAGGTAAAACCAGTTCTAGGCCTTAAATTCTTTGGAAAAAAAAAACCATTGCCCCTTGCCGGTTTTGTCTTTATTTTTCAATTTTACTTTATATTTTCATTCAAAAGCGCAGTGTTTGTTGTATAAATTTATTTTAATTAAATATAGCGGCATACCTAGAACATATCGAGCCAGTTACGGATTTAATTTCGTGGCACAAAAAAAAAAAAAAAAAAAAAAATAGA